GTGTGTGTGTCTAAAATGTGGTACACTACTTTTCGATATGGAGATGTAGAGGTGTGTTGGAATTGGGTGTGTGTGACAAGATTGGTTCATCACCAGCGGTAGACCTTCGCAGCAGAAGAAGAACCTGCAGAGGCAGCAGTGAGTAGCAGCAAGAACAGAAGAGGCAGTATCCTGAGCATCATAACTTCTGCCATAGGTTATCGAGTACCTAGAGAAGACTACATGTAGGTATTGTACTTTAGATAGAACCAACAATTCAAAGCTCGTGGGCCGTAGAAGTACATAAGCCCGCACCTAGAGTAGGTACACACAAAATTCAAACTGTTCTATGACCCAAAGTAGGTACATTTTCAAAAAGCAGGTGAAAGGAATGGATCAATTTTCTTCCCTATCCAATATCCAGACCCACCCCAACACAAATTCTGGCGCAGTAAGTCGGTCAGATTTCACAGATCTGAACTGCCTACTGGTTGCACATAACCATACTCCCAATCCATATCCCTCCATACCACTTTGGTAGTTCCCTCCACACCTCCGCGCACACCCTACATACACCCATACATGCCTGCTCCACCCTCATCATATTCCGTTACCGTGTTGTGCACCAGACCTCCTGGTCCATACTAGCTCGGTCCCAACCGCCTTGATCTACTCCCCTTTCCCCCTTCTAAATCTACTTACACCTACCGTCCATCTTTGCCGGCGAACCCTCACTTCACTTCACTCCCTCCTCCCTCCTCCTCCCTTTTACTTCCTCCCATCCCCCCCCCCCTCTCCAATATTCCTTTCTTCGTTCCTACGGAATATGCGACGAGGGTTAAGTTCGTGAATATCAACACCATATCACATACGAATTCACCTCACCCTTCGACGGCCCATTGACGCCAGCAAAGCAGCTCGCCTTATCACTGACGCCGTTTAACGCTTATTCGAATAAAGGCTTTTGTCGACTCTATCGTGAACCGAACAGCAGGTGACCGATCATCCAGCAAGGGTTACTAAAAAGGGTGTGCAACTCTCGATAGAAACAAAAGAAAATTAAATCACAATAACAACTGGGTTGTTTTTTGTGGCAAAGATAACTGATACAAGGTGTGTGTTGCATATATATGTGCTTGCGTGCTTCCTCATCTCCTTGAAAAGTCATGGCGTCTCTCAGGTCCAATCTCTTGAACTACTACCCATTTATATAAAATCATATGCCTCAGGATTCATTTATATTTAATCCGTTCGCTCTAAGCTTGTCGGATTCGCCTCCACGGCCTTTAGTCTTTTGCTCTTTTGAAGAGTCTACATACTTACTATTGTGCTCCAAATCAGCTTAGTTTGACTCGTAATTAGTACATTCGTTTAAAGATTTCCAAACATCCTTTTTTTTCAACATGAGCGCCAAACCTCTCAGCCTCCTAGAGGTTCCAGAGACCGTTGCCGTCTTCCATAGGACGCTACAAGATGGTAGTAGATTGGAGTATCGCATGCAGGTGCTCCAGCAGCCCGAGAGAGCAAGGGCTTGTGGAATGGGAGCAAAGTCTCATGCGGATCGTCGACCAGTCGATCCACCACCAGTTGTTGAGCTTAGATTATTCCAGGGCACAGAGAAGACTGATGTGTAAGTTGTGACCGAAAGTTTTCAAAATATTATAATCTTTTGTCTGACAGCAATTTAGGACATTTTCGCATAACTCCAACTTCTTCCTTTTCGCAACTCTTGAACAGGCCAGACCGATTGCACAAGGAAGAGGGATGCCGGCACCGGCACCTGCTCCAGTTCTCACTGGTGTCCCAGTTTCTGGAATGGCCTATCTGGATCGTCCCAACCCAGCGGGATATTTCATCTTCCCGGATTTGTCTGTTCGCCATGAAGGAAAATACAGGCTTAGATTTGCTCTTTACGAAGAGACGAAAGACGAAATTTTCCCGATTCCGTCGGATTCGCTGGAGCCAAGGGAATGGGCCACCCACAGACTGGATGTTAAATCTAAGCCCTTCACTGTTTTCTCTGCCAAAAAGTTTCCTGGTTTGGCTGAAAGTACTGCTTTGTCCAGGATTGTAGCTGAACAGGGCTGCCGTGTTCGCATTCGTCGTGATGTGAGGATGAGACGGAGAAGTGACAGACAGGGCAGAGATAGCGAGGACCGCATGGATGAGACTGCAATGTTAAGGGCTGCTAGAAGAGGAGCGACACCTGATCAGTACAATATGAATGAATCAATCAGGCCCCAACATGATCCACAGTACCACCAGCCAACGCCACACCCAATGCAAAGGACAAATTCCATTGGAGGAAGGGGAAGAAGTGGCTCTGACGCCTCGGTCTCTTCAGTGGTGTCTGAGCAGATTGCTCAGCCACAGAGATACGATAACGGATACGTGACTCCCAGCCAGAACCGTTCACAGTTTGGACCTCCTTCTGGACCTCCACAACAGAGTGCCAATCACCACTTGTCGTTCGGCGCCCATTCTCATGCACCGCCTGCACCGCCACAGCATCCTTCACAGGAGATCTATGGGCAAATTGGACGTCCGTACTCGCAGCCTCATGCGCCTGTTGCCCAGCATCACCCATCTCCTCACTTGGCACCATCTCCACGCCCGCAGCAGAGTGCGTATGGTCCACCACCCTCTGCATACCAATCTAGGGAGAACTCTATTTCCATGCAAGGTCAGCAGATGCAGCAGCCCAACGGTCACAATGTAAGACGCGAATCTATAGATTACCGCAACAGCCGAAGGGATTCAGACCCCGTCTACCACCAACAACAGTACAGGCCCAACACACCTTCTGTTGGACCTTCATACATGGAGAATGGATACGGCCACCACCAACAACAACAGCAACAACAACAGCCTTACCAAGCACCACCTCCTCAGCACTACCAGCCCCAATCACAGGCCCCACCATCTTCAGTATCAAACAATCTACCACCTCTCCGTCTTCCTGCTTTGGAGCCCAAATGGAGGAGCAACCAACCCACAACACCAAACTCGTCAGCTCCACCTGCTTTGCAATCTCCGGGCATTTACCCATCCCAGAACGGAGCAATACAGCAACAGAGGGCACCACCACCACCACCACACATGGCTCAGCCCCCAGCACCGCCCAATCCAAACCAGTTCCCATCATACTACCCGGAACAGAAGTATCCTTCTCCACCCACACCTTCAAGCGATACATGGCAAAACTCGTCCAGCACCAAGCCGGACGACAGGGGTACCAAGAGACCATGGGGACGGGTCTTCAACAACGCACACGTCGAGGGATCCATGCAGAACCATGCACGGCCTTCCACCAACTCTGCGGTGTATGGAAGTGAGCCATCTTACGCTCAAATTCCTACCGAAGCTGATGACGATGCTTATGACCTTGGTAAGCTGAAGATGAGCTACCGTCGCGCGGATGGTGTTGAGATTGTGCGAAGACTCCCTGGCGAAGATTAAATTATACGATCATGGTAATTATTTGTGTGCGAATTGTATTTTTGTTTATTTCCGGGAATTTAGCGGTTACGTTTGTGGTGGAAATTCGTATATCATCGATAATATCGAAACTTATTGAATTTTTTGTTTTATATCGATTTCCTTTGGACTGTCTTCTTCGGGTGTTTGCTTATCTTTTTATTTGTTTGATATCCCGTTGTTTTTCTGGTTTGTTATATCTGGTCTGGTTATTTCCTACAAAGTTTTTCCTCTTCTTTTCAGGCAAGAGTTTTGGTTATTGTACAGATGGAAAACGACAAAAATCAACTTTTTCTCCTCTCTCGGTTGGGCGGAGGAATCCGACATCCACAGTGGGACATCACCCCTCCCAAAAGAAACAATCTTTGATCCCCTTATTGGGTTGTCACAACAAAAATCATCCCATTCTTTATATTTCATTTGTTCTGTCACATTGGCGGCTGGCTCTTTTACAAATTCACCTTTTTTCATTTTTCTTCTGGGAGCGGGTATTTTGAGAGAATAGTTTTTTTTAGCGTACCTCATATTTGCCTCGCAACTTTATATTGTTTTAGTATTTACATATGTTATTCTCCCTTTATTGAAAAATTGAATAACGGCGGACCCAACGGAGGAGTTTTGATTTTTGTTTCTATCTGCGAATTTTTTGATGACTGTTTCAATAACGGACCTTTTTTGTTGTTATCTGTTGCCGGTTACTATATCACTACATGTAGTACTACAAGTGTACGTATGTAGTGACAACTTGTTCCTTTTGACTTAGTATGTACATGATGCTCGTTTTGTGAATTTCCTAGTTACTCTTTCGGATTGCCTTTTTGTGTGGATATCGATTTTGGAAATTGCAAATTGCATATTAATTACATAGTTTCTGGTTCTCACAAGCTTTAATATATTCAACTATAGTAAACGTTTTTATTTGTTTGCAGCCTCTTGGAGATCGATCGTGGTGTTGTTTGAACATTGCGCGTGATGTTTGATTGGTTGCTGTGGTTACGTGCACTTCCCTTAAGGTAGCCACAAATAGAAGGTTATTTTGCTCCATGTCTCTCGGTGAAAACCTTCAAGTGATTTCTGTTCCCTTCTCTCCCCGTGCTGAAGTAAATTGTAGAACTCCTCTATTTGCGTTCGATTAGTTAGTAGCGCGTGCCTGAGGAGAATTCCGGATAACATCGATCCTCCCCCTTCCCCCCCCCCATATCCTCACGTACTCATCTCTGCTCATCGATTCATTAGACGTGCCCCCTAAAGCGATCCTTGCCGCTGCCTCTCGCTACCTGCTGCTACATCCATCTGAACAGGAAAAGGAAGTCAAGCCTCTTTAAACTAACTCTACTCTGTCCCCCCGCGTTGACTCATCTCCCCCCCCAATCTGCACGTCAACGAATTATCAGCGAGATTCTCCGATAGGTGCCTGCCTGTGACGTGAGTAAGCTAAGGCACAGCAACTCCCCAAGGGAACGCTGCAGACGCGAGTTTCAACTACAAGCGCAACAACCCTTACCTCCACCTCAGCCCGGCATCCCTTTTGCCACTTTACAACGATGGCGGAAACGATGCTGTCGACACCACAGAAGGTATTTCTCTTCCCGGATCAAGGAAGACGAAGGAGAAGGGGTGCTAACAACACAGGTCCTTCGTGATACGCTAAGAGAGAGGATCGACTCTTCTAGCAGCAAAGACGCCAGCTCCCATCCAGACATCGACGACAACAACAATAACAACAACATCAACAACAACCACGTCGACGAATCATCAACAGACGAAGACGACGATCGCGGAATGGAGATGCGAAGGGAGGCACTGAGGCAACGGGGGAGGGAGAGCTATGCGAAGCGGAAAGAATCGTCGACTGTTGGCACAAACACAGCGCCAGTTATCACCCGTGGCAGCCGGAGGACTGGGGCAAGCGAAAGTTTCATGGATCGTATCAATGCCATTAGCAACGAGGACGAGGACGATGATAACGATAACGATGACGATGACGGTGAAGATATATTTTTCAACGAATCTAGATCAAAGTTACGGCCCGATAATGAAAAAAAGCCCCCTCAGCCGAGAAAGAAGCGGAAACCCGATACTGGCAACGGGGACTCAGCGTATATCCCTCCCCACGATGATGAAGCTTCAGAAACGGAGGAGGACGAGCCCTACCTTGAGCCGGAACCGGGTTCTGGGAAGAGGAAGGCTTCATCAAGTCAGCGTCCCCCAATGGATTCGTCCCCCCCATTGCCAATGCGGAAGACGTCTCCACCGAGGACAAAGGCAACACGCGTAAATTCAACATCAACGACAGGCACGGTTGTCAGCAGATTCAAGGAAGGGAGCATGAGGAATCGCGCTAGTGTCGTCCCGCCAGTAGAGATTATCGGGAAGCTTCCATCCTCATCACCACCACCACGGACTGATGATATGCCAAACGGCATAGGAGGAGAATCGAATGTTTTTAGTTTTGGTGGTAGTGGAACAGAGAAACCTGGGGCCGAGGCTATGGCGGCGGCGGCAGCGGGCAATCATAATAATGATGGGTCATTTACGTTTGGTGGAATGGCTTCGTTGATCCCCTTCAACCCCTTCAAGTTTGTCAAAGGTATCAAGGAGTCCTGGGATCGACAGAAACGTTTCCATGAGGAAAGAGAGCAGCAGAAGAAGGAGCTAAGGGAACGGAAAATCAAGGGATTGCTGGCCTACGAAGAATTCAAAAGAATGGGTGCATTACAAGGATACGCTGGGAATGCTGCAGCAGTCATGGGAGCTCAAGGCAGGGCTAAAAACAGTGCTTCATCACTGGGGCCTATCAGGGTAGAACACGACCAAATTGGAAGGGCCTTCAGCACTGATCAGCAGAGTAGTCCATTGGCCAGAAACAATTCAAAGGTTAGAAGGAAGAAAAGATCAACCAGGACACCGTCGATTGGGGTCGACGCCAGCATGACAGGAATGGCACAGAGCTTTTGCGAGGGTCGTGAGTCCTACGTTGATGAACATGGTACCCTGCACAGATACAGCGTAGATTCCAAGTACATGAGCCCTCAAGGAAGCTTCAACAGAAGAATGAGCACGTCTAAGCCTATCACACCGAAAACTGGTGCAATGGGACCACCTCCCCCAATTCCATCGTCATCCAGAGCTAACGGTGGTGACTTTGAGGATGCGAGAATTCTCCCTAAAAAGAAGAGCAGTGTTTTCTCCGTATTCGGGGGCCGCAGTGAGGATAGTAAAGAACTGCAGAAGCTGAAGCGCCAGGAACATCTCCAGAAGAAGGTTAGCAACCTTGAAGACCAACTCGAAAGAGCTCGCCGAGAACTCGAAATTACAATTGAGGCAGCCAACCAACAATCTGCGTCACACCGAAAACGGATACCGCCCGTCAATGGCACGGCCGTCTCCAGGGTCAGCGTCATGTCAGCGCGCGAATCAGCAATGTCCCCCTCGATGATGTCCGACGAGACTGACGAAGGGGACAAAACCGAAGTAGATGATGATCACGCCGCGCCTCTCTCGCCCCTCGCCAATGCAGGTAGCATCGGTGGTAGTTTTATGGCAAAAACAGCAGGAATGACTATTGTGGAAAATACGGATGAGCAAGCACAGCAGCAGGGGGCAGAACCGGTCTTGCCCGACATCCCAATCCCTAAAAAGGCCCCGAAATCAAGCCTGAGCGGAAGGAGAAGGGTTATATCTAGCTCAGCGGCGGGTTCTAGTAGCGCCTCTGCCACTGCTGCGGCTTTGAAGCATCAGGGGTCGATGCCTGCGATATCGAGAGTGAGGAAGGGATCATCAAAAGTGGAGGCCATACCTCCAGTGCCCAAGTTTACGAATGGCGGATAAGGCAAGATGGTTATTTTGTCGTGAAAAAAAAATCGGGGTTCCGATATGTACACTGCACTTTTATTCTCCTAATTTCTTTGTTATTTTCCACTTCTTGTTAACTACTTACGATTTTTTTTTGCTTCCTCAAGCGGCCCTCCTCTTACTTAGATACCTGTCTGTTTGTCTGTCTTGTCTGTCAATCTGGAGCAGGAATGAGTAGCGTGGTCTGGCGATGAATGATGAACTGGATTCCCCTTTTTTCGTCTGTTCCTCTTTCTAGTTTCTTCCATCCTTTTTATTATCTTTTTTTTTTCTTGGGGCGCTTCATTGGATATCGGCCGAGCTGTAGTGGTGGTGGTGTGGAGTATTCGTCTGTAAGTTATCAAATCTGGCGGTGTGGTGGTGGTGGTGGTGGTAGGTGTGTTGTAGGCGGGGAGGGTGGTGTGGATGGTGGGGATGGTGGGTATTATAATCTTAGTGGTGGTTGCATAGATACACACATAAAAGAGAATGAGTGAGTGAGAATAAGGGGGAGGGGGAGGGAGAACAAAGAGGAGGGAGTTTATTTCTATGTTAAAATTACCTTGGCACCCTGTGTCGATACATTATATATTACTTTTATACACCCTCTCTTTGCTTCCGGGTTCTCGATGGCAGGGTGGCGAGGCGAGTGATTTCATGTGATTCTGGTGCAGCGTCGAGAGTAGTGATTATCTAGTCGGTGGCGAACGCACGCTGTCAACGAAGGTTCGTTTTTGGCACCGGTGACTTCTTATCTTGGACACGAGGGCCCGCCACTTTCGGGTAGTTAAGAGATTCTAGGGGTATCTAGCCTTTGGTTTTGGAAAATATCTACTACAGTATTTTTTTTTTTTTTAATTGATCTACTACACTATTAGAAATGGGGGTAAAACGGGATTGTGCGAGAATGCCGCTTTATCCCCGTATTTTAACGAAGTATGCGGTAGTTTTATGGCATTGCCAAAGACTACGGTAGTAATCCCACCCACATTTCTGTCACTGTAGTTATTTGTTACTAGACTACTAGAAGGAACCGCAGCTAGCATTTTTTTTATGGTGCCCATCAACCTCTAATACCCATACCATGTACATAAAGGTCGTCTTAAGAACTTTACTGTCCTAGTCTCTCCCACCTCCCTCCGTAAGTATAGACCAGCGTATCGTAACCACCCTCCCACCATTCTAGTCTAGATACGCCAGGACCAGCATGAACTTGGCGGATACCTATAAACCCAAGCACACCCATCCACCCCGAAAACGGATCCGGAACTATAATATCTAGCGCTCGGTTGGTGAACAATATTACGCTCCGCGGCCGCCCTCTTCTCAAAAGATAAAAGCCACAAATCGATCATTACCAACGTGTTCGGTCATAGAATGATGAAAGCTAGGCATCCCGTCCGCTCTGCCATATATAATCATCATATCGCCTAGTTAGTACTGCAGTGGGTGACCATGTGGGAATCCTGGGTACCGAACTCATCTCCATCTTTTTTAATTTTTGGTTGTGGTGGTGGGGCGGTAATTTTGGTGGTGGTGGTGGTGGTGGTGGTGGTGTAGTGTTTGGGGGGTTGAGTGGTTTGCATGGCAACCAGATATTGTAGATACTGAACGTATGACTTTCTTTAAGCGATGACAGTAAGAGGGTCTGGTTTTTTTGGGATTTCTGGGGATGAAAGCTTTGTTGGTGCGAGGACAGGGGTCAACTAGTGCCAGTGCTAGCACTAGCCAGGCTAGATGGCACCAAAGGGACACTCGGCGATGCCTTATAATATGCATGTAGTTTAAAAGGGTGATCAGAAACGCAGAGCACGTACGGATACAAAGCTTAAGCTCTCATGGCTGGATACGTCTGTGTTTGGAATGCCCATTCAACATATTCTATATAACGGATCCGGATCGGGCACACCATTAATTCGCCGGTGACTGCACGCTAAATTAAGGAATGTTTTGCTACAGTTTATAGGTGCATGAGGCTCTTTATGGCGGCAGTCGAGGGTTTGTGGTGAGCTGGTTTCTCCGCGCATGCGCTGGGGGCCGTGTTTACGGATTGGAACCTCGGTCATTATCATATCTTGCACGAGCAATGTATCTAGTCGAGAGACGACCTGTTAAACTTATAAACCTCCGCATACAAACCTAGACCTCGACCGCCGGTATGTGGCCCTATCTACAGATGGCATTGGTCAATTGGCTGGACCGGCCCGGTCTTGGCGTCTTCCTGTTGGACGTTTGGCGTAGCCGTCCATGATTCTGGTTCGACAAACCACCACTGCACTGGGCAGCTTGACATACGACAAGACATCACCGGCACCACCGCTACTATTTACAGCAAGAGCCAACATTACGCCCACTACCCCACTACCTACACGTATATATACCAACGTCAACCGTCTATATATATATATACAGAGGTCGATATACCAGATCAAGCTCGCCCGCCATGCAGACCAGCGAGACCAAAAAGGAGGAAGCCACAAACCGACAAAACACGCCCTCTCGGCATAAATTTTCTTCTGGGATTAATACTACCTGTGAGTGCAATGTGCGAGTTCTTTAGATAGGTCTACCCCAGATCCCCACGGCACGGAATACCTTACACTACTACCGCTCTCCGTCTTCGCCCTCTGGAGTTAAAGCCAACACGCGGTGCCAGGGTAGTATAACGACTGTCCCTACCCTCGGAATCTGTATCTAAAAACTCAGTTTAACAGTAAAATCGCATACAATTAATAAATTATCGTATAATACAATACAATCACAAAATATCACTCGCAGAACACTCCCTACGCCGACACGCCTCCATGCCCGCAAAACCCATATCCAAGCCTAAACACGACCAAAACAAAAGGTCGCAGACAAGGAATACTCTGAACCCCAGCTAATCGCGTAATCTCTAGGCCTGTATCTACATCTCTGGGTGACCGAGTGATCGTTCGTGAATATATCTAACGTATTGGTTTCTGATTATTGCCAATAACAACCGCAAGAGATGTAGAGTTATAAGCTCTGAAAGACAGCTATGAGGTAGACTTCATGGCCAGCTGCTAGTCCCTCTTTACACAAATGGATATCAGACAGTTGCATGGAAGATGGTTCCGCGAGCGGATCGGCTGGCCTAGATGAATACCTAGACCTCAAGCTTCCAGCGGACATCCGGTGTAGCCGCTGATAACTAGCGTAAAGAAGTGAAGAAGTGATTACCGGCACATGTTTGTCTGTTTGCGGGTCACAATTGGATGACGGATTGCTACATGTATTTCCCCTTTATGCATCTCATCCAAACTCGGTTCCATTCCCGATGGAAAACACCAAAAATACACATACCACTCGTCAATACAAAAGACAAAAGACATGGATATAACTACTTTGATTCCTCCAATCCCCCACCAATCCCCCACCAGACCACCAAAAACTACTTCTTCCCCCCCGTCGTATCCTTCACCCCTATAAACCTCGCGCCTACCCCTCTCCTCCCCAAATACTCCTCCACCGCCTTCTTCTGCGGCCCCTGCACCGTCACCTCCATCACCGGGTTCCTCGGACTGCACCCATGCAACAGCGCCACGCTCGCGCTCCCCGCACACGTCTTCTGCAGCTCCTCCGCCATGACGCGCGGATCAATGCCAAATGGCTCAACGCCCGACACGCGCGTCACCGTCTTCTTCCCCTGCCGCTTCTCCAGCAGTATCTGGATCTTGGGCGCCGCGCCGGCCTTGGGCTTGGCGTCGGTGTCGGCGGTGCCGGGCTTATGGACGATGTAGTAGGGGAGGCAGGCCTTGATGAGTTTTTCGCCGAGGGTGTCGCGCTTGATTTGGCCAGTGCGGAGTGGCTCGGCGTCGGCGGCGTTGCGGTCGTCGAGGAGGGCGGCGCTGAGGGTTGGGTCGAGGCGGACAAGGCGCTTGTTTTGTGGGTTCGTGAGGGACTCTTGTTCTAGGTATTTGGTGACGATGGCTTTTACTTCAGCAGGGGTGTAATAGTCTTTGGTTCTATGGAGGGCGTTAGCGACCTTTTTTTACGAGTGAGTTAGTGGATGGGGGGAGTCTTACCCGGCGCCCACAGCGGAGAATATATTTATTGCCTTGCCATTGGGCCTGTAAAGCTCCACGACCTTTATCAGGCCCTCATTCCTGGCAACAGAAGCGGCATCGGGACCCTTCTTGTCTTCTTTTGGCGCCTCAGGGAGCTTGTAGGGCTTGAATGTCTTTGCCTCCGGGTGGTCCCAGTTGATATCCATGACCACGACTTCTCCGCCGTTCCGCGTCTTGGTCTTGATGAGCTGGTCCTTTTCCAGCTGCTTGAAGAACTTTGCCGCGTTCTTGTGGCTGGTCTTTTTGATGTTTAGTGAGGGATGTACGGAGGTCTGCAGCAGATTGTGGGGCGGGAAGTGGGATGCGGGGGGCAGGAAGGGGAGAACGAGGGTTGAGATGAACTGTGAGGAGCTTATTGGAAGCTCGACGTTTGTGAACTCGCCGGTTTCAAAGTACTGGTGGAGGCCGTAGAGGGTTGCGGAGCGGAAGGCACCATCGATCTCTATTGGTGGAAAAGCTGTTAGATTTTTGCTCCTGGAGAACTAGGGTCAATGATATAACGAACCTCCCGTGCTCAACTCTCTGATCCCCTCCCCACCCTCCTCCGTCTTCCCCTTCCCCTTTTCTTTCTCTTTCTCCTCCCCATCATACCCCTCCAGCGATACCCCGCCCAGCTCCTCCGCAGCCTCCTCGACGTCAACATCTCCGGCGGCCACAGGCATCTCAACACTCTCCGGCACGAACCCCGGATACCCGCCGTAGTTGAAGATCTCGTCGCCGACCCAATGCACAATTCTGACCGCACGGCCCCTCTCCCCATCAACCTTACTTAGCCCACACACATCCACATCACATACGCCCACCGCCACTGCCACCGTCGGGCTCTCGCTCGTCGCAATACCAACCAATTTCCCCTTCTTTGCGCCCGCCGGGAACGGAGGCCCAATAAGCCCCGGGATCATCAAGTCCGCACCCGTCTGTAGCTTCTCGAAAACCGGCGAGTGGGTGTGCAGCAGTGGCAGCAGCGTCGGGTTCTTCCATAGCGTGTAAACTAGTCACCGGCCCGCGTTAGCAAAAATAAATACCGCCGACATATATGCAGGGTATACCGGTAGGAAACATCTCCTCGTCACCAGCCCTAACCCACAGCGGCCTCTGCTCGCCCTTCCCCCCACCATCCTCCGGGTGCACGCCTACATAGACCGTTCCCGCGACCGTGGCCAGGTCCGGGCCAGCCGTAGTCGTGAATTTCGCGCTCAGGCAGTTCTCGGGAAGGAGGCGATTGCGCAGTGCGGTGACTTCAGCGCTACCGCCGTCGGAGGTGAGGTTGAAATCTTGGATGAGCTGGTTTGCGATCTTGCGGCGGTCGGAGGAGCGCAGGGGCGCGGACGGTTTGATCTGCGGATGTTAGTTAGGCTTATGTAGTTAGGATTAGTATTAGGAAGTACATTGGGCTTCTTCTTGAACATGGTGAGGTTATCTGTGTATGACTGTGTGTGTGGTGAGCGATGACGTAGAGAAGACTCGAGGGTTTTGGAGCGTTGGGCGTTGCCAGGGAAGGTTCTTAGTAATCGCGCGCCTGTAGACTGTGTATATATATAATACCGTCTCTCTCGCACTCTCTCTATCGCGGCAATTGGAGGTGAGGTGTTCTTGGTCTCTATCTAGCAGTCAACTAATTAGATGCAAGTAATGTCTCTACTCGAACGCTGTGCAGGTCCAGATTGGTGGTGCAGTGATCATTGACACTGCTACTAATACTTGGCGCCAAGAAGGCTCTTTGCTGGCTGGCTCTAACTGTATGCTCGCTAGCCCGGGACTGCAAATATTAGCTTCTGGTACGGCTTTAGCAATTGGGCCAATTGACAGGGAGCATTGGATATCGGGGTACATGCGGACATCCAGTGCTGGATGTAGATATACATTACTGAGCAGTGGTACTTGGCCAAGTAGAAGTACAGGCAAGCTTAGGTTGGTAGGTATTTGTACGTTCTCTGGAATCAGTACGGTAAGGATGTTTATCTTCCAATTAATTAATCGCTGATATCATGCAAGGACCAAACTTGACGTCCTTTATACCTATCGCTTAGGGCCAGCCTGTCACCGTCACGTACGTATACGTATCCAGTACTGCCATAGATATACCACCTTATTCACACCTCCCCGGCGCTGACTCAAAATTGACTAAGCACTCCATCCGCTGCAGCTGTGCGTGGAAGCTCTCTGCATAGCATATCAAAGTAAGCACGTGCGAGTGCGAGTGCAAGTCTCAAACTTGGTAAAAGACATGGGGACCAAAGCTCATCAGTCCCCACGAGTACATGCAATAGCCATCCTAGTTAACGTCGTGATTGTGTGATTACCATCCCAATGACGAGATCTACAGCACAGGCGCCTCCTTGAAGTCTCGAGCCTGGATACATAAACCTCGCTCTAGTCAACATCTCTCGGTTTTGCTAAATCCCTCAGCACATATCTCAACATCGAGTGCTCGAGGTCGATCCGCATATTCACGAATGTCGAGAGACTTATATCATCCACGAGCATGAGTCACACCACCAACACAAAAGACCACAGCATTCCTCTAGCTATAATACCTATATCGACCATGGATTACACCCACTACTACTACACTCACCACTATACAGCTTCACAGCCTCAAGCTCAGCTCGAGAAACAGTCACATCTGCTTATAATTAACCCGGAAGTTTGGGGGGGACTTAATATCGAGCTCACCATGTATGTGTGGCGGGGCACTATTACTATCCAATATCAGTCATGATCAACATACCAAACCACAATGTGTTACTGTTTCACCACTCTCAACGTATGCAGCTATCTCAGCGCGCTATCAGTACCTAGTCCGATACCATAATTACCGGAATCTTTAGACACTCGGGTACACATAAAATACTCCAAGCTTACGTACGGTTATTCGTATCACCTATACCCAGCAGAATTGAAGACAATAAATATTGCCATATATTACAAGATATGCTAAAGATGTCTCGGAGAAAAAGAAGAAGAAACACCTAGAATACCAAATGAAACCTACAACCAAAGAAGACAAGACAAGACACACGAAAAGAAAATCCCGAGATGCAGTGCTAATAAGCGGACCAATCTCCCCCGCGCAGGTCACATACATACATACAAGTTAAAATCCTTGAGTACCATTCCCTTCACCAAACAAACGCCATGAAAATCCAATCAATCCTCCATACAAAATAAAACAAATAAAAAAGAAAAATAGTCCTAATAATCAAAACAGTTAATATGCCTCCAAAGGAAAACCATCCCTAAAAATGAAATAACGCTAGTAATAATCTACCGTCAGTTCTAGTATCCAGCCAAACTCCGACGTCCACTTCACCAAACCCAACCCAACCCAACCCAACCAAAGTCTACTCTACTCTAATCTCTAGCTCTAGATCTATGAAGACTCTAATGACCCATACCCAGCCTCTCTCGCCGTCAACAATCCCTCCCTCTCCTCCTCTTCAATCTGCGCCTTCTCGCTCCCCGGCCCCCACAACCTAAACTGCAGCCCCACAGCCGCATCCATAGTCAACACGCCAAAAGCGCCAAAAAAGAATGGCAGCGTCCGGCTCCACCACTCCATTGCATTGCTTCCCTCGGGTCCAGCGACTCCACCACCGCCATAAGGCTCGTAATCGCGCCATCCCAGGGGGTTCAAGAGAAGACTCCCGGAATAAAACAAATTCCCGGAAAACGCGGCCATGAAGAGTGCGATTGAGAGTCCTTCAGTCGACTTTCGCTTGGCGTTCAGGATGAGCTGGGGGAGGCGGGAGCAGAGATATCTAAGGGGATCAGATTAGCGAATATGCGGATGCAGGGAAGATGAGAGGCAGGCTTACAGTAGAGTACTAATCCAACCTACAGTCATTCCAATTGCCTCTATCAACTCATCGCTCAGCCACCCTCCGCTCACGTCTCCCAGGGTTGGCATCGCCGGCACACCCCCATTAACCGGGAGCGCCCCCGCAAGCGTACCCAGCAGTGAAACAGTAACAAAGGTTGTATGCGCAACGCTCGGCATCTTACTCCTCGCCACCGCCGCGCCCTCATCTGCACGTTTCTGCTTCAAGTCTGCGTTGCTATCTGAGGCGATACTGTCGCCCTCATCGTCCGAGTTGCTGTTTCCGCCTATAGTAACGCCTTCTAATCTCTTCTCTAGCTCCTTGACCCGGTAGACAACGCCGTACCAGAGGAACTGTGTTACGAGGACGGTGTCTACGAATACATAGTATGCTGCGATAATCTGTTGGAACCACATCTGGTCGAGCATTACCGCTCCTGTTAGGTTGCCTACATGCAAGATAATGGTTAATTAAAATTATTCTTCTGTTTGAAGAAGAAAAGAAGATATCAAGGACTCTTACAAATATCACCAAGCAACCACAGCATTAGGAAACCCCATGATAAGCCATCTACCGATTGCCGTTGGGTGTTCTTAATAATTTGTGGGACCTGCGCAAAGAGCCATGACCCGATAGAGACGAGTCCTAGGATTGTTGATGCCAGGCTCTGGTGGTTGGGAATGCAGGTGTGGAATACTCTCGAGGCCGCTACAAGAAGGTCTGATTCTGGGATACAGTGAGGCTCTAATGGGGGGAATAACATTGAAGTCATGACTAGAACAGATGTTCGAGATGGCCAGGTGTAGATAAAAGGAGTAAAGAAGGGGGAGGGGGGGACAGGTAGATATATAGGTATATAGATAGATGGTCTCCCAAGGTGGGCGAGGAGGAATACTATTCAAGTAAATAGCTTGGGAGGAAGGGCTGGGGAAGGTTTTGGTTTTATTCTATTTAGCTACGGTATGCCCGGCCAGACCACTTATCTAAACAAAGTCAGAGCGTGTCAGACATAGGCGACTGTATCATCTCCGATCACTATTCGCGGGAACATATCAGCTCATGTAGTAGAATAACAAGGCATGTGAATAACTCACACATATCTAATGAGCGGTCTGGTATCTCCCCCCTTTCACCGCCCTCCCTCACTCACTTCCTCCCCCTCAGGCCGGCCTTCTTTGAGTGCGTGACCTATTTATTTTTGCCTTGTTAATTAACCAACTACTGTAGCTAGCTCCCCCTCAACCATACATGTAGGTTTCCCCACATTTTACTTTAGTCCTAGTTTTGTTTCTCTTGGACATTTACGTAAATAGCCCCAGCACGCGACTACATTCAACCAAACCACCACCTCCACCATCACCACCTGCACGGGGTCGAAACGTCCATTTGATGTAATGTCAAGGAGTAGCACGAGCATCTCCACGGGACCATCCATGGTATTAAACTCTGAGTCTGAGCCCGTGGCTCCTCCGTCCTCCTCCTACTACTCGCGAGTTAACTTGTGTTATGCTGAGCCCTCCGGGGGAATCGGCGTGCCTTGCTGGTGGAGATAAGCTGATCTGGTCTCACATCGGAGGATCGCAGCCCAGTGGAATCCGAAACCAGGCATGAACTCTCACTAGGTTGGATAGATAGCGGCGAGCTGTGTCTCTTTTTTTTGTCGCTGATGCCAGAGATAAGAGGATGGACTGGCACGGTAACCGACGTAACCTCGCTCACCTAACTGCACATCTGGGTACCCTGCATATGCGGAATCTTGGCTGGCTGTGATAAGGAAGATAGCCTGACCCTTGCACACAGCCGCCTCCTTTCCAATAACTTGGTTCGATCGTGGCACTCGATAGAGTTGAGTTGCTTCATAAGGGTAAAGATATCCTACCTACATATATCTTGCCATGTACCCGCCCATATATGCTAAGCGGGTGCTCTACTTTTACTCTACGTTCGTTCCGTGTCCGGCGGGGTCGCGGAATTATTACTTTGATTGCTGTTTTTGGGTAGCCACTTCTACAATCTACAAGTAGGATCCGTCGCTTGCTCTCTCATACCCAGCCCACATGCTTTGAAAAAAAAAAAAAAAATGCACTACTGACACATGAATATATATTCCCCTTGATGGGAGAGGCAATCAAAAAAAATAGTCTTACCATTTATCAGTTTTTATTTCCTCTGGGGAGAAAATGTGAAATACATTTTTTCTACCCCACTTACCATCGAACTATTTGATCCCTGGCCAGCAGAGTGGGATTTTGCCCTCCTGATTTCAAAGAAGAGGGGTCGTTCTTTTTCTTACAGAATACCTATAACTATGTTTACCACGTGACCGCCGGTGTTACAGAGACGTGCTAATGCACAAACATCCAATAAGGAGGGGGGACATCAGGGTAAGTATAGGTAAGTACCGGGTGTTGAGGGTAAGTGATCAGAATCTGATAAGTGAATGTTGCGGTGAATACATGTACTCGCAGCAGGTAACAAGTACCCGAAAATGCACGTCCTAATCTGCAATTTCCATTGGAGTAGAAGTCAAAAATACACCAAAAACTTGCAGCTGAATATTCGGGTACTTCATGCCTGTCGTGAGTATTTGTCTTATCAGATTCTGATCACTTTTCGCTACACCTTAGTACAGTACCTATATCCAGACAAAAGACCGGATGGATTGGAATTCCAAGCTGAAGGACCTTGACAACCGTACCAGTTGGAATCAAGCACCTACTTCTACCGGTAGAACCCCCCCTCACCCCCTGGTGAATCTTGTCGATCCGCGATTCCCGCCCCCACTGGCGGGCGGAATCGGAGCCACGGTCAAGGTGCTATGGACACCACCACACCCTCCCTCCGCACGCTTTCCCCAGGAAACAGAAATATTTTGTTTTGAACCAGCCCGCGGGGGGTGAGATCTACCAAGGGAAGCTGTGATGGACTCTTCTTACCCTCCCTCCCTCCCTCCCTCCCTCCCTCGAGAAGAGCTCATGCCATGCAACTTTAAAAAAACGAAATTCACGAGCCCTCTCCTCGACGCCGCTCCCGGGATGACGCTGGTTGTTTTTGAACGAGGCGTTCGGCAATCTACTCGGCGACAAGGTGGCTACGCTAGAGTACCACAGTAGGTATGTGCATAACTGAAACACTGCGGCCGATCAGGGAATGCCTTGCTCGGAACGACAAATTGGCAAAGGTTTTCAGCTGCTCTCTCTCTCTCTCTACACCTACTCTAGCAGGCAAGGCAATTGTAGACATACATACTCGACATGTATGTACGCCATAAATTTACCTAAATACCCGAAACTAGCCCAGTCCCTCTAGCTTCTAGAGGAGAGAGAGACGTCAAGGATCTACTAAATTTTAAAGTGGTGAGCGGCCTATGACGACAATTCTGAAATAACGACTTTTGGCTTGGAGTACCCCTCCATGCTTAGTGGACACCTTGGTGTTTATACCACATTACGGATTCTTGGCCAAGGTCGAGTGATGGCGCGTGATTCAGCTGCCGGATCTTTTGAGAAATCACCTTGCAACTGCATACATAGCAAGTTAGGAGGTGTGGAAATCACCTCAGTGGTTCTACAACGAAGCTGTTGTGACTTGAAACATTAGAGACATGGCACCCACCACAATGGCGCGACAAATTGAATTATCTTCATGAATTCACCGACGAATCGTGTGTTTGAGTTTACATTTATAGTTGCTAAACTTGATTTGAGCCAAAGCGTCCATTCAAAAAACAAATTATGAATATAGTTACACACACAAAGAAAAGGAAAGAGAGAAAAAGAAAGAAAAAGGCCGGCATCAATAAATCGCCCTCTCAAACAGCGTAGTAAATCAATGGTTTTCGTCACCAAATAATGTCCGACTCAAAAGATCTATTTCGCCCGTTCCCGTCTATAAGACTTACGCCTCCCAACAGCATCACTATCAAACGAAAGTACAGACTCCCAGGCCGACTCCACATTGAATGGTCTCACGTTCCTTGAATCATCATCCACATGATCCTGGCTACGCTCGAACTCTGAGAATTCCTGGACACACCACGCAACAGATCCCTTGAGATCAGTAATGGTTTTCAATATAGATTTAACTTCTACAAGTCCAGGAACCAAATCGGATACACCTTCTTGGACAAGGACTCCTGTCAACCTAATAGCGTTTCCTAATTGGATATCTAGGTTTTCGATACTGTCCAATAATGAACTATAGGCCTTCACAATCTCTTTTGTGATTCTTTGGCCGTGTAGCGTTATGCGTTTTTCGCCATCACGCCGATCATCCATGATGACATTAGCATTCCATCCTGGTGGAAGGTTCAGCTGGTCTTGAAGGTCGTGCGGGATCTGATTGGTGAGGTATTCGAGAAATCCAATAATATTATCTGATGTGAAATCCCCGATTTTCCTTACGCGGATGAATAGGTTTTTGAGTGACGCATTGATCTTTATGAGTTCTTCATGGGTACTTTTCATGTAGTCGGCTGTTGGATCGCCTTTGGGTCTTCCATAACGAGGTAGCACTTTCGCAATCTCGAACCTTTCCGTTAATTTGCCCAGGTAAGATGGTTCCCCAATTCTGTCAATAGACGTTGTGAATGCTTTGTACGTGCCGTAGTCCTGCCCGACCTTTTGTGCCAAGGTATCGATGGTTCTTAAACGTGCCCTTTGGGTAGACTTACATGGAAAAATCGAACAAGTCACAGCTTTGGGTATAGTTGCAATGCTACTGCTAATATTAGATGCAGTCCCAGCAGGGTCCAAGAAGATATGGCGTGGACAAGGAACAAAAAGCTTGGTGATCAACGAAGTATTGTGTAGTAGCCAAACGAGAATACCAAGCACGAACAGGTAACTACCAATACTTCTGTTACGGTATCCCTTTGGATCATAGAGAGCTCTTCTACGCGATTTTGGACCCGCCTTATCTTTCTGGGAAGGTTTTGCCTGCCCATTAGAAAGGCCATGTTGAGAGCTATTGAATGATTTGATAGTCAGTATAAGGCCTTTGTTTCAGTAAGATACGACTAGAACTCACAGTGGTTTCTGGTTTTTCTGTGCCTTCAGTTCGACTCCCATAGATTCGAGGAGACCTTCTTCGTACTCGGTCATGACCGGTACCGGTACTTGCGCTTTCATGTCCTCATGGGGTGCCTTTTGTTGCTCAAGACGTTCGATAGGGGGGGGTTGCGCGCTACTGGTTCCTTTGACCGCTGTCTTTTTCTGCTTAGGATGTTCAATATGAGGTCGCCTTGTACTACTTGCTCTTGTCGGCGCCTTTTGGGGCTTGGTACGTTCGATATAAGGACTCCCCTCACTAGTTACCTTTACCTGTGCCTTCCCGCTATTTGTCTCAGCCCTCCTGGAAGAAGAGCCGGTGTTTTTCAAGTCCAACCCAAATTCTTGATCTGAAGTTCTGGGGGGTTTGTGGTGCATTTTATTAGTTTTTGTCTTTAGTATAGTATTGGTGTGCGCATTGTTAGCTGCATTAGCATTTGGCGACTTTTTGTTCACAATATGGTCAAGCCCCATCGATGTGTAAAGTTCGTCAAGCTTCGCTGCCGCACGCGTAAATTCGATATCACTATCCCACGCATCAACTTGTTTCCAATCCGGGCTCTGATACTCTGAGGGGGTGGGATCGGGCCTTGGCGTATCGAGGGCATTTGGTCCCTGAAGCAGATTATTCCTCTTGTAAAACTCGTCGAGGTCCGCCGCTGTCTTTGCGAATCCGGCGTCGCCATCCGATGTGGCGCTTGCCCAATCCCCTCTCGATGTCTTCGCGGGGTTAGGGGGAAATAATGTGCCCTCACCATTAGGGTACAAAACCTTTTCCAGCTCTTTGTAGAATTCGTCGAGGTTCGCCGCTGCCTTCGCGAATTCGGCATCGCCATCCTCCGATCCGGGACGTCCTGGGTACCGAGGGTGGGGATTTGAGTCAAAACTCCTGGGTATTTCCTGACCGGACGGTACAGCGGATTCCGGCTCTCCATCATCCGGCTCTCCATCATCGTAGTTTGCCTCTGTATCACTGCGTGTACTGTCATAGTAATCGTCTTCTTCCAATCTTGTATTGACTTTCTCTGCCGGCGCTGCCTGTGTATTTGCTTGCTTTATATGTTTGTTTGCACTGAATGAGTCCACGAATTTATGGTACTTAAGATCGTCATCTTCATTAAAACTATAAGACTCTTCATCCGTGCACCCAGAAACGTCGGGATCGTCTCTTGATGTGAAGGCCACATTTCTTTGCGTGGGCTGCGCACGATTTATGCCCCTCATGGCCGATCGATTGGGCGGCGCTGCTCGTTCGCGTCTAGAACTCATGATGTCTGTTAACAAGCTGGTCGATTTGTGCTTGCAGTCTAGGGGGTTCTTTGGAGAATTAGAAAAGGACAGAAGATCTTGCAACAAGGCTATTAGAGCTCTTAAGGATGATGATTTCTTTATGTGAAGTTATCAATGTTCTTTGTTCTCAGTTGACAGGATGTCTTTGTTATAATATAATAGAGTTCTTGCTTGGTCATTGCCAAGGGAATATATGGAGGTGTTTCTTTGACGCTTCACAGAAACGGGTAATTGATTTTTGATTTTTGATTTTTGTCATTCGTTGACAGAAATCATTACCGAGGAGGACTCAACACCGCTACCCGGACACCCGAGTGAGGGTCTATGATCCAAATACCGTGCAGGACAATCTGCCAATCAAACAAGCAGAATTACGGAGATGAAAGATTCTCAATTTCTAATATTATTTGTTTTATGGAGTGTATTGTGTGTGCAGTAGTTATACGCCACAAGTAAACAGAGGCTAAAACGGTGATCTTCGTTTGGTTGGGTAGCTATAGATGCACACTGAAGGTTTACCATAGAAACAGTTTTGATATTGCTTTTACACGGAAAAATAAAAGAAATAATCGCATTAATAAATATATTTAGTTGATATCTGCATATGTATCTAGAGTAGTTATATTATGTCTCTAAGCACACTATTCATGAGCAAAACAGGACAGCTAAAAAGGAAAATATGCAGGAGCGCTTAGTTGTAGTTATGGCATTCCTCTCCCTGCTCTAATAGCTTTCGCAACTTCACTCTGGGCAGTATTATCGGCACTTCAATAAATCAGTATGCAGTGCAACCATTAAAAGCTAAGTTATTCTGTTATTTGATGTACTCACTATCGTTTGTAAAGCTTCCTCGTAGGTTCTTTGTCGCTCTCAGTTTCATAATAGCTCTTCAAGTCACTCAACGAATTTGCCCAATCGTTCCATCTCTTCCACTCGGTCGTTAGTGGGACAAAAAACGGACCCTTGTACTCATCCAATACCCAAAGCCTTTGTAGCCAAGGAGCCGCGATCAAGTCCACCATCATTGGACTTGAGCCTCCAAAGAAGAACCCACCTTCCTTAGGCTCTCTCATAGCTCTCGAAAAAGTGAGTAGAGTGTCCAAGAACTCTTGTCTCTTCTCTTCCAGCCCAGGCAGGTCGGTGACTGGCAAAAATTGGAGGTAGCGATGGAACGCCGGGACAATCCTGGTGGACACGAAGTCGCTCCAAAGCCTTGAGTATGCTCGATCATACGCATCAACTGGGAGCAACTTTTGATGATCCGGATAGGCATCCTCAATGAACTCACAGATGACGCTGGATTCATAGAGGGCTTTTCCATCGTGCTCGACTGTTGGAACCAGGCCTCGGGGATTGATTTTCATCAAGGAGTCCGGCTTATTGTATGGGTTGACTTCAACCCATTTATAAGGAACTTTCTTCTCTTCTAGGACAAGCCAAACACGTTGAACTGGGAGGCATGAGTGAATTGCTGAAAACGATGTGTAACGTGAGTGGGAAGGAGCTGAACAAACCAAAAGGACAGAACCAACTTCCATAAAGGATAAGGTCCTGATCTTCTTGATGACGGTCTACGACTGTCTTTGCGGCACCAGTAGCAACTGGATGAACGTCTGCATCAGGGTGTCCCATAGTTACAGTATCTTCCAACGCAAATTGAAATCTAAGATAATGTATTATCTATGTGTTAAATTTGGTGGACTTAAGGATGAGACAGCTTCAGCTTCTGCAACGGACTATTAATACCTAAGAATTCAGATATGTAATACAATGACGCAATTATTAAGTAGGTACACGCCACGATCAATCTAACTTCACTAAGAAGATCTGTACTGAGCTGACCAATCAAGGTCGGTTATTACAAGGATGACGTTAGGAAGCTTGCCGATTTGTGATCCGTACTGATGAGAATTCTTGTTTGTATGTATATATGTTCATCACGTGCATCCACAGAATATTCTGCGAATTTTTTTGTGATCATGCATCTAAAATGACTAGGTCGCATAAAACCCATACAATAATTTCCTGCGTAGGGCACGCCTTTAAAACAACGCTCCCGCAATAAAAAGTCCGCCTTGTACGCCTGACCATGAGCTTTCAAACCAGAAAAAAAACCTCCCCGTACATATATGCCATTTAGGGCAGAAATAAGAAGGGAATCGAAAGAGAGCAGGGGAGAAAGAAAAAGAAATCCGAAATACCCCACAGAAGATGGCATACAATCTCCATCCATAATGTCTTTTGTCACGATCGGATCACCCGCGCCCATAATGCTAGTGTGCATAAACCCAATAAAGAAAATAAAGAAAAGAGAAAATGGTGAATACATGAAATGGTATAAGAATGACGAAAATCTCCAGAACTTATAAATGCTCCATCAGTCTATCAACTTTCTCTACCTGTTCGTCGATATTCCCTCTGTTGGTAAGGATAACAACACTGACCAATGCCGCGTACGCTTCTCGGATGGCACAAGCCACACATGTCTTGTTGATGTCCGCTGTAATGGCGGGTAGTCCCCAAAATGCACACCAAGCTCTTGCAAATACTTCATTATCGGTCACCCCGTATGCTTCCACAACAAGTACTTCTTCAACTCCCATATTACTCTCGCTCTCTTCATCACCATCCAGTAACGATTCATTATCACCTCCCGAAGATCCCCAGTTTTGTATGTCTACCAGCGTATCTACTCTCGCCATCCGGTATCGGTACTCACAGAATAAGACGTGCGGGCCACTTTGGCATGGGTATGCGGCTATAAACGGAGTATCGTATCGTAACGACACCTTCCACGATCTGGCGCGATGATCAACCGTTATTGCAAAGGTTATTGATGCATCGAATATGACGATAGGCTTCTTTTCCACCTCGCCATTCTCTCCGTGACCGATGGCGTGTATTCCTTTTGGATTACATGCCGCTGGCGAGAAGTTAAGACGTTCTATCCTAATTGAATCAACTGCATCTTCCTCATGTGCCTCTAGAAGGATAAAATCATCCACGAGGTATGTTGAATGATGTCCTCCAAGAGGATCACTATTGTGAGCCATAGCACGGACATCACTTGGTGTGATACGGCTACCCCGTGGGGGTGCCTGGTTGATAACGGCCATTTCAGAGCGGTCAAGATCAGCGGATGCTGCACATGGACCAACCCAACCAGCTATTTGAGATACCCCAAAAGCAGCTCCAAGGACTTTCCCAACTATGGATTCCCATGACCAATATGTATGCCCTCGGTACTGCATACCAATATTTGGTGTTGTTGGTGAGAGGTTATGGAAATCCTCCGGCACGTCAGGATCGCAGTCTGTGAGTGCATTCATCAAAACCCATGACATTGATTTTCCGGGTAGAAGCAGCCCTGTAAACCATGACATGCAATTGTTGCTTTTATCTTCGAGAAGCTCTTCGGGGTTATCCTCTTCGGAAAGTGTATATTCAACTTCGTGCATATTCGGCCATCTATCATTTCAATGTTAATATCTAGTTCTTTCTCTTTCTCTCCTCAAAGGAGTGTGATAGATGAAATAAGAGATAGGCTGAATCTCCTCCCGAAAAACATCTGGGGAAAGGTACAGAAGGCAAGTCGAAGTAGGTAAGAACCCGAACATCTTTTTCAAACTGGGAGGTCTGGATTCCCATCATGACAAACAGAGAGTCTAATTAGTCTTACGATGAAGAAACAAAATTGTTCAACTTACTTGAGCGTCCAGGCGAAATTGCGTAATGCCTCAATTTGGTTTTTCTTGTTTGGGAATTTGAACGAAATGTTCGACTTTTGGCGCTTGCCGTTGGGACCTTTGACAGTCTTGGGAGGTTCTACCTCAACATTCTCAAGCCATCGTTGCGCCAATATCAAATCCCATCTGATCTTCTCAGGCATATCCGCTAATGGTTTCAACGCCATGCTAGTTTTATCCCTCGCATTAATTCTTAGGTACAGTTCTACTGATAGGAGGAGCTGATGAAAGAAGCTATTCGCCACACCAGGTGTTGGGTCTGAGAGGAATCGAGCAATTGTCTGGTTTTCAATCAAAGAAAAGTCCACCCAACTCGGGCGACACAAAGCAGCGACAAGATCCGAAATCTGGGTGTCGAGCGAGAATTGAGTATGTGGGTGTTCATATTTGTGTGTATCATGCAGCAGATTCTCGTAGAGATGGTGATGAAGCTCATAAGAGTCCTCTTCAACTCCATTCTCCTGGAGCCTTCGTAATCGATCGAGGACATAGAGCATAGTTAGCTTTCGGACCTTCCCCCGAGCCGCCACCTCCGAGCCTCTAAAAGTACTCCCGAAACTAGCAACATAATACGACAATGTCACAGTCCCTGGGTAAATTCCAAATGCATGCCCCATGGCTGGGCGCTCTAAGGCATCAGTCTGTTTTCCCTCTGGGCTTGAACTCATATCACAGAAAGAGTCACTCTGAAAAGCAGCAGTGTCCGATTCTTCATCCCATTGATCCCCGGCGAATGCGAATAGATGAAAATGTCCCCTGGGACCGTTTGTGATCTCTCGAAGCTCGCCTTGAAACGTAGGCGCACCTTCACTGATAAAAACCTTGGCTTCATTTGGGGTGAGCCCAGTTTGATAAGTTGTAGGCGGCCATCTTTTGGTGGGTGGTTTTAAGGGTCCGGGGGGAGCAGGAAGAGCTAATGGCGAGAAAACAGGAGAAGAGAGAGATGCTGATGAGTGAGACGAATGGGAGGGCGTGGGTGCCTCCCTGGAAGGGAGCACAATAAGATTCCCCCCCTCTTGCTCAATTCTAAACCTTTGACTCTTCTGTCGGGACAACGAATATTGGGACAAATCACTTGAGCGGGAAGTTGATGGGTGATGTGAATGGGGGTGGTGTGAATATCCACTGGAATAAGGCGTTAAGGATTGGGAACTTGTGTATGATGGATGCTGCTGGAGTGTTTGAGGATGAGGTATATGTGACTCGTAATTTGGGTATGTGATTTGGTGTTGGGGAGGATAGGTTTGGGGATGCGCATTATGTGAATTTGGGTACGAAGAACGAGGGGCGTATTCGTATTGGTGGGGCGGGATTCCTTGAACAGGTGGGGGAGCACTATGGTAATGACCGTTCGGATAAGAATGGTGCTCTATTGCTTGATGTTCTACGTGATGACCATATATCCGTGGATCGTACGGACTATAGTCCGTGACGGGCGGAGTACCAACGGAAGAGTACTCATATTCTTGATCTCGGGGGTCCTACAAAAAGCGGTTGCGCCTGTTTAGAACTTGTCCAAATCACGCCGGCTGGCGGACAACTTTGTGGAAATGATAATAGGAACCAAAACTAATGTAACAACGGCCCTTTCGAGAGGAAACAAATCTGAGAAGGAAAGCTAGAAAGCATACCCCTATATGTCTTATACCAGATCCCCTACTCCGCGTAGAGTACGAGCGGGGCTGGTCGGTGATGTCCGGAGGAGCGCCAGGAGCATGGGCGCGATACCTTGTCGAAGATGTTGACGACGCGGAGGGTTTCATATCAAAAGAGAGAAAAAGGTCCTATTCTCCTTCTCGACGTTCTTTAGCTGGTGCTACTGTTATTGTAGGAACGCAGTTAGCCCAGGTTGCGTAGGCATAGTAGATATGGTGTGGTGGTTGGAAAATATAGCAGTGACGATTCGCTTCAAAAATCGACCCAGAAGCGCTGGGGCGCAGAGAAAAAGAGGAGCAGATCGGGAATCGGACTTCGACTAGGGAAAACAGGGCATGAGGGTAAATACCCGAATAATATGTATTCAAGATCCAATAAATTCTCAAGCTTCACGGGTTAACAGCCAGGTTGGACCTGGCCGATAAGGCTGGTGTGTATAGATGACGAAAGCAACTTACCTGCTGGATAAAACCGCGATACCTGCAACCCACCACTGACAACACAGTCGACGACTACAATAAAGAAAGTTTCGAGAAGTTGCTGCTTTCTTTGCTGATTGTGAAGGGAGGTGGTGATAACTAGGACTCTCGACCAAGCCAGCCAACACAGACAAATAAACAAAAACAAATACAGGTGTTGAACAGCGAAGTGGAGTTTCCAAGAAGATAGATGTTGCTGGTTCGTCCACAGCTCGTTGGTTCACTTGTTTTCCCGCTCCCTCCACTCGACAACACTGCAGTATGTAAGGTGTCTTTTGGATGCTCTTTAATGCCTCTTCCCGTCAAACCACGGCTCAAAATTACGACAAATCACGTCGCAAAAAAGCCAGCTGCCAACTCGCGCGCCTGCGATACCCCGGAAAACTGACCGTCGCTGCCAAAGAATGAAATAGCAAGTGGTGGTGATACGGTAGCGAGTGTTCGACGAGAATTAACGCACAAAACGGGATGCCCTTTGGGATGATGTCTTGCTATGGATTTGTGCAGCTGGCGAAATGAGCTGGTATGTGGGATATATGTGCTTCTCGGAAGCAGACAGTTACCTGGGACCCCTCGTCTCCTGGAATGCCGTGATGTACTCTACCTACAGAGTACCACGGCCTATTATATCTACGTAGATCAAACCGGGCCTACGGGGGGTTTGGAGTTGACCCAGGGCCGTAAAAACTAGACAGGACGCTACTGTACGTGCAAAGTGATCACTGACGATGGTGATTATTCAATTGGGCGGGGCCTCTCAAGGCTGGGCTAAGCCGACGAGCGGGGGAGATGTCTCGGAGGATCCAACTAACGTGTATCAAGCAACTGTTTGAACTACATAGTTACTCTACGTAGTACCCACATGTAGGTACTGTAGAGTAGAGCACAGTAAAGCATTTAAAATAGGTACTAATACTTACTTATGTGCTGTCTTTTCAACAAAAAATGGCAATCCAATACGCAAAGAAAGGAAGCAAAATGATAGGATAACCCAGGCAATTGTTCCGATAATCAACGGGGACTAGGCTTGTAAAGAATTTGTTGAAAACATGTCACGCTCTCTTAGGTCCGTTCTGTCTTTTGAAGATCTGATTAGACATCACTGCATCTGCAGTTGCTCATCAGCAGGCATCACTTAGATTCTTCGTTCTTCGCCCTGCAGAAAACCTCTGGATGTATGTACCTACCTACTTCAAGATCTGTGATCCGACATCAGTGAGCCCCCACGCCATTTTAGCTGTCCATGTCAATCGGCCGTAGAATGCCACACATCCAAAGAAGAGAAGCACGAGAAAAGGTACATAAGGTGGTTGATGTTTGTACTTTGTGATTGGTATTTATATAAGTCCCTTCGAATTGACTGTCTCACTAGGCAGCAGAATGAGGCTGTTGCCCATCGTTATGCCACATGGGACGAACTGCCGTGCATCTGTCACAGTGCCCGATAAGGGTACAGTGCCTGGTGTATCATGATGCAGCAGTGCCAGCAACGATCTAACTCATTGGACTTTCTTGGCACGGGATCTGATATCAATGCTTTCCAATTCTTCAAGGCACAATAGGTATATGTATCTTGGACACTTGCGAAAAAACTATGTAGATTTCTATGACAACATGCAACTCCTACACGTGCAGGATCTGATTTGCGGAGCCGCGAGTACCGGTCGAAAAATTGATTTTGTGAAACGTTAATGGCCTCTAAGATTTACAGTAAACTAGAAATTTCGTCACCCCCGACTCTTCTCTCCCCGCATTGTTTCAAGGATCCATCCCGAGAGTCTGGAGCACTGCACAGTCCGCCTCCCTCTCTGTGCGTGTGTGTGCGCGCGCGCAGTGGATCATCCTACGGAACCGCACTTGTCAAGTTCCCACACCCTGCATTTCATCCCACGCTCAATCACATTATAATCGCGGGGTCGGTTTTTTTTGTTTAAAGGGAGCGCCATAGCACATGATGATATGCATTCATTCGAGGGGTATTCAAATCTTCCTAGAATGTCACCGGCGGGGCTCCCTTGTACACAGCCTCGGCCGGAAAATCAAAAACGTATGATTCAAATAGTCGACGTACATGTGTTAGAGAAGAAAGTGTGGCATAAATACTGATCTGTAGTTATACAGTGTATTAACAGGTTAACAGATACAGATATGCACGGTTCGTCGTTAAAGAGAGGTTTCTTACAAGTTGACGCTTCGAAAAGAGAGTCGATGATATCTGTATATGAATGTACTATACTAATAGTACGTATACATATTTACATATCTCTGCATCTATCACTACCACAGAGTGGTGATATCTGTATCTGGAGATGCAAGGTGTATATATATATATAGTATATACGAATTCAGCCACATAATGGAACCAGCACCGATCTCTGTCAACACATTCTGAGCTCGCAACAGATGTACTTCTTATTAAAACCCCATGGTTCAAATCTCTGAGAGATATCTCCCGCTCGCGGTATATCTACAATAATTATGGCCTTGGGCACTGTCTGCATGCATGGAAAGAATCAAAGAAAGGAGGAAGCCTAGGTTGATCTAATGCTAGAAGCCGGTATCTGGACCCAGCCTCTAAACAGATTAGACCCATGACATTGCGGAGTTTCTCACGGGGAATATACTAAAGGCGATCCAGCTGCAATATATGCAGCTGGCTACCCGCATATAAGGGGTCAATGCGATGTTTTTGTAAATGAATAAATCGAGTACCCTCCCGCATGTACATATACATATGTACATACCGCAAAATCTGAGAAATTTCGTTGCGCTGCAGCAGGGATATTCTACACCAAAAGTTGCATATAACTTGCATTTTGACGTCCAAAGGCTGCCTCTGGTTGGCCTATACCCCTGCTGCAGCGCAAAGAAATTTCTCAGACTTTGCGGTACATCTGATCCACAAGATTCCTGCTTCGTGGTCCTGTGCTGATAATGGCATCCTAGATATATCGTTAGATAAATCCTCGCAAGCCTGTTGCGGCCACGTCGCAGCTTGAGGGTTTCCCTAGATATGACACCTCAGGCAGATTAAGCCCGTAGTCTTCAAAAACTATTTAAATTGCTGGCTAATTGACGACTTTGGATAGGTTCTGGGTCTGACAGATTAAGTTTGCATAAAAGATTATCTTCATCAGAAATCACTCGCCCTAATGGTGCTGAGTCATATATGGGTGGGGATAAGTGAAAAGACACCTTTCACGCAACCTTCGCAGCGTGGTGTCTTTTCACTTACCCCTGCACCCGTAATACATGTACATGTACATGTAGTTAGTGCACATTAGCCCGATATTTGGTTAAACGACTAGCCTGCTGAGACATCCCAAATATGAGCTAATGAAGATATATATGTATATTAGAAGTAAGTACATGTATTTATAAAGCATATCCGTATCTTCTTGGGTTGTCGAGACATGGTAGTAGTCAATTTTCGTTATGTATGTACGTACATGTACTCAGGTAACTTAGGGATTCATATAAGAGACACAAATCTTAACAACAGATCCTGTCACCAATCAAGCATCAGTTTGTGAGCCAGTGCAACGTGCACTATATATATTCGTGCATGTATTACATACTCGTAATTTCATAGCGTTTGTGAACATAGCTGGGTCTGCATATACCAAAATCTGGAGCCTCATGCAGGATTTGGCCGGTATGCAACCCAGTTGTGTTCACAAACGCTATGAAATTACGAGTACTCAGCTCAAGCACTATCCTGAGAAATTAACTGACCCCAATATAGGGCTTTAAGTATATTAGAAACATTACGTCCTTACATAGCTAGATGTACGTAATGTCAAATTTATGAATCTGTGAATCGAGTTGCAATTATTTGACCATGATATTGCTGTTTGATATCACTTCTTACCTACTGCCCTTCTTTCAGGCACATACACATGTATCTTGGCGAGAGAGAAAAGTTCAAAATATAGAACATTCACTTCAGTCTTCGGCTGAGCATCGTTGTTACGTCACGTACTGATGTTGGATCGCAATCTCAACAATGCCCGTGCATCCAGTCTCAACCTACATGTACTTATTCATGCCCCCCCCCCCCCCGAGTTAGACATTTCAGATCCCTCATCGTTGTTCCACCCCGCTGTATATCACTATCGATTGAGATGGGCCACCGTTAAGACTCCGCAAACGGGCATGAGTTGACACCCCCGGTCCAGCCCCCTCCCCCTCCCCCTCCCCCGCGCAAAAGATGCCAATGGCAATGGTAGGGCTTTTTAACCTACGTAGTTAAAGGGATCTTCAGACAACATAATCAATGTTCTCTATCTAATCGCATCTCTGGATGGGATGAGCTGTCTCGGTCGTATATCAGGCACTCAAGAGAGGTTCAAAAGGCTGGTTATCCAACCATACCCGATTTGATTCCACAAAAAAAAGGTTAGCCTACAATACAGAAGAAGTCCATTACAGGTACATATGGCCGGTCCTAGGAAGCGGGGGAGCGGGGTCGGGAATGCAACCAATTGGGAGCATGAGAAATGTGGAACTGAATCATAAGGGATCACTCACCGTTCGGCAACATCCATACTTGTATTTACACTTCCTCGAGCTAAATTTTGACAAATCATAAAATCCAGAGCCGGAAGTAACATTAGATTAGAACTAAGTGAGCTCCTAATCACGCATTCGATCACTTTCGTGTTGTGTACCCGCGTGTAGCAGATAGAACCAGAAAATGCAATTACTCAGTTTGTATGGCGGAGCGGCGCCACTCCATACAAATAATCCCTGCTTCGTCACTTGCATTTTCTGGTTCTTATTGCTGAACACGAGTATATACGCTCAATTCCATACGAGTGATCAACATTAGTACTTTTATTCTCGGATGTGCAGGGCGGGTCTTGCCGCTCTTTGCTGTCACACATGATACACTAGCACTGTCATTGGAGTTAGCATCACTCTTCAAAGCTAGCTATTCGTGATAGTTTGATTAGGTTATAATTATAGACGGGCCCTGATATATCGATACATGCTGATGCTGTGAGGTCTAAAGATCACCATTAATAGTGCCGAGATCTAGATAAGATTTGAAGTTCAGTTGTTGCGACGTTGCTAGGTCGATGTCAACGGGATGATGTCAAGTGCCGACCCCGGGTTTGGTTTGCAATTTTGGCCCTTGACATTGAATAGAAGACCTTATTATGTAACCTCTTTAAGCCCGTACGGAATTCGGGGCCCTGACGACTCGGAGTGCGCGCCGATGACCCAGATCAGAAAATCATGTCCACAAGTAACATTTTGGGAATGGCGTTGAGTGTTTCTTTACTTCTTTATAGATCATGTGTTACTTGCGCATTCAGCTGGTCTCTAAGTTACGTGGAGGATGGAATATCAAACCTTAAGAAACCACTGCTTGCTCTCTTTTGGTCTGTAGCCACGGATGACCCATGCTTAGCTCATGCATGGCGTTCGCCTGTGAGATATGTACCCATACCAATGGCCGACAACTTAGGTAACCGAGATACCCAGCGACCGGTTATCTATAATTATGAGATACATGTATGCGTACGTTCGCAAGGGTAGAGATAGAGTTCAGGCTGCAGATTAAAACTCCAGCCTTGCCTCCTTCTTTGCGAGTGAGCTCTGGTCGTTCACCATACAGCCTTTTCCCTTCCGAAAACAGAGTCGGGACCTCTGGCAACTATTCAACAACACCAATCGTTTCCTGCTGATACGTGACACCTAGGTTTACAACACGAAAGCTAGCTGAGCTATACAAGTTCTAGAGGCGCACAAATCCCTTCCGAAATGGCAGAAGCAGCAAGAGGTGATGAGTCTGCGGACGCCCAGCTCGAGAAAATGGGCTACAGATCTGAGTTACCAAGAAACCTTAGCATGATGTCAATTCTTGGGCTGTATGGTTTCCTTCCATTGTGTGTGCCTTTAGAGAAGCTTCATTCAAACTTATAAATTATATCTCTACAGGTCTTTTGCAATTATGGGTTCGTTTAAGCCAATCCCTGGGGAGATGAGTTTTAAGAATGCTACGAGGATCTGATTGTACTGATGCCGTTGCCTAAGGGCCGTTTCTTGGATAGCTGTACCATTTGTAGGTTTGTTTTCGGCGTGGGTTCTCATCACGTTTGGCTAACCATTCTACACGTACAATAGGGTATAAGTACTACAATGTATATAACGCTCATAGATGGCCAATCAGTAACTATAATATGGGGATGGTGTTTCGTATCTCTAATTTCGCTCGCAATCGCCGCTTCTCTTGCCGAAATTTGTTCAGTATTTCCCACAGCTGGAGGAGTCTATTACTGGTCTGCGATGCTTGCAACGAAAGAATGGGCACCAATTGCATCCTGGATCACAGGCTGGCTTACGCTAGTTGGGAATTGGATGGTTACAACCAGCATCAACTTCTCGGGAGCACAGTTGATATTAAGCGCCATCTCGTTGTGGAGAGGGGACTGGGCGCCGAATGCATGGCAGACAATTTTGATGTTTTGGTGTATGATTTTACTATGAGGGTTATCATTATCAAAGCAAATGAAGGTGTGACTGACTTATTTAGGTGTTACGCTAATATGTGCATTCGTCAATATATTCGCCTCAAAACATCTAGATTTCATCAATAGGATATGTATCTATTGGACAGGAGCCGGCGTTATAATCATTCTGGTCACTCTGCTTTCAATGGCTGAAACGAAGAGGAGCGGGGCGTACGTCTTTGGTTATTTTGACGCTTCGCAGAGCGGCTGGCCGGATGGCTGGGCGTTCTTTGTAGGTCTACTACAAGCTGCATATACATTGACTGGATATGGAATGGTGGCATCTATGTGTGAAGAGGTTCAGCAACCTCATCGCGAAGTTCCTAAAGCAATGGTTTTATCAGTCGCTGCTGCAGGTATTACTGGTGTTATTTATCTCATCCCAATATTATTTGTTTTGCCCGATGTAGCAGTCCTTTTGGGCGTCAAGAACGGACAACCAATCGGGTTATTATTCAAACTTGTTACTAGGAGCCCAGGTGGAGGGTTTGGCCTATTACTTCTAAGTAAGTCGTATAATTATCTACAGTGTCAAGGCGTGACCATGTACTAAAGGAGTTCGGATTCAAGTTCTTGGGATTTTTTTTTTCGCCGGGATTGGAGCCTTTACCGTTGCAAGTAGATGCACTTATGCGTTTGCTAGAGGTGAGAAATTGAATTCTAGGTGACTTTTGATAATCGATTGACTGACCCTTTTCTTGTACAGATGGTGCTATCCCTGGATCAAGATTGTGAGTGCACATACGTATTAGTTAGAAGGACTATCAAAACCAATCATACTAATACATATGATGATAGATGGCGCCGAGTCAGCCCCAGATACGGAATACCTTTAATGGGGCTGATTCTTTCGACCACCGTGTGCTCCTTGCTAGGGTTAATATATTTTGGAAGGTATGTGTATCCAAAACCATTCTTTCTTTGGATGTATTCTAACGAAAGAAAACAGCACGGCCGCATTCAATTCTTTTACCGGAGTGGCCACAATATGTCTAAGTACCTCATATGGTCTACCCATCTTGGTTTCTGTACTTCGTGGAAGAAAGCTCGTCAAAAACGCGCCTTTCTCCCTTGGGAAATTTGGAATGACTATCAACGTGCTCTCGATTATATGGATTTTACTCGCGTATGTCCCCGAATAACGATTTTTTGGTGGGAGTCTGGGTTGACATGTGTTCCAGTATTGTGCTATTTTGTATGCCTGTCTCAATACCAGTGACAGCGCCTGGAATGAGTAAGTTTTTCTTTGTCCATTATTTTATACTCCTGGTTATCATAACATAACATCAATGTCCGGACCTCATTAGATTATGCATCGGTTGTATTTGCGGGCTTCACGGTAGTCTCTGCAGCATGGTATTTCATCCGCGGTAGAAAAGCGTTCAAGGGGCCTCCGATAGATGGTGCACGGGAGCTCAAGGAGACGTTATTGAGATGAAATGAACATGAGGATAGCTCCTTTTGATTTATATATTACGATAGCTAGTAGATATCAACTACATACATAACCCTTTAATACTGAACACATACAATGCATACCTACAAGTACATGTATTTTACCTACATACAGTACCTGTATATATGTATTTTTGACCAGAAGTACTACATGTAGCTACTTGACTTAAAAAAGGTGATTTGTACCCCGATTATACCACGAATATTCGCGCGTTCATTAAACGGTCGAGGTTTTTAGTAGGGATTTGGTCGCAACGACATCTATCCAACCGTTTAATGAACGTACGCACGATTAGACGAGTTCGATTATTATTCATACGATGATATGTGGTAGATACATGTAGTTCCCAAAGAGGACACAGACAGTCACGGGTAGCCTATCAGAACTAATATCGATAAGTATTTTCCGGATCAATGGCGAATGATCAAACAAGCCAAGGTGCTGATATAGATAGTAAGATCTAGTCTCGTACCCATCCCCTACTAGCAGATTGCTTAGGAGGGCTGGATACGAGTCTAGGTACTAAGATCATACTACCGCGGGTGAGTAGACACTCGCGCAGTGCCCGGGGACTCAGTCGCTCATTACAACCAATTCAGTCATTGTAACCAATCAACGTTGGCTAATTTCTATGGTGCGCGACTGACCCGGGTGCGCGAGTGTCTACTCACCCGCGGTACCTTATCCAGTTAGAACGACTCATCTGTTTTTCTTTACTTCATCTAACTTGTTACATTTTCTTATATACTAGTGGGGGTGGTCCCGAAACTGCATGTAATCATCCCACACTCCTTCTATCGATATTTGCAGTTATTTCGATTGGCCAATAAGCGCGCATTCGCCATTGACCCAGAAAGGACCATCCTCTAGCGCTATAGATAGAGTACGATAGATCCCGGAATGGGGGAGCTTAAGTGAAGCACTGAAACTACCTACATACTCTAATATGCCTTGACATAACGTTACGCACAGATCATCTTCCGCCGCTATGGGATGCTCGCGGTGCTTTATATCTGCGTGCATAATAAAGATTGAACAGCTGTAGGATAACGTCTCCTGCCTTCCTCCGCGGGTCCAGAACCACTTACTCTAGGTCAAAGTTGATAAAGGTTTAAGGCACATTTTGCATGACGCATGTTAGGGAGGAGAAAACCTCTTATCAGCTACGGTGAGTATTCCTAATGCTTTCGATACAGCTCTACAACGGATCTGTTTTTGACTGCTGTAAGGTTCAAAGGCAATCTTGTAGTGCCATTTCTCCTTGTATACCCGGCAGTTGAAAGTGCATTTGGTGCTTGCTTTTGATGTATTTCGCCCCCATCTAGGATTGAGTACATAGCGTTGCAATGCAATTGTTGCTGAAGGCTCATTGACCTCAGTACGCATGGCTAATATCGTGGCATACTGACAGAATTCAATGGCATTTATTTTGCCAACGTTCAAGTTTCATGTTTAATAGTCCCAATCGAGCTTACTAGCCACAATCTTGCTGCTAATAATCATTTTCTTGAAGCACATATATGTAGGTTGGTGATCCGGCGAAGCAAGCGACGTTGAGGGGTTGCGGTGCACAGCCCTGCAGTAGAGCCAGTATCTCTTGCTGCTAGATCAACGAGCCACTTGAAGAACGCCTCACTTGCATAGCGCTTTGTTTTTCGCGCCCACTATGTCGATGTATTCACTGCGCAGTGAAAGACAGCTGTCCTGCGCACTTGTTTGAGGTGTTAGAAGAAAAAGATATTTTCTTCTCCAGGAGTTAATGAAGGTACGGAGGAGGACGATTTGACGACTTGGAAAAGCAAGCTGTGGATGTGTTGAAAATTGAACCTGAACCATGACGATGGACGCGAGGCTCAGGCGGGAGTTCGGGGGGAATCGCGACGCAACCCAACCGTGAATCTACCTATTCGATGGAGAACAGGCAGGCGGTAGTATTCCTATGTACCGCTCTATCAAGGGTGGGTAAAGATATATATATTTGTTTCACACACACAGATATATATATTTGTATCGTATGGAAAAGAAAAAAAAAGGTTTGATGGATAGTTGTGTGTGTGTGTCGACTGTATTTCGCTCTCAGAGGCCAGGGGGATTTGCAACTCTGCAGGATTCGCTCGTTCTTCTCCGAACATCTATTCCAATCACGGCGACTTCATCGAGTCTGGATAATTGTCGAATCAGGACGAGCACACCCGCTCTTAACTACTCCAAAGAAAGTGTAGGCAGAGCACGTAGTAAGTAAATACATAGCAGCACACCAACAATCTCACTCGTGCTAGTCCCGGTCCTTACCCAGGAAGAAAAAAGAGTAACTGCTGTCGACGTCCGTTCAACCACCATACGGTAATTTACCGACAACATCCTGACAGACTCCGTACGTACATACCACCATACATACTCCCTTGACTATCATCGACGTCTATTACACGCCCGCCCTTCGACACACACACCCACAACTTAACAACCTATTCATCTACTTACACCACCCCCGCCCAGCTGTACCAACCCATTTACACGTTTCCACGTTCATTCCATACACCAAACAAGACGTCACGGCATCTCCAGGACCCTCTCCATCCATTCATTCATCTTCCTCCAGGTTCTTAGCCCCCCAAAATAAGGAACCGAGAAGTGTTTATCCCGCAGTGCCGTTCATTCTGGAACTTCCACAGCCCGTAATACCCTGCCGATCGAAAATTTCTCCAGGGCAACACTGAAGTCCTGCCTCCTACCTAACCTTCAAACACCTCGTTCAACTAGGATCCCCGGAAAGCTCTGTTAAACTCAGTAGTAAGCTCTACTTCACTTACCCCTTACTTTTCGCAGTTGGTTGGTGTTTTCGGGTGAGGGGCTAGCTGCTTCAACGGTGGCAGTAGTCAAGGATGGCAAAACAACGAGAAATTTGGGCGCTGGCGTTAATTATGAACAGATGGATTGGTGGACCATATACTAAAAGCTTGCGACAGATCTTTACACCGTTTCCATCATCAAAAAACAGCACTTAAAGATATCACTAAACGAGCTATCGGGTGGGCGATGAATGAGGAGGAATTGAATAGTAGCAGCCCTTCCGACTCCTCTTTAACGAACACGTCCTCCCTGTCCTCGCCTACCTTCGGCCGTTCCAAACTTCCTTCAGAACAACTTTGGACGACAGCCAACTTTTCCCAAGGCCTAACACCGCCTCCAGACTTTACAGAACCGCGTGATAATTCACAACAATTTCAACAATTGGGTGGCTTTGAGGGGGATTTCGAACGATCAACTATTTTTTCTCTTGGATATCAACAGCCCCTTACACCTTCATCTATTTCTGTGATATCGGATTCTTCAGATCTGGATTCAAGGTCTAAAAAAGGGTCGTCATTGGAATCTTTCGCAACGGAGGCTATTCTAGGTCCAGGGGGTGATGTGGAGATGAGCGGGGACTTTTCAGGCGGTATCAAAGCACGAAGTAGTATTCAAAATTCCCGGAAATCTCCGATAAAGCTCGAATCAGCGTTGGATATGAATGGCGAGGGTCGAGGTTCCGATCAATTCGATGTTGACCAGTTTTTCAACTTTGACGAAGCAGCGCTTTCTGTACCTGATCCAGTAGCCCAACAGTCGTCTTCATTTCCGGCACCAATATCACTTCATAATATTGACGGCCCACAACAACAACATATGCCGTTAAGCCCTGTGCCGTTTGGCAGCAATCACTTTGGACAAAATTTCATGGAGGATGATTCCAACAACACAAATATGCGTATGGCTGGGAATCGTCGGAAAAGAAGTCAGGATCAGATTTTTGATGATAGTTTCTTTGAAATGTCAGACGATGGGAATGCTGCACAGACTATAAAATCGACACACACAACTGCTGTTAGTTCACCGACGTATTATGAGGCGCATTCGCCCGATGATTCAAGAAATGGGCAAAGGTTTACTACGCCACCAAATCCTTCAACGCCATGGGATCAGTATTCATTTAATGCGTCACAACAAGCCAGGCCAATTGCCGGTTCCTCCCGAATTAACCAGAAACGCCCTTCGTCAATAGCTTCTCAATCCAGGTCATGTGCTGTGCCACCACAACCACAACCACCATCTCATCCAGCTACAGGAGTCCATTTTCCAATGCATCTCCCGTCGACTCTGAGTGTGGACCAGATACCAACCAAATCCAGGGTTGAGACACAGATTCCAGTCAAAATTCATCTCTTCCCTTTCCCAGCCGGGGTTACCAAACTTCACTTGCCGAGACACACCATTTCAAAACCGAAGTTATATGCCAAGCCACCAGTCACAAAGTCTCCCGACATGTTGGAATTGCACGCGAATCTCGTCTGCTCTAGCGCCATGCGGAATCATGATTGGCTTGCAAGTGCTTTGGCACGTGCACGTGGAGAAGATGTTCTGCCCGGTTACAGAAAAGACCCTTCGCAAAGAATGGAAATGATTGAAGGATCTAGCGGAGATGATTCAGATGACGCACCTCGTAGTGAAAACTCGAACTCAGACAAAACAAGTCCGCTAAGTGGAGGAGAGGTCAAGATTTGCCTTGGCTGCATGTCAAGAGAAAGAAAACGGGCTGCAAGGAAAAAAGCGAAAAAGATCAAGGAAGAGGATGAATGGAAAGAGGATGAAGCAAAAAGAGCAGTGGTTTTCAATAACACGGAGGTCCGGGAATGGATGCCTATATCGAAATCTCAGTACCACTCAAGTTTGGCGCCTGGAAATCTCGAAGGTGGAATGATGGTTGAACTTCATATGAGGCTTGCCTGCTATTGTCGACACCAAGGCGAGAAAGAAGGGTTTAGGTTTGTAGCCCTACGAAACCGCTAATATACAGAATCGAGGATGTTCTAATATTATATCTAGAGTTATCTTCACGATCAAGAATCATTTGGACGAAGTCATCGCTCAACAGATTACAAGCTCTATCCTCATCACAGATGATCACAAATCCAACTCGACTCTTTCTACAATGCCTGCTGGATCTCAAGATATAAAGATCATTGGAGCGGCTTCACAGCAGGGCGTATACTCCACACTCCATCCGAACTCCAACCAGTTCGCACCTCGGCATGATGAACAAGGAATGTTTTCTCAGACGACTTCGCCAGTTGCTCAAGCCCCTCAATATTCTAACCCAGTCCGCTTCGGTTCCCCGTTTAATCGGAACGGGGGCCCGTTGTCTCCTCAATCTGCAGTATCTCAACAGTCTCCTCAGTTTGGCCCATCGCCTGGAGCTCCTCATACCAAGAAGAGAAGGATAAACTCTGTGAATAAAGTACCAGCAAACCTAGCTATGACTAAACTTGACAACCCTAACCCTTCGTTCCAGGGATCACATACTGTGCCCTCCCAGCATCAGTTTATGGCGGGTGCTTATGATATGAATAATTTTAGACAGGGAGGTCCTCTTGCAATCCAATTCCAAGAGCCTTCAACTCCTTCAGAAACGAATGACTCTCGAAGGTTTTCATTTGATGGCACATCAGGCGATTTCAGGCCCCAGATTGAGCAGTCGCAATTCACCTCTCCTCGATCTGCTTATGCCAGTGCTGTGACCAGTCCATCTCCCCGCAGCTCCTTTGTATCCCAGCAAGCTCAACAGCATGCTGTTCTAAGACAGATGCCCTCCGATTCCATGCAGAGGCATGATCGAGATGGCTCTCTAATACCAGAGATTGGTCGACTAATTCCAGGAGAAGGAACTACTCGGGGCGGGATCGAAGTCACAGTTCTAGGCAAGGGATTCGTCAACGGACTTACAGTCTTGTTTGGAGACATCCCCGCAGCTCAGAATATCTGCTACAGCAGTTCAACCCTTATTTGCTTATTACCTCCCAGATCGTCTGCTGGGCCAGTAGTAGTTACGTTACAGGGTCTTCCGCTCCAAAAGGCGCCTAGTCACTATCCTCTTTTCACATATGTCGACGACACCGAAAAGTCACTGATGGAACTAGCATTACAAATTGTGGGTATTAAAATGCATGGAAGCTTAGCAAATGCCCAAGATATTGCGAGGAGCATTATCGAGAACCGAACAGGTACTTTTGGGCAGGGTACCTCTCAGGCTTCCGACAACGGTGGTGGAAATGGTTCTCGCCAACATTCCGTCCGACGTCTTGCAGCGGAATTCGGGCAATTTGAATTGGAACCAACCCTGTTGAGATGCTTGGATACGATAGACCTTGACGATAGTCCGCACCCTGCCCGTCTCAATCTCCGAAATAAGGCTGGTCAGACGATGCTTCATCTTGCCTGTATCTTGGGGATGCAAAGATTTGTTGCAGCACTTCTGGCAAGGGGCGCGTTCTCTGATGTACGCGACAAGAACGGGTACACGCCAATGCATTTCGCGGCATTACACAACAAACCCGAAATAGTCAAACGACTTCTTCTCAATAAAGCAGATGCCAGCATTCAGACGAAGACTGGAAAGACAGCCCAAGATTTAGCACTTATGGTGGCGCAACAGACATTTGACCAGGCGCCTTCAAAACGCCATAGTCGCACTAGCTCCGGGGCGTCTGATCAGCACTTTGGTCGCAGAAGTCGAGCAAATAGTGCAGCTTCTATGCGTTCGTTATGGGGCTCGGTGGATCCAATGAGTCATGGGCGCCCGAAGCCTATGGGAATTGATGATTTCTACGCTACAAGTGACGAAGCAGTTAGCATTGACACTGATGACGAAGAAGCGGATGATATCTGGGAGAATTCGAGAAGAAATAGTCTTCGAGATATGGCTGCTGCAACAGCTGCAATGGCGAATGTTTCTGTAAAGGACAAGCTTACACTTGAAGCAGCTCAAGTTTCTCCAGGATCTACCTCCGCATCATCAACAGAGATCGCACCATCGCCTTCAGCAATGATGGCAGCTTGGAAGGAGAACTTTGCAGCGAGCCTTCAAAACTTCCAGAATCATTGGAATCTTCCAGCTATGCCTACTGCCGCCGGGTTCCAACAGAACCTCCTTCAGAATCTCAACCCGTGGTCCGCCGCAAACCCAAATCCAACCCAGCAAGACATGAAAGATGGAGATTACAAGTGGTGGGAACTTTTCAGCAATCCTCAAGCACCACCTGCTTATGACGAAATTTTCCCTTGGCCTGGACAACCTTCAAACTCTGCTGGTGATATCGTCTTAATGAGAGGAGCAGATGCGGACGATGCAAAAGTGGTGGAACCAACGATTATCGAACGTGCTGAAAGTCCCTTATCCGCATCTTCAAGTACAACTTCGCTTGATATGGGCGAGTTGCAACGAAGAATCGCAAAGGGTGGTAGAGATATCACCAAGGCACAGCAGGATGAGTACCGTGCACATGCTCGCAAGATGAAGAAGATTAGCAATGATAGACGGTTATACTTTTTCTGGGTAAGCAGAACCCTCTTCTTCTTTCCGGTGATGCAGACTACTCCGCCTTTGAACTTCGACTAACAAAACCTCTAGCTGCCTGTCTTAATTTTCATCATGATGGCCATGGCGACAAGTTGGGGACCCCGGATATGGTCCACCTCAAAGATCGTTTTCTCTTTCGCCCGGGACGCAATCCAAGACCCATCAAGTGTCAGTGATCGGTTAGGTGCAATCATAGTGAATGCAGTCGGCGGTGAGCTAGAAGCAGTGTAGTTTGTTTATATTGTTGACTTGTTCTTTGCAATTTGGTTCCTTATGTTGGATGCTATTGATATCCTCAGATTTCTTTATTGAACTAATTCCTTTGAATCTCCCCATTTAAAAAGCTGTTTTATTTTCTTTGCTCGTTTATTATAACTTACTTCGTTATTGCCTTGTGTTTTATTGTCTTCAGCGCACTTTCTTTCAGCGCAATTCCTGTCAGCGTGATAGATCGCGTCGACGTCTCCTTTAAATGTTTCTCTAAGTTATTATAACATTGGTGGATTCCTTTTTTTTGTATTTTCGTTGGTAACGAGTTCGAGTTAGGAGGCGTTTTAGTGTTTTTTTTTTGGGTATTCGTTTGTTTCTTGCATGTAGTTGAGGATGGCTTACATGCTAAGAGACACTAGGCCTTCGTAATAGCCATAATGATGACGAATGTTCGGTTTTCCTCAGTTTTTCCTCACTCTATATAGTATGTAATCTAAGGTATCATTACTTTTTGAGTTTTGAACCAGCAGACCTCATTAAATGAATATATGTGACTGAGGATAAAACCCAAGCTGAAGAGTCGTCCCTTCGGTTCAATAGTGAATGAATGAGTCAACCGGCTTCTTGTCCATTTGAGACCCTGTGATTGGTTGAGAATTCCCCACCCGCCATTGTCCAGGAAATGACTGTATCCCTCCAAAAGTTAAAAGATGTCTCAAAAGTCGGAGTCGGTTCGTATTCGGGTATGGCAATTGTGCCTTAATTGGTTGCAGATGAAATCCCCTAACCCACGAGTCTACCCCCGCAGGAAAGTCGGCATTTTCGATCCTGTGCATTAAAACCCAGCAACTATTTTGCCGAAGAAAACCCATTGCTTAAATGCATATCAAGCCGCTGATAAAGAGATGCCGGTAAAGGGGAGGCTCAAATCGGAATATTCACGGTTCCGCCCGGGCCGGAACCATTAGTAGAAACTTGAATTCAATAGCCGCTTGCCGTTTTCGAGTGATAATGTGTGATTCTGGCAACGATGCCAAACCCTGGACCTTGTATTTATACGTTTAGCTGTATACATATAGTTACTCTTCTCTATGGTTTGTTTAGTCTTTTCCTCTAAGTCATATATTGGTTACCATTTCTACAGGGCATCCCATATCTAGATCTGCCATATATTATTTCGTAGATAAATACCTTGATAATTTGGAGGCCAGTCTTTAAGCGATTCATTGAAGTGTTGCCTCAAACATTTCCTATGTAGTTCAGTTGACCCATGGCCTAATGCAGTAAAAGTCGATTTAGGAGCACTAATCTCGGTCCCTAAATCCAGGGTCGACAACATGACGTATTCCCTATGCTGTGGTTGGAAAAATACGAGCCCTAAAGACCATTTGCCATCGCTACAGTCTCTTTATCACACCATAGCTATCCTATGGCTAGCCTAAGTAATAAACATATCAGTATCGCCTCCGCGTTGAAATTGCCCTTCAGCAAAGGGGTGGGGGACGGACTAATTTATATTCCTTGACCCCTAGTTCTAATAAAAAATCCAACGAACAATAACCGTTGTTATTATCTCTTTCCCAATACATCGACAGAAACAGAAACCTTAGGCGTGCACGTGTCGTCTGATCTCAGCTATCAACGGTCAGCCCTAACTGAAATGTTTGACTATTCTTCCCAGGTTCTTTGAGTGACAGCGGCCCGAGCCCAGGCGCAAGCTGTCAAGTCGGTTGTGATTGAAATGCAGCGACGGTAAGGTCAAAATAGGAAGTTTGGTTATATCGTAGATGAAGCAATGTCTCCTATTCACTCCTTTATTCAGTTTGCCCCACACTTGAGTGGTGAATCATAGACCCTTCGAATAAACCAAAGCCAAATCTACAGCGGTCGGGATATTGGGATATAACTAGAGAAGTTTTATCCCCTTAGTGACTGATACTGAAGTTTCTATAGTAGTATATGCAATACTCCAATCAAGATAAAGGCTACAGAAATGATACCATGGCGTTTTGCAAATACTTTGCCTGAAGGAAAGTTAACATCTCGGAACAAAAGACTGGGAGGTATTAGGAGAGGACCGGTTTTTATACATATGTACCGGGGTTAACCATAAATACCGAGAATCTGATAAGATAAACACACCTATTTCACAGCAAGACTCCCTTATCAGATTCTTCGTATTTACCCTCAACGCCCGGTACGTACGCAGCAGAAATGAAGAAAAAAACCTCGGGGTCATTTAATTATTTTTTGAAAGGTAAGAACCAGGTTGATTCCCAACAACCCCATTGGATCAAGTTGTTTAACTCCATTGATGCAGATTAGAGCCCTTTAGCTGCAAGAGTTGGACAGAAAGTCGAGCACTTCGACAAAAAGTCCTGCACATCTTATTGGTTGAACGGCTGCAAGTCTCTTCCTAAAATAGCTATACTTTCTGTCCAACCTGCTCGACTTTCTGTCCAACTCGCGCAGCTAAAAGACTCTATTGAAGCTCGGGATATTATGAATCTAAACAAGCATTTTCCGGCCTTTGGCCGGAGTAGGAACTGTTATGGCTTAAACAATATCAGTTTACCAACGCTTAAGATCACTGAAACCCCAAGATGCCCTGTGCACATATCTGATATACTATTTGGTTGACTCAAGGTATGTTGGAACCAATATCTACTGGCTGACTCAAACATATTTGATAGAATATCTACTAACTCCAACATATTTGATAGAATATCTACTTACTGACAAACATATTTGATAGAGAAAAAGAAAACCCCTCAAACCTGGCCAATCAAAACCTTTAAATAACACATTGCATATCGGTATATCTATATACTTATTAGATATGCGTAGGTAAAGAAGATGTCGGATATCGAGCTCGAAGGTCACCTTCCAAAGACCACCAGCACCTGCTCCTCCTTCTCCTCTTCCTCCAAGCCGTCATTTCCAGGCCGGCAAACCTCTCTCCCCCCCACCATCTGCCCTTCAAGGGGATGTGCGGTTGGTGGCATACCATAGTCACTATAGCTGGGGTTTTTGGGATACTAGTACTTTTTTTCTCTTTGGTTATGCTATTTTCCTTTGTGTTATCTTTATTTTTCTCCTTTTTTCTTAGGCGGGGGTTTCCTTAGTCATCAACCTTGTAAGAGGAGTGCGGTTGGTAGCATACCATAGTTACTATAACTGGGGGACTGGCATTGGGGATAGGTCTTTACGCCATAGTTTATACTGCATGCGATGGTTGTACCTAGAAACAATTCAAATGACTTCACACACACACACACACACGTAGGTAAAGAAGATGAAGGGTTTAACAATGCCAAGATACCAACGGTTGCTCCCGAGGACTTGGCTTTGAGGCTCAAGTGTACGCGAATGTGTCTTACCTGCGCTATCATGGTGTCATGAGCATGCACTATGATCGTAGCAGGGGTCGGACCGGTGTCAATATCGTCTTAATCGAATACACGTGGTGACGGGGCTTATTTCAGTGGTAAGCTGACTTTTTTGGTGAAATTCTAATGACCGGCATCCATTTAGAGCTCTAGCTGGCATGGAATATATTTGACAAATGCAAGTCTTCCCACGACCGGGTTTATCTCGAGATGAACATGTGTTTCTGCAGAGAAACATTAGGACTATTCTACACTTGTATCAGAATGGTCTGTTGACGGAAAGCTTTCGACTTCAACACGTTATCTGGGACCGGCAGAGAGACGCCGGGAAAACACGAGATATCATCCAACTCTCCGGATCACTAGTACCGGTAGTAGGGCCCTTATACTAGTAAGCGAAAGAAACGGAATAATCGCTCTGGGCGATTTCACATGATAAAATGCTCAAACAGGGTGTTTGAGGGCTCAGGAGAAATAGTATCCCTGGTCGCGCTTGTATGAAAATCCGATCCGATCCGAGAAAATCCACACACCTGGTTGCGTGCTGCGACAAACCTGACTCTAAGAACTTCTTTGGGATAGACCCCACAACGTTTAATTTTGAGCCCCATCGCGCCGGTTGATCTGATATCGTGTTTAGTTGGAATGAGAATCATGTACTGCTTTGTATGTAGTTAGTCGGGTATAATATATTGTATTAATGCACAGGCAGTTGACTTTACCAGCTTGTACATAGAGAGTATCGTTACGTGTCTTTTTATGTTTCTTCCCATCTTTCGTTTTGCCAGGAGATCGAGAGGTGATGATGATGATGGAAGGTATTTGAAGGGAAAATATTCTTTTTTTGATAAGTTGCATGATGTTTGCCTGAACGGATCTCGGAGATCTGAATACTATAGGTTCGACTGAGGGGTACCCAAGGAGCTAGAACCAAACATGTTCTAGAGGCGAGGGAGGTGATTGGGTGCAGGGGTTGGTTAGACGTAATCGGTCAAGGAGAGTTTTTTTACTTGCAGCTTATCCCAGGAGCTACAGAGGTCGCACTGCAGGATGTCGCATGGTAGAGTAGCAACGGTGACATGCTGTACTCGACGGATATGGTTACATTGAGCTTTACAAGTTTTATGGTAGGTTGTGGTGAAAGTGACAGTCATAATGGTGGTGGTGCTGATGGTGCGTGCGTCTGGTGTCTGGTGTCTGGTGTCTGTCTTGTCTGGCGTCAGAAAAGCCTTCCCGCTTGAGTTACAGCACCCACTTCCAAGTTCCCATATTTATAATTTCTTCCCTCCCCTCCCTTTATATTTTTCCCCAACCATCAGCTACTAATTACTTTTCTATTTTACACCTATTATTCATTACTACTAGTATCATCTCACCTAGCTCCTCCTAACCCCTCTTATCCACGGAATTCATCTCATCTTCCCCACTTCGCTCCCCTCTGTCAGTACTTTACTATTCAATAGTTGCAAAGATGGTCCCGCCTGCGCACTCTGCTGCCCAGGCGACTTCACATTCCCCCAAAATGTCGCCAGCTCCCTCAACATTCCACCGTACAACTTGTCACTCTCCTAGTCATTTAAGCACCCTCTCAATACCAGATATCTCTGAGGATTTGATGTCTCTAGATGTAGGCGGAGGCCCAGCCATTCCAATCGTCTCTCCTGCATCTCCTCCTGTAATGTCTGCTGCTCTCAATCCTGCCCACAGTCCGTTGCCGATTAAGCAAACACAGCACTCGTCGATTGCCAAATCTGTCATGAGCACACCTGCGATGACTCGAACCAATTCTGGTGGGCGCGATATCGACCATCTTGCACCTCCTCCTACTTCTGCAGCTATTGGCCTAGGGTTAAACCTTTCGGACACGCCAGTTGCTACTGCTCCAAATTCTCCAAGAATGTGAGTTTCTTATGATCTTATGACTCAGTTTAAGGAATTCTTCGTATTGACAGTAATCCAGCCGGGCCACAACCTTAGACATTCCGGGTCTCACAAAATCTAAAGTGTCGCCCGATGGCCGCATTGCAAACCGTGATATCGGTGCGAAGCTTGTTATCGTGATGGTTGGACTTCCGGCTCGAGGGAAGAGTTACATCACAAAGAAGGTGGCAAGATATCTTAATTGGCTTCAGCATGACACTGAAATCTTCAATGTTGGTAAGAGAAGGCGTCTTGCTGCTGGCGCTCCGGATGGTTTGGTCTCCACCTCAGGACCTGTCACGGCAGCGAATTTGCTCAAATTGTCAAATACCTCATTTGCCCCCCTCCCCCCTCCAGTTAATGGACACAAGCGCACCGATTCCAGTGTTAGTGATATTGCAGGGGGACTAGACCAATCTGCCGCATTTTTTGATCCAGCGAACAAGGCTGCTGCAGAGCTTAGGGAGAAGGTTGCTTTGGAGACACTGGATGAACTTCTAGACTACGTGCTGCATCGCGGGTCTATTGGGATCTTGGATGCCACAAACTCAACCTTGGAAAGGAGAAAGGCTATCGTAGATAGAGTTAGAGAGGTTGCGGGAAAAGAGTTGGGTGTGCTATTCTTGGAGAGCGAGTGCCATGATCAGCAGTTGCTTGAGGCAAACATGCGTCTGAAACTGAGTGGTCCGGATTATAAAGGGCAGGATCCAGTGAAGGCATTGGAGGACTTCAAGAAACGAGGCATGTTTCCCATCAATGAGCGAATACTAGGAGCTATCCATACTAAAACTTGTTTCAGTTGCCATTTATGAAAAGAACTATGTCACCCTTGGTGAATTCGAGGAAAAACAGGGAATGCAGTATATCAAGGTATCATTAATTGACTTACTCTTTGGAGGTTTGGTAAACTAATTTGTCTTCTAGATGATTGATGTTGGACGCAAGGTGGTAACCCACCAAGTTAAGGGCTTTCTTGGCGCCCAGACTGTTTATTTCCTTTTGAATTTCAATCTTGCTCACCGTCAAATATGGATTACTCGCCATGTAAGAAATTTATTTTCGTTATTTAAAATTGGTATTAAAGCATCTGCTCTAACAGAATTTTTTTAGGGCGAATCCACCGACAATGTGCTTGGTAAAATTGGAGGAGATGCCCCCTTGAGTGAGGAGGGAAAGAAATATGCGAAAGCTTTAACATCTTTTATGGAGCGTAAGTTTTCAAGAAGCTTCGGGATCAATTCTTCTTAAGCTAAATTCTACTTTTATAGATCAACGCACCCTTTTCCGGCAACGTCAATTACAGAAACATGAGTCCGTACATATGCCCCCTCGTGCCGGTGATATCACACCTCCCAACCCTGAATATTCCAAGGGAGATTCAATGGACGAGGATGGCAAGCCTGCAGAGAAGAACTTTTGTGTGTGGACATCAATGCTTCAAAGGAGTATCCAGACTGCTCAATACTTTGATGAGGAGGAGTTTGACATCAAAGAAATGCGGATGCTCAATGAGCTCAGCGCGGGAGTGGCTGAAGGAAAGACGTATGATCCCCGCTACCTTATATCTTACATATTGGCTCACTGAATAACAACATCTTTGGTCTTTAGATACAATGATATTAAATCCATATGGCCAGACCAGTATGCTTTGCGTAAAGCAGATAAGCTTCATTATCGCTATCCTGGAGTTGGCGGCGAATCATATTTGGATGTAATCAACCGTCTTCGCGCAGTCATCGTTGAGGTGGAACGTATGACCGACCATGTGTTGTTGATTGGACACCGAGTCGTTGCAAGAGTCCTTCTAGCATATTTTCTTGGATTGGACAGAAAAGACGTTGCCAAATTGGACGTTCCATTGGGCAGGATTTATGGCCTTGAACCGGTGAGATGCACATTTTCTTCTATATTGTCAGTTTTTACAGATATGCTAACGTGTATTGATAATAGAAACCTTATGGGACTCAATTCAACACATATCAGTACAACCCCGAAACTCAATGGTTCGATCAAATTCCAAATAGCCAGCTCATGAGCGAGGAAGGAACGCTTGTCAAGGTCAACAATTAAGTTACTAAGCTCTAATCGCCTCCATGAGCGGTGCTATCTGGAATTACTCCTTTTCTTTTAACATCTTACCTGAGTCATTTTTGTGGGTTTCCTTTTCCTTTTTTTCCTTCTAGCTTTACCCTCCCTCTTCTACACTCTGGGGAGCCTAGGGTACAGATAATCTTATTTTATCTTGTACTCTTAATGTTTTCGGTTTAAGGATATTATGGCGAAAAGAATGTGCGTGATGGATGGGAAGGCAGACTGAAAGCCGTTGTTCGGTTTTGTCCGGTTTTGGTGGGCGTTTGTGATATTGATTCTTTTCTTTTTCCAAAAATTCGTCCTCTTTTACAATCCCCTTCATCTCTCTACGAGATTTACATGTACAACTACATATCTCTCAAAAACTCTCTACTTTGAGTTTCTTTCCTCCTTGGCCGGTCTGTCGGGGTGATATTTTCGCTCTGCATTTAGGAATAAGCTTTTTTTTTGCATTTCTTTTTCCCCGGGAATTTGTTTTTCTTCTCACTCTTATATCCCATTGGTATATAGGCTTTTTTCTTTTATGGCACGCCACTTTTCTAGCGTTTTTATATTCCTTTTCCCATGTCTTTCCTCAGATTTCTTTTAGATGAGGTTGGGAATTTGCGGTCAGCCTAGACGCAACCACGATTCTTCGGCGGGGGACTCGATCTTCACAGTGGTTGCTCCGTTACGGTAGATAGATGGTGGGGTTAAATGTCGTGTTGTACCCAATGAACGTCACGTGCCTTTGTGCGTCTGCATCTAGCCAACAATATATTCTGTCTTTTTTTTGTTTCAAACCGGGGTGGCCCTCGAAAAACAAAAACACTGGCAAATGAGAGCAAGATGAGCCGAGCCGTCTATCTCATCACTCATCACTGTAGAAACACTTTCGTTCGCCCGGGGAAATTCCGCTGCCCTAGCTCGACGAGATGCGGTCTTCCAGAAGCCATGATGTTATGTAGAGGCGGGTTTGGCCACATGTAGTTTGGCCCTCTCTTTTTTTATTCCGCCCCGTGCAATTCTCCGTTATTCAACTGACGGAATGCTCCAGAGATGGAGATTGCTGACTTCGGTTGAGATCGGGACCATGGGTTGTCCGTCGCCTTTCTTTGCTTTTTTGTTTCCCCACAGTCAAACTTCAGTCTTTCGTGGAGGCGGGGGAGAAGAAGCTAGGGCGCAACTCCACAATATACTTTTCGGGGGGAAAAAAAATGAGGAGAAAAGAAAACATGTCCTGTTTTTGAATTCGTATTCTGCTACGTTTCTCCTGATATACATGTTTTCCAAAGATCCCCCCCTCCACCCCCCCCCCTCTCCACCTAGGACAACATTAACAGACCGCAAAGTTAGTTAACTAGTGGTTGATAGGTGGGGTTAATATAAAAAATAAGGTTCATCTTCTCTTCAACGCCTGTGTGTCTGTCTGTGGTTGATGATGATGCACGACGATCATCCATCCAGCTATCCCCACGTACGTTAATGTTCCACTTTTCTAACGCATTTCCCGAGGAGAAGATTCCACAGAAAGTGTGTGTGTATGTGTGTGTGCAAGAGAGGAGATTGACAGCTCCCTAGATAGATTCCCGTAAGACAGGATAGGGTAGAAGGAAGGGCTGCTAATGAATAAGTAAAGGCAAAGCTAGCCCGTCTGTAAAGGGGATTTGAAAGAAATGAAAAAAAAAAAAAACGAAAAAAAAAACGAAAAAACCGGAAATGACAGAGAAAAAAAAGATACAAACGCAAAATTCGAAGCTGCCTGACCCATGAACAAGAATAACAATAATAAACTCGAAAAACAGTATAAAATCGCGTAAAAATCACAAAAAGCCACCCATTTTGTTTTGCCGTTCCCACATCACCCACGAAACCCCAAAGCCCAATTCTCCCCCTCTTTTTTTCGTTCTTTCTTTTTCTGCTTTTTTAAAAAGGAAATCTGCCCCTGCTTCTGATCGGTGTTTTACAAACCAGCCTTAAAAATAAATAAAAATTGATGAAACCCTGGAAATAATAAAAAGTTAATGACCGTCACGGATAAATAATCACTCTGAAGTGAACCCCCCCCCAATTTCTTTCCCTCTGCATTCAAGCTAAGGCCGATTGACGGCCCTTGCCATCCTCGCACCTTCAACCGCTAGCTTGTCGGCTTGAGAATTCCCATCATTATGTCCAGTATGACCCTGTACCCACTCGAATCTCGTTTGGCTACCATACTCTACTCTCTCCTTGACCTTTTCCAGGATTTTTTCGATCAAATCTTGATTTTCCACAGGCCTTCCCACACTCGTAATCCAATTGTTTTTTATCCAGTTGATGTGCCAAACTGTGACACAATTGATGGCGTATTTGGAATCAGTATAAATCAACACCTCGCGGTGCAGTGGCGCAACATTGATGGCGCGGAGAATTGCAGTAAGTTCAGCTCTCTGATTTGTCTGGCGAGGACCTATGAGGGGTTCAGAAATATTTCTGGAACTTGAACGTTAGTAAGTATGCGCATTGGAGCGATCAATGAAATAGATATCCCACCTCGCATCCCTATCGCCGAACCACACGCCAACACCAGCCATAGCTGTATCTCTACCATTTCCGAGAGCACTTCCATCGGTATAAATCCTGAGGATGGAGTTCTTTTTCGCAGTAACCCTCGGCTTCGGTTTTTTGCGCTCCGCCTCCTCGGATGTGGAACCGTCGTTTTCCTCCCTCGGATCTGCTAAAGACACACTGGGAAACTGTTGCTGATGTTGCATATGCTCCACGGGGGAGACACTTTCCTGCTGCACCAAATTGTTTCCCACGCTCTTCCTCTTCTTTAGAGCAGGCGTGCTCTGTTCCGGGTCCGATGAAGACCCGTCTCTGCCAAAACTCTTTACACTCTCCCCCGCACCGTTCCTGGCAGCCTTTTCGCGCCCATTGACGCTCACCGGCGATCCCTCACTGCCACCGGACCCACTGCCGTTGACAAAGGCCTCAGCTTCCTCGCGGGTAGGGAAACATCGGACCTTTGGTTTCTGAACGCCGACGACTTGCTGCTCAGCTGAGGCCCAATCAGTGTATACGCCGGGAGTCTTGCCGCTGCGAACACCGTAGAATTTCGCTGTATATGAGGACGATGCAGGATCGAGCGAGGGATCAGTCCCTGAAAGAAACAGCTGCGCTTCTTCTTCGGAAGGGAATGACTTGACTATGCAATATTAGGTTGTGGATCATACGACGGAAAAGCTAGTGAACAACGCACAGGAATTGATTGAAGGGAAGGGGTTGGGGGGGGTTGGGAGGGAGGGGCGGTCCAAGGAAGCTACATACATTTTGCTCCCTTGAAACCAGTGATCTGCCCTAGACAATCCTTCCAACTGGTGTAAATACCAGGGTTAAACCCGGTCCGTACCGCGTAGTACTTCATCTCTCCGGCCCTCTTCCTCTTGGTGCCCGTAGCCCCGTCGCAGACGGGGGCACTCTGAACTGATGGTGAAGCCACTTCGAAAGTTCTAAGAGGGCTATATTCTTTTCCGGGACGGAAGAGCTGCGATCCGCGGAGCAGAGAGCTGTAGTTCTCGTTCAGTATTGAACGAAGAGTATGAGACCGCAATGACACTTTGAAAGAGAGAATTGTGTATCTTCAAACTATGGACAATTACTCACCAGAGGCAAGATTTGTGGAAGGAGGCTATGGAGGAGGGGTAGTGGGTGATATGTATGGAATGTGGAGGGGTGGTTGTGTATGATGCCGGCTAGTGGTTGAGGGAGGTGGAGGAGTTTTATTTTGGTGAGACGCGTTTTGGGGGACAACAGATTTTTTTTGACTATTCTTGCAATGACGTAGAATGTACCCGGTCACGGTATCGATAGAAAACAGCACTCGGAAGTGTGGGTTGAATGTATTGCCCAGAAGCAGCAGCAGTAGGCTGCAGTAGCAACTCCGCCGAGATTGTAAGATGATAAATCAGTATACTTTTTTTGAGATATAAAGATTAGAAGTGAGGTTTGGAGAAATGTGAAGGAGAGAGCGAAAATAGTTGTGGGTAATATTGGAAGTAACGGTAGTGATAAAAAAAAAGTCAGTCTAGCAGTCTCCTGCTCGCTCTGGGTAGACGATTCCCCCCTCCTTTTTAGCTGTTTCCCAAGCTGCACTGTGCAACTCACACCCACCCACCACCACAGGCAACACACCACTCACATACCTAGAAGAGAGGTCCCGGGGGTGGGTGGAGCAGACCAGACCAGAGAAGGGGGGGGTTGCGTTGCAGAAGGGGGGTGTTGTTTGGACTGGGCACTAGCTAGGCTTTTCCGCTTCTTCTTCTTCTTTGTTGCCCACCCCCCCCCCCCCCCCCCCTCTCCTCCTCACACCCCCGGAGTCACTGCGGGGGGAGGGGAATTGGGGGGGGGGGGTGTACGATTTCTCGGCCAAAGGGGAAGAGGCTTGAATCGTCAAATGACCTCAAAAAACTTGGCCGGATGGAAGAAGGAAGAAGGAGAAGAGGCTCTTTCCCTATCGATGCGCGGATATGAGAGGTAGGTAGTAGATAGTCTACATGTGCATACATATGCGTATACGCAAGAAGAGTAGACGCACGAGGTGATGCCTTCAATTCTTTTTTTTATTCCTACGATGCCGATCGTTCTATCATCGTTCGTTGATGTCCGTTCGAGTCAACCTGACCATCTTTTAAACTAAGAAAGGTAGAGAGTACTAGCGTGCAAGCCCAAAAGAGAAAGGTAGTAACGAAATAAGGAAACAGAGTAACTACATGTACATAAGTAAGTTGGGATGAATGGCGAGATGATCACTCTACCAGTAATAACCAGTAACAGAGAGAGTGAGAGAGAAAAAGGAATAATGAGAAGGGGGGGAGTGTTAAGTGTAAGAGTGAATGTGGAGGAGGATGAGGAGGGGGTATGCTTTTTTACGATTCATATCACAAGTTCGCCGGAAGAGGATGGGGCCTGGCAACTGCGGAGAACACTGTAGAGAGTATGTTGGTGCGGGCGAGCAAGCAGCCAGAGAGGCGATGGAAGTGGGATCAGCTTATGATATAGGATATACGCGTGCGCGGCCCAGTCAGGGATAGAAAAGTAAGGGAAAAAATAAAAAAAACAAGTTGCTCTGGAACTTTCAATCCGTTTGGACCCGTGGAGATGAGGAGTTATGGACTGAGAGTGAAAATGGGATTACAATTGACCCATCCATTTCCATTCGCGGGGGGGGGGGGGGGGGGAGAGGTGGTGAGTAGAGAAATCGACATGGGTTCTAACTATTTACTTTTTCTTACGGGTTCTGGCCCGAAGGGTGGACTATGTAGTAGCTCGTCCCTTGCTGGTTCTCACTGCGTATCCCCATAAATCATGGTGGGGGGGAGTAGGAGATGTAGGAAGGAGAGGGGGGGGTTGGACGCTGAGAGGAGGAGGGGATGAAGAGAGAAGTGCGTGAGAAATGGTGCAACAATCCGGTCCTAATCACATTGAGGAGGCGAGTAGTGGAGTACCTACTCCACGAGTCTACTTCCACCTACATCCTGCAGTGTGCCCGATCCGCCATATCGTCTCTCCCGTTCATGTACAGTCAGGTATTTTGATACGGTACCAACAGTCGCGGGTAGGCAGGCAGGCAGTCGTTATTCGCACAACCCCCGCCTTCGCGAATTCCTCCCTGGTCAACTTCTCAACTCACACCCCCCATCATCATCGTCTTCCTCCTCCCCTCCTCCACTTCCAACCCCCTCCCCCTCCCCCTCCCCCTTAGTTAAATAACAACCCACCAGCAGTAGCAGCAGCTACCAATGCACCCCACCAAACAAATATTATTGGAAAACGGCCCCCATCCATCATCACCATCATCGATGAGCCCCCCGTCGACTGGCCATTGAAGAACATATCGACCCGGGGCTATTGTCTCTTTCGGCGTTAACCACCTCTTTCAAACAATTCCTACCACCCTGCGAGCTTCGAACGTTTCGATCAAGTATTCAGATCGCCTACATATACTAGCTTCCCCCCCCCCCCCCCCCCAAAAAAACCTCTTCCCAAAATTCAAGTCACGATGCCCAACCTTCCCTCTCCAGTGGTTGAGGGATGGGATTTTGGGGGGGGGGGGGGGGGGGGGATGGGCTGCGAGCTCGCCGGTTCCCAATCTACACAAGCTCTCCCAACATACCCTGCAACTATTACTCTATTAACCCAACCCAGCATCATATCACCAGCTCCTATCCCTATGGCCCTGTCTGTACGTCCGCCTGAAAAAAAGTAAACAGCATACTGAGCTCGACATCATTGCAAATCCATAGCCACCAAAATAACCGAGTCTTAGCATATGCAATAGTACCGATTAGGTATACCTGCAGAACCCACCTCTTCCCTTCAAATCCGTAGAAACCGCGGAGGGTAAGGCTACTTATGTAGTGAAGGTAGTAGAAGAGGACAAGAGGGTAAGGGTTACTACTACTACCAGTACCCTAATAATCGTGCCTTCGTTCCGTAGATAATTCCATGGCACGTTTCCGATACAAATTGCCCCTCAATCAAAGCTCTTTTTCTTGTTCAGAATCTCAGGGCAACCGAAATGAAGGTCCGGAAAGAACAACGAGAAGGAGCAGCGAGAAAGCCCCGATTCAACTAAAGAAAAGGCCAGATCGGAGTACGGAGAGCTACTAACTAACCCTAACAACATTATTTACCCCTCCGGATGCGGTAAAAACGGGTTTTACTAGAAAACCTAAATCACGTGAAAGCCAGAACCGAAGCTTATTCATAGCACAAGACATCACTCACACTGACTGCAGCTGGCCAAGGAGCTTTTCCGGAATAAGCGAATATTATTGTATCCAAACCCACCCTTCTTGAAATAATCGAAATAGCTATGCTTCACTTATGATAATGAGCGAGGAGGAGGAACAAGAAGAAGAAAAAAAAATCTTCGGCATTAGTTATATAATATCGTCATTGAGAATAAGAAAAAAGGGGACGCCTATATAAACGCCACTGTTCGCCAGTGCAAAAATACAAATTGCAAAAAGAAATCCACCACCCATAACAAAAAAAAAATAATAATAATAAAAATAATAAAGAAAGGCGCAGAAAAGGAATGATTCGTCGTTCCTTCGGTATGAAGGCCGCGATACACACGAGGAAATAGAAAAACAAAGGGGTAAAAAAAAAAAACTCTTGGTATGTGCAGAAAAGTATACAAGAATGAAAAGAAAAAAAAAGGAAAGGAAAAGAGAGAAGGAAAAAAAAGATTGTAACAAACTCCGGGTCATCGATCCCTCTATGCCTGTATTTTACCCTCGCAGCTAACCCTACCCACCCCCGTTGACCATAATTCCAATGTCCATCTTTCCAAAACAGGAATCCTCAAAAATCATGTAATGGCCTTAAATAAACAAAATGAATGCACGTAGAGCTGAACGCTTTACCGGTGAACCGCTTCCAAAAAGAAAAGAAAAAAATCACCCCTAAACTTTCTCAGCCACCAATTAAACTTCCACCGTGTCTACCCTGATCGTAGGCGAGTCATCCTTAGTCTCCATCGTCTAATCCTCGGTTACAAAATGAGTTGCATAAATAATATTTTATGCCTCCCGTTACACCCTCAAAATAGCATCGGCATGTTCGATCTCCTTTCCCTTTCCTGTAGAAGGCATATCTGACGAGTCGCACCCGCTGTCAGGGCTTTGTGCACGCATATCTGGATCAAGTGAATCTCCGGCCTCTTCTGGTATGGCTTGGGTGACAGTTCTCCGAAAACTACGGCCCCTGGCCTCCTTCCAGGCCTTACTACTTGGTGCCGCGGTTGTACTGACACGGCCATTGTCTGAACTTGATCCCCAGCTATGTCTCTTCCAGTCCTCAAGATAGGCAGGCCTCGTACGCTTTCCAGAGCCGCTAGTGCTGCTGTTTTTCTCGTTAGAAGCTTCTGGTTTCGAGGTCGGATAAAGATAATATCCGTATCCCGCTGGATCCGCTCCGAGAATTGACATGCGTTCTATTTTTTGATCTTCGGTGTAACCACCAACACCATCGGGTTTTCTGCCGTCTGATCGTCTGCGGAATGATTTTGCACGTGCCAAGGAACTGGAAGATCTTGGTCGCGAAGAAGAAGAAGAGTTCGATTTCGGCATAGGAGGAAGCGGTGGGAGATATTCTTGCGTGAGGTCTGCAAGATCCGGGTGGGACTGGCTACGGCGCAGGAAGTTCCCCAGTGAGCTCCTTCTCCTTGGCTGGTGGTTCTCGTGACTTTGACTTGTCATTGACCTTGGAGGTGCAGAAGGCATGGTATATGGTGAGTGGGCATCCATGACACTCGAAAGTGGTGAGGGATGTTTTTGGTAGCTGTCCGTTGACCTTTTTACGGGCTTTGGAAGCTTTGTAGTGTTCGGTGATACCTGCTTTGGCGGAGAAATGGGTTCCACTGGGGTATCTGCTATGGCTGTCGCCGAACCACCACCCATCGTAACTATTGAGGCCGATGATAATGACTTAATCAAAATTGATGGGGACGAGTTTGAGGGTGAGGTTGCTGCTGTAGATGCATCTGACGTAAATTCGAGTGAGGAAGCAGACGAATTTGACGGAGATGGTGCATGACGGGCAAAAGGTGGCCGTACCTCTGCGGGTATGGATGCAGTTGATGAGGTTCGAATGGTTGGGAGAGCTGGTTCTGAATTTGCACTTGAACTTGAACCTTCACTGTCTGAACGCTCCCTGGTAGGTCCAGTGGGTAGTGATGCTGTAGAAAATCCAAGACTCTTCGAAGCAGGTCCACTGATGATAGGATTGGCGATTTCGGCTTCAGCAAGCACAGGTGTCTTCTTTGAAAATTTCCAAAATGAAAACATAGCTCTTAGGCTACTCCGCTTCTTGACAGCTTGGGAAGCATCTTTGGTTCCGGCAGGGACTGACTTGGAAGATCGAAGTTTCGGCATTTTGTGTGATCTGTATTTGTTCTCCCTCTCTCTCTCTCTCTCACTTTTTTTTTTTTACTTTTTATTTTTCTCCCTCACTATCTGTTTTCCAAATCCTTCTCTTCTAACTCACTCTTCTTTCTTCTTTCTCTGTCTCGATTAATATAATTGTTGCAATAGTAGTGGCAGTATTGGATATAATAGTGGTGTGCTAATAATATGAGGGTTGCCGTTACTGCTGGATGGGAGCGAGTGATACTTGTACAGCTACCAGATACTAGCAATTGATGGATTAAGGTTTATAGAAACGAGGGTAAAGTAAGGCAACTAGGCCGGAAAGCAAGCGAGCGAGGATGTGGAGATAAATAGGAGAAAAGGGAATGAAAAGAAAAGAGTGGATGAGAAGAGGACAGGAATGGTTATTAGAGAAGAGGAAGGACAGGGAAAACAAGGAAGTCACAAACCTGGAACAACTAGTAATGTAGTAAGTCAGGCATAATCAAATGGAGTGATGACGATAGCCAATATGCGCGAACATCTTAGTACTATTTCCAAGGGAAAGGGGTGCTGCATCGACTGGCCGCCGACACTGGGCAGGACAGACAATTACGCGCACCCTAGACAGCTCTAGAGTAACGATTTTCGCCCTGTAACTTGACCCAGGCAATCGGAAAAACCAGCCGAGAAGCAAAAATATCAGACAAGACAAGACAATTTTAAGACAAGGGCACCTCAACCACCACCCACGGAATGATAGTAGATGCACGGAAGGGTGCAACATGATATGCACGGAACAGAGCAACATGGGCTATTGACTGACTGACATTGATTGACCGCACATCTCGCTGCAGCAACCGCGATCCCATCCAATCAATGATCGCCAAACTGGAGTCGCAATAGACGTGTTCATGGGCGGAACATGACTTATGGCTTGGAGAGTGTAGGCGTGTAGTACTGTGAGACTGATCCCGCTCCTATCCAGATAAATAAATCCAATGTAAAAACATCCTCTCGAGTTTCATAAAGACTCGGGAGTAAAATAGGAATCCATACGGCAACACACACCAACAAGGCCATTCACCAACTCACCTACTACGTACTAGTCTTCACATACATGCCTACCTCAAACCTTCTGATGAGCTCAATGCAGTCGATACAGCGCACAAAACGGATGGGATACCAATGAGGAATTCGTGGCATGGTGTAGCCGGGTTCGAAACAGCATCATCAGACATTATGTAGGTTATAGGAAGGAAAAGAAACCAGCGCGAATACGTGAACTCGAGATGGAAATAGAAGTAAAGGAAAATGAGAAACACGCTGCTATCAGTCAGACCTAACGACACGGTACAGAGCCACTGTGGACCGCAGCACTCTCAGATCGCGATTCGTGAAACGAGCCGTGTGGGTGCAGAAACGGCTCGCCTTTCGCTGTATCTATACAGCTGTATCTAGTGTGTATACATGTCCCTATCTGGTGTTCGGAAATTATAGACTAGCAGCTTGCACCCCCGTAGACACCTATTGAAGATAATAACTGATACACATTTTGGATTTCGAGGCACAGGACACAGCAGGACGTTGCCTGCTGCCTGCTGCTTGTTGCCTGTTCCTGCTCCTATTCCTGCTGCTTCTGCGCCAGAGCCAGCCAGCCCAAACCAGCCACAAGGCCAATAGGTATGTACATACATGTACGTACTACTATAGCAGCTGAAATGTTACTCCCATGTGGGATATTTGAGATTGGGATTCAGATATCATACATAAATATACTTAGTGTGATACTCTTCTAGGTCCCAGGATGCTCCGCGGTCAGGGAGTTGATGCTGATAAGGAAAATTTGATTCGCTCCGGCGCCAATTTATCCGCCCTTCCTCATCCTCCGAAGGCCCGTGATTCGGGACTCGTTTCGAAGAGGCCCCTGCAGTCGCAAATCTTGATTCGCGGAATGTGCCGTGCGGTGCAGTGCGATGAGGGAGGGTTCTTCTGCTTTCGCTTGTCATGTCAACGTCAACTTGGGGGGCTCCTAAAATCAAGATACATGTAGTCTAGTTAATCCGTTGCGCACTCACAATTGACGATGCCATTTTTATTTACTTTTTCAACATCAAAGCACCATACATGTAGGTAGAGAATATCAGAGTACTCTAGATCCAATGTCCGAAGCATATCACAGATTGAATAGTACTGATTTAAAGTATAACGCCTTCATTTATATGGTTATGTTAGTTTTATATTGGTAAATACTTTAATACGTACCCCCTACTCTTGGCATACCATACCGAGGAGTACTCCTGCTCAGTAATATAAACCACACGAATGTAGATATAAACGGAGCCTAGAGTATATAATTACATTCGCTATTGTCAGTATAGTTTGTTCATTGCGCATAAATACAGGTATATATGCTCGAAAAGCAGCGGCTACATGTAGTATCGCCGTCACAGCCACCTATCCGGTAAGATAAGGAGCGACTCACATCATCTTGCATCTAGATACAGGCTACACTTCGAGAGAAAAAAAACAAGAAAGACATCCTGCTGTTTTTATATTTATCTTTTCGCCAATCATTCCTAATAGAACCAGGTACAACCGGCGTAGTGAGGTTCTCCGAAGCCTAACCCTAATATTTTCCAATATGATTGTCTGCCGCGTTATCTTTTTTTTTTTTTTGTTCTCCCCACGCTCAAATCCCACATCAGTTACTCTTGTGAGTGTCACGTATTACTTGGCAAATAGGGTAACTTTCGTCACCGTGACACCTTGATTCGACCCCCGAGATTCCGCCTTCAGTATACCCATTCACATCCCTTCCTTCTTTCCCTTTTCTCCTAGTGTCGCACCCAAGATGCGCAGACTACTTAAGCTTCTTCTGCACCACGAATACTATGCCTTTAAAACATATCCAGTGCTTTAGGGGCGTGGCCTTATCTGCAGTCATCAATTCGCGTCGCGCCGGCGAGTATTCGTGCTCTTGTCGTCCTTTCTTCGGATCGATTGTGTTTTTTTTCTTTTCATTGATAGCATGATGTTGATTGACAGCGCCAGCAAAGCCCGCCTCCCTAAGCCTCGAACGTGTCTATCCTCAATCACGAAAAAAAATATGCATATCGGACGAAAGCGCTTCGCTTGTGCTGTTTAACCACAACATCAGACGATCTTCCGCCTCATGTTCACTCAATCTACCGATAGGGTTGAAGAGTGGATCCACTTCAGTCTCGAGGTGAGACATGCGCATCCTAAGCAAGACATCCACGAGTCTTTTTACTATTCATTGTGGTAATTCGCTGTTTTTTGATTCGCGATATCCGCCGACCGGGGGGGGGGGAATAAGTCGTCATATCTATTGAACTGAGCATTTGGACGGATTTATAAAACAGCCCTACCCAATAGTTTGCCAAAGCTCAGACCCTCCGGAGTTTTTACTTCCACAGGAATTGAGGGTAGAAGTGCTTCAAGGAGTTCGTCCGTGATCATCGCGAGAAGCAGAGCGAATCGATCAGATTTCAGCTGAAGGATAAAGAAATAACAATTCCAAGCGGCTGGACAGAAATCGAATCCGTTTACCTGTCAAAAAACGACTGTATTGGTGGGTGTCAAAGGGATTGGACCCATAGAAGTAAGTTTGTCATATTCTGTATATAAGAATACGGATTCTACTTGACAGAAGCAAACACGATGCATTGCGCAATCCACTATTTCCTTTACGTCAATCAGAAAAACTCATTCGAAGTCCGTAGACCTCGACATAGAGGCACTAAACGATGCTGCCTTTGAAACAGCATCGCATGGTAGCATCACAGGATATCACTCGTTTGACCCAAGCTTGATACCAGGGGCTGACTTGGTATCTGATCGGCAGGTATCTACAAACACTAAATGGGCTTATTTTGATTTAGTCCCGATTCTACTTTCAATGTGCATGAATGATCTCAAAATTTACCATTTGCTGGTAACGACTTTGATTCGCCTCTCGCCAGCCACAACTGACAGATTGGCTCGGATCAATATCCCTGCAATAATTCGATCCTTTACGTCGAGGTTACTAGTACTCTCTAGAACGAAATTGTCGGCACCGAGATAATGATATCCGAATTCTGGCTCCCACCGAGCCTCCACCATTCTCTACCGGATCGCCACTTGCCATTATCATGGACACTAGCAGGTTCGATAACTGGCGACATACGCGTACTTCTGGAGGGAAATGTGCCCTAGGGCTAAAAAGCAGTTTCTTATAGGGCCCTCTGTTTACCACACGTGCAAAACCTCCCCAACATGATATACTATGCAGCCCTGGTCGTGAGGATAGATAGGGTAGATTCAAGCCGCCGAGTTATCGGTTTCGAATTATCCAGGTGCGGTCAGCTCAGCCCAGCCCAGCCATCATTATGATAGCATCAAAGCAAGCTGAAAATCCCACATTGGTTGATTACTTCATTAATTGTATGCAACATGTAGGTTGAAAATCCTACATGGTAAAGGCAAGAAGTAAACAGAAATCCCTAGGATGCGATTATAACCTATGACACGAGGAAGGAATTACACGCAAAGTTTCCTCTTCTTTCCGATTTTTTTTACTTTATTTTTTCCACTACGTTTTCCTGTCGAGTGAGCTCCTTGCGTACCAGCCTAACATACAGATATTTCTTAGCTGCAGATTTGGCAGCCAGTTTTTGCATGGTGGGGGGCCCAAGGCTCGGTACGTAGGGAGCTCGTTCAGCAAGGCTATGGATATCTGGCATCAAGTTTCTAGTGGGTATCTTCGTCTATCACTTAGCGAGAACAGCACTTTCATGTTCTTCTAATAGGCGGCTCCAATTAATGCCCTTTCCCCGCAGTGCGCGGAGCAAATTGGCCCCCACAAACACTACATATATGTACTCTAATCAAGTCCCGTGGGGGCACCCTGCTTCGATAGTGTGTAACCGCGGGAATCGAGGATTATGTTGCTTAATTCAGAGCCTCATCAGCTAAGGCGATAGCTAGCAGCTATTGGCTGCATCGCAGAATCCAGTCGCCGAATTTTATGGGTTTATGGCGCTCCCCGCATGGGGATAATCCGATTCGTTCGCGCTTATCTCGCTTCCGGATTTAGGGTCTATATATGCGGCTATATATGCGGCAGTCATGTAAGAGACTAACCAATCTTACTTGCACCATCTTCGAGTGCTCGTACGTGATTACACAATTGATTGATGAGAACATAGGGCTTGTCTATGAAGCTATTGTCTAAAGAGGTGCAAGGATGAGTGATACTTACACGCCTTATCTGGTAACAACTAGCTATCAGTTATGGCTTTTAAATAATGTCCTCTGACTTAGGGTCTTGTACAATTGTGGAAAATGTCAAAGCTGTCGTGATTGGCGAATAGCGTTCACATCTAACCTCAAAGATATGGAGTCTCATGCGAACAGCGACCTTACCGTAGGGGATACACACAAGACTAGGTCTCATGCTCATATATTGAATGAAGGTGGTTCCTCGATGTCGCTGTAGAATGCTTCTGGGGTTTAAATATGTTTTTTGTAAGCTTTCTGGCCTGTCTGTTTATGGCATAAATTCAATTGGACCTCACGGGAGGCGACAGAATGAAGGCCGACCTTACATGTATGGAGTGTACCCGATATCCCATTGAGTGATATTGGGATAGATACATTGTACGGGTATGCAATTATCTTCTGATTCAGGGTTGTTGAGGGGTATCCGGTAGGACACACAGCGGTGCGTCCTTTGGGCTGAACTGAGGGGAGAGTCTAACCGGCTCAATCCACAAAAGTTTCTATTGAAGGGCTTGATTTAGACAAAAACCGATCTTCTGACTGAGTTAGCAGCCATGATATAGGTGAGGGTTGGGGCTTTTGGTCAGGAAGACAATCGCCGAGTAAAAAACACAGAAACGTATTTACGCAAAACAGCCATATCTATCCTGCCTCTGTAATTAATTGTGTAACGTAACGGTGGGGGTCTAGAATGAACCACATGTACATACATGTACTTAAAGACAGATCGAAGCCTTCTTCTTCATTGGCGTTAAAGTCAGGTAGGTCAGCCATCACCTTGCAGCTAAACATAGCAACAGCCTCCAAACATTCCACTGATGTCAGCTTAGTGAACTGGATATCAGTATCAAGCGCTGGTGCAGTCTATGGTGGCAGGTTTTTCCTCAACACAAGCTCCGTAAGATGCCTACATTCCCTGATAAGAACGCTAGTTAAGTAATAGGTCGGGGATATCTTCACATGAAGCTTGTAGGAATTGATCATCTCCGGTTCCCTCTACATGCGACCATAGTGTCCCTTACACCCTCGGGTCATGATCATCATAACAAGCTGGAAACCAAGTTCTCGGCGTTCCTGCAGCTGGTGAACTTATGCTGGGGCATCACGTGTTTTGTGCACACGCTGGAGAGAAAGGAAAGAAGGGGTTTGGGCTGCATCTCAACATGCAAGGTACCAATCGCTGTAAGGGGAAAAAGGACTTTCTGGAGATTAGGTTTCATCCGAGATGAAGAAGCTCTTCAGCATAAAACAAGTGCAGCGGTGAGTAAAATGGCATTTTTTGTATATCACGACGGAATATTGGACGTTTATGCTCAATTTCCCGCCCCACTGCGGTATTTTCGAACGGTCCAAGATTGGAAATGAGCCTATGTTAATCAAAGTTGTTGACACATAAAGGAGGCATTGAAGGGGTTCTGTGAATTCGGAGGCGGACTGTTCCCCTCATAAGTCATAACTTATAATTGGTCGGTCCCCTGGAGTTGCTTTCTCATTTTTTTTTAAATTGTTCCCACTTTTATTAATGTGTTCTATATGAGCTTCATCCTAAGAAATTGGTTTCGAAAGAGGTGTGAAAATAGGAAAGACAGGAAGACATCTCCTAGGGCATCATATATTCGTTTAGATCAATCCCCAAGGATACCAACCTCACTTGATACGACTTCAACGCATAACCTTGTAAGTAACCACTTCATTCAGAATAGGGTTTCAACCACGCATAACTACCTAAAGCTAACCTTAGGAAAAATAGATTCTGGGGGGCATCTACCGGTAGTATATTTCATCTATATAGGCCGATTAATTTCCAACTACAACTATGCATCGTATCATTACCCACGCGATCCATGCTTTGCTCATGAAGCGCCATGGAGTAGTCACGCATGACGATGATTTTGAGGAAGATCATCTAAACGATCTTTCTGAACACTTTCATACCATGATGCCACTCGACCCTGCCGGCCCCCCATATAGACCTTCATGTGGTGGGTCAAAAGAGGTTGGCGTCGATTATGATATCAAGTTACATCTTGCTTCTCTCCTCGTATTACTAGTAACAAGCTCTGCCGCCGCTTATGCGCCAATTTACATACGATATCTGATTAAAAAAAATGCACGTACTGCGGACGCCCGAACTAGCGATCAACTCCACACGGAGGATGGTATCTCGATCATGACAGGAACGAAGGAGAGAGTGACTGAGATTGCATCGAATACATTTCAATGGGTATTATGGGCTACTAAACATTTTGGAACTGGTGTCATTATCGGGACCGCATTTATACATGTAAGTTCTTGCTATTCTTGCCTAATCAGCTGATCGAGTGATATACCATGACGATATAAAGTATACTTCGCAGCATTTTTTGTTTGTTCAAGAATTCTAAATTTGATTTAATGAAATATAGATTCTACCTGCAGCGCATTCTTACCTTACCGCACCTTGCCTCCCCTCTTTCTTCACCACCGATTACCCCTCTCTGCCGGACGCTATTGCAATGGCAGCCATGTTCGCGATATTCCTTATCGACTTTTCGTCCAAAAGTTGGGTCGAATCCCTCCATGACCAAGCTACAGCAGATGCCGAAAAGAATGCGGGATTGTCCGAAGAATACGAAGCACGCATATCCGACCCGGCAAACATTGACCGATCGTTGTACCAACCCGAGGAGAACGGATCCGTTCTAGTTTCTTCACATCGGCATGCGTCTAAGGAAGACACTCCAAGTGATATGGGCACGGTTCATCACGATGATCTTCTGACGATAAATCAAACACCACCACTCACAGAATCTGAGATTGCAGAGATTGCCAATATGGACGCACATCAGGTTGAACTGCGCTACCATAGGCAGCAAGAGTTATTATCAACCCTGATTGTAGAGGCTGGAACATGTTTTCACAGTATTTTCCTTGGACTTTCTTTGGCTTTATCAACCGGGGATGGGTTCACGGCGCTTTTTATTGCGATTGTATTCCATCAAGTATTTGAAGGACTAGCTATCGGATCTAGGCTAGCAAGCATCGACCTCGATAATCATAACTCAAAAGATTGGAGCTTGTGGGTTTGCTCGACAATTTACGGAATTACTACCCCGATGGGTGTCGCTATTGGTATTGCGGTCAGACAGGACTATGATCTCGCGAGTGAGAGATCGCTCATTTTGACGGGGGTATTTGATAGTATGTCTGCCGGGTTCCTGCTATATGGTGGGCTTGTGGGATTACTTAGCCGTGACTTTTTACAGTAAGTTTCCTAAGAGCTTAGGCAGTGCTGTAACGTACTGACAAACAAATTAGCGGTGAGCTGTCAAGGTCACCAGCTAGAGTGCGTATGGCGGCCATTTTCTTGGTCAGCTCTGGAATGTTTGTTATGGGGTATGTGCTCTTTGGGGATTTTCTTCTATTTAATGCTGACATTTTTAGGGTTCTTGGACGTTATGCTTAGAGGTTATACCACTGGAGACGAAATTACAATTAGCGAACCCGATTTATGATTGATGGTTGAAGGGATTTGTCACTTGGATTGATTAGTTCTAGATATTATTCTAGTGCGGGCTGTAATGTTTCGCCAAGATTACGAGTAGTTATGATTGTTTTGAATTTATGAATAAATGTGAATTGAACTGAATCGAATCCCAGCGTCTTGATAAAGTCTGACGTAATCCACTCACTTTCGAAACACCGAGTGATAGATTGTGATCTTCAAATGGTCCAACGATGTGCTTAGTATCTGAGTTTGTTGACTCTCGGGTCCCATTAAATTTTTTACTTACATACATGTACAATGCAGAGAATGTAGTACAAAAACGTGCCGAACCATTCAAACGGTCTAAAGCGGGACACACATTCAGGCCAACCATCCCTCTCCTGCCGGTGATCACATAGCGGCCCAGGCCAAACCAACCAACGACCGCCCCACCCACTCAGCCAATCACTTACACTCCGGTATATGCCAGCAATCCATCATTGATCTTATTAAACACATCAAGAACCATCAGTAACAAAGCAAACGTACATACGGGTTGAACCTCATCAAACCCTCTGGCGGGAGATTCAAGCGGTGTCACGCACGTTGCCTAGAGCAAGCTCACTTAGAAATAAGAACGGTTTAATGGATATCCCCATCAAAAGTATCTACATATTTCTCAAAAGTTCAAACGACGCAACCAGAGCTATTTTGATTGAGCTAATATATCTTTCTCAGATAAATCACCTGGGCCTGTTGTGATCAACAGACAGGATCGATGGCCACCCCCAACAAACCGACCTTTATACCCTGTGCGACCAGGTCTTTTGGAGGAGCCATCCAATATTAATACTGGAGGGAATAAGGCATCCAATGTACCGCAAGAATTTAAGGCATCCACTTCGCTGCCGCAAAGACCTGGGATCAGCCGCGGTATCGGGCGACTTGCGGGAAGTCACCCAGTACTTTTTCAACCAGGACCACAGAATTATCCCAGGAGAAAATTAGCGACAAGCGTGCAACATCAGAATACGAACCTCAAGTCTCTTCTTCTCAACACAGTTTCCGACTTTGAGTCTTCGACGCTAAACTCTACCAGAGCCACCACAGCTGCCACAGATAGCGGTATTTTTGAGCAGTGGCGATCAGAGGAGTACAGAAGTGTCGAAAAAAATATGGAAAATACAAATTTTCAAAACGGCTCGGATTCAGATTCAGACGGGGGCGTTACTCTGGCTGTACAGGCTGCTTTTTTGCAACAACCAGGCACCGCAGGCCTTTCTCTCCGGTCCGTGGCCCCAAAGCCCAACATAGAACCCCAGAAGCAGGAGAAATCACTACCTAGAGAACATGAATTGAGACAGCAGGAGTTGGAGATCAAAAAGGCCGTTAGGAGACCATCCTTAAGACCACAGCCCTCGTTATCTTCTCACATAGCAGCAATACTACAAACTCCAGGCAGTGTGAACTTTATGTCTACGCGTCGTAGAAGCTCAGTTACAACCGCCACTGCACCTAGTCCAAACTTCTCTAGCTCGGCTAGCTCGTCCACGACTTTTACTCCCGTTGAGCTCGAAAAAAACGAAGATAAACCCCTTGGTGAGCCTTCTGGGAAGCAGTCAAGCCCTATTGAAGCTCCATATAATCTGCCAAATTCTATTTTCACTTCAAGGGAATTGGTCGAAGATAAATTGCCCGGCAGATTCACCGACCATGATAACGATCTATACTGGAATACACCGAGTACACAACCGGTACAGCTCAGCAAACCTCCACAGAAACCTCTACAAACCCCTTTACAAAATTCTCTACAGTGCCTCCAATACAAGCCCCCCGTACCGGTATCTATTACAAAGCAAAGGGATCATAGATCATCATCAATAACAACGCCGCGGAGGTTCCGGGAACTGAAAGACGGTGACATTGTCGGAGAGGAGGCACCGGAGATTCCCAAGGAGAATAAGGGTCGACGCATGATGGAGAAGATGGGATATAGGGAGGGCACTCCACTTGGTACCAGCGGTGATGGGAATCTGGAGCCTGTCAAGGTTGAAGTTAGGGTTGGGAATCGTGGGTTGGGCTTGTCGAAGGAGGACTTGGCAAACAGGGCACGGGAAGAGCAAGCAATTAGAGTTGAAAGGGCAAGGAATATAGAACAAGAACTGCTAGCCAGAGTGGCCCAAACAGAGAGGGTGGCCCGGATGCACAGGGCGAGCTTAGATGCCGCAGTCCAGAATCATGCGTTTCACCAACAATATCAACCTAACCAAGTAATCCTGGGCCCATTAGATCATACAGCATTCGCTCAACAAGGACGGCTTGAAGATTCTACTATCCCAGGACCTGCGCAAATCGTGAAATACACCATGGCCACGCCTTGGGAAATTCATAAAATTCGGGAGCGGGTTACTCAGATTCTCGGCGATCTCGATGCATGTGGGAGTCTTAGCCCCGTGGAGAGTGCATCCGTCCTTTGGTCAAGTATCAACTGCGCAGCAGCGGATCTACAACAATCACGATTTGGGTTCCTGGTAGATGCCGAGTTGACTGAAATAGTTAGGAGGGGATATATGGGAATAATCATTCAAAGAGAGCAGACCGGGGGTGGGTGGTGAAATAAAAGGACCGAGTGGGATTAGAATTAGTTTGATTTCATTTTTAATTTTCATTGTTAATTCTCATGGTTGATTCTCATTGTTAGTTCCCATTTCTTATTTTTAGTTTGAAACCTGATTGGTGAGATGATTGTCTATAAATTAGCATGAAAATCAGAAATGTCTCTATCAGAGACATTTTGTCATCACGATATGTATGGCAAATTGGAGACGGAACCTTTTTGTGACAATAGAAAAAAAATCCCGATTAGGGTGTATTTATAACAAACCACAAGTAATATATAGCCCTACTAATGAAATTCCAGAAAGAAATGTGCTCCCTCAAGACGCTCAAGTCGCTCAATGGATAAAAAAAAAATACGAAAAAACCCTCCTCCATGAACTGGGAAAGAAATTGAAAAATTGGCTGCATGCCATAGAAACCCTCATAAGCAGTGCTCCCACCATCTGCTATTACCTCCGAATCCTAAAGCCGCTCTCACTCTTCCCCGATTTCTTACCGTCTTCATCAATTGGGATTGGGCAAGTTAGGGCAGGGGTTATACTTACCCAAGATATAAGTTAGTACGAGGAGCCTTAAATGTTTTGAATCTTCACATCCCTTTGAGCTTCTCTTCGACCGCCCCCTCTCTCTTCCTCTAGTTGTGCTAACAGGGTGTTCAGTTCCCCCTTGGCAATCTTTTCGCATGTCTCATGGTCCACATCGAGAAGAGGATCTCGCATCATCATATCTCTAACTTTCAGGTACGATCTCACGAGTGTATCATTGAAAGCAGTGACTGAAACCTTGTGTGGGATGCTCTCCTCTAGAACACAAAGAGAACAGAAGATGTCCGACAAGGCAACTTGTTCTAGTCGCTCGATGATGACAAAATCAAAGAGACGCATGGGTACTGTTGGCCTGCCAGGAGAATGATGGTATGGTGGGAGCTCCCAGCGTTCCTCTCTGCCATCGAAGCTTTCGCTCGACACGGGCTCCAGATTCTCTCTGGTCCCTCCCTGACATCCATTCTTATTCACTGCTCCTACCTGTCCCCCAGGACTAGCATCGGGAATTTGAGGGTGAGCCTGGGGAGGTGCTTGGGATTCGATTCCAGCCAGACCATGACATGAACGATCAACTGCGCCATCGAATGTCCCTCCCATCTCCAAATTTTCAGAACCAGTTTTAGCTTTGCCATCGACTACATCGTTGGCTTCATTGTTGTTTCCATAGCTGACATCCTCCTCTTCCTCCCCTTGTTCATCGACATCTCCATCGACCTCCTCGCCAAGTTCCTCATCACCAATCTCGTCGTCAATTTCCCCTTCGATCTCCTCATCGAGTTCGCCATCAAAATCACTTTCGAGGTATTCCTCGGCCTGGCTCTCTCTCTCACTCTCGTCTCCATTCTCATCATCGCTCTCAACATCAACATCAACCTCGATCTCATCCTCATCCTGGACATCGTCGTCGATGGTAATTACCCGGGGGCCGTCTGTCATATCCATATCTTCCTGGCCCCGATCTTCATGTACTTGCATACTCCGTATCTCTTGCGGAGTCTGTAGCTTTTGAACATTCTGGCCCCTCGAACTTCTTGGGTCCCTCATCCTCGGGTCCACCTGCTCCCTGCGCTCCTGCATTTGCCCATTTTCTTGAAATTTCTCCTTATCCAGAAGCAATTGCAGGCCGCCTTTGTTATCATTATTGCCACCAATGGCAATACAAGAAGGATCTCTACCTTCCCCTCCATTATTCCAGTACCTTGCTTCGTTTCCTGTCATTCTAGTATCACCACGGCGTCTAGGATCTGAAAGACGGCGAACACCACCTGAAGCGCCGACTGCTCGGCTGTTTCGTTTAAAAACGCCATTCGAGGGTCCTGGTGTTCTCCCAGCTCCCGACGCTGCTCTGTCTTGATTGTTTCCCTTTCTCATTAATTTTCCACGGCCACGCGCCCCGCCAGGAGGAACACCCCTAGCCGCAGATGTACCATTCCGGTACGCCTTTTTGCGGCCTTGGAAACGACCAGAAGGGGGCTTTCCTCTATTTAAAACCCCAGCTTTCGGCCCCATATCTTCCTGTTTTACGATAGGCCTATGGTTCATGCTTGCGTCCATGCCCATGAATCCATACCCAACACTACTCCTTCTCCCCCTTATCATATGATCTACTTGTCTTTCCCCACCCTCATTGGGCCTTCCAGGGAAGCTTCCAGCCCTATACCCGGGTCTCTCAGGTATGAACCGGCTCTGATTTCCAGGAGACATCTCACCCATCCGAGTGCCAAACATCTCACTCTCTTCATATCTAGACATATTTTCTGGACTCCAAGCTTGAGATGTCTTCGAAGTGTTGTAAGCGTTAGGTTGTTTTGGTGGACTATGCATATATCTCGCGTCGGAAGCATGGCGAGGAGGCGAGTTGAAGTTGTAGCCTCGTTCTCGCGAATCTATTTCATTTATCACCCGAGAAGATGAGCCCTCAGGGAATCTCGGACCAGTAGGAATGCCGCGGTAGTCATGGCTGAATGCCTCTTGTCTCCTATGCCCCGAGCCAGTATCGGCCGCCGGCAGTGACTGTGTTAGAACCTGGCCATTACCATTTTTATCGCGACGGTGAATCTCGAAAGGGGCGGAGTTTGACCCTTTGGCGAGCCGTTTAGCACCGTGACTAAACTTTACAGGGGCTTTGTGTGAGTTGATGGCGGTGCCATTCGCCCGTGGCCCTCTGGGTGAAGCGAAAGTCTCATGCGCTCTTTTGGGCGAAGGTCTAAACAAATCTTGATGGGACAATATCTTGCCATTAGGCGTCTGTTGTCTGCCAAATTGGTTGGTATACTCGTTCACTGGAATATCTGGAATGTGCTCGCGCGCATGAAGCTTTAAAGGGGAAGATTTCAAACCCCGCATCATATCCGAATGTCTATGGTTTTTCTTAATAGAGGAGGCGCTAGCACTACCGCCGAGCTTTTCTCGCAAGGGTATAAACTTCTTTTTTTTGGCCTTGTTTCTTGAGTTACTTCTGGATGCTCCTGGACTCGCCGCTGCTACTGATTGGTTAGAGCCGCCCTTCGAAGATCTACGAGTTGTTGCTGTTTGATGAGCCTTGGGGCCAGTGGGTGGTGATTTGATGCCCAGTGGCATCTGGTTAACACCCTTTGCAGCAGATTTGGGCGTTGCTTGCGACTTTGGGCCAGTAGGTGGGACTTGCGGAGTCATTGCCTTCGGTGCCCTTGGCGGACTCCTCGATACCTGTTGAAAAGCTGCATCAGATGGTACTGGAGCTCTGAAGGCGTTGTTCCCGTTTTGTCCATTGGAACTACGTGATGGAGTAGTAGGATTAGATGGTCCTGGGGCTGTTGTTGTCGCGGGAGCACCGATATGCCGCAGCCTGCTCGGGTGAACCATTGCAACGTCTCTGGGAGCACTCGGAAGATGCTTTTTCGGCGTATTCGAGCTCTGTGTGTCCGGAACTGTAATAAACGGACGCCAATGAGCTCGTCATCGTCGAGGTCTTCATCGAGAATTATAACCTCACCCTTCAAGAAATTACGCAGGCCTGTAGCTTGTGTACTATTACCGTTTGCGAAGGCAGAGGGGTGGTGTTCGCAGCCTTGATCTAGCTTGGTGGTTTCAAATTTGCTTAACGATGCCCCCTCGGACATGGTGGTGCTGCTGTTGCGTCAATATGAGCAAAGCTGTGAGCTATCGCTGGTGGGTTGTTGCTGGAGGTTAGATCCAGGATGCGATTGTCGTTGCCGAGACCGCCGCATCATCACTCAGCCCTGGCGGGGAATGCAGGCACCCTAACCCTGACGGGATTGAAATTAACCATCCATCGATCAGGAGTTTCGTGATTGGACAGAAAAGAGGGCTCCTCTGTCCAATCACGTCGTTTGGTGGGAAAGAAGAGAAGCGCAACATTATTAACTGATTTACATGGGAATACTTCTATTTGGGCCCACAGGCCCACAATTTGCTTGTATTGATGTGACACTCAGGAAATCCAGCATCAAACCTACAAGTAAATGGGAATTGTTCCATATAACCCGGTGACGTACGCTACGAGTCGGATAATGATAATACCATTGAATACATATATACATACAATACTGGAGAGGAGTGGGGTAGATATATGTACGATATTGATGCGGCATTGCGTAAAACTATCGAATTACACATTAAACCTGCTTTCTGGATAGAAATAGACTCTTCCTTCTTCCAGATACAGCAATGATTCTACCCACGCCTCTTTCGGTATTACTCGCCTGTTACCGCTGTTAAAGCCCCAAGTTGATTTGCAGTACTTGTTTTTCTTCATAGGCTCTCACTCACTCTTGGCAGTCTAACTACATGTATAATATCTTACTAGACACTAGCACTGCTAATATTACTAACCTTCCTAGTGCGAAGTTATTCTAGTGGTATAATGTGAAAAACATAACAGTGTGGTCGGTGGGCTGTGATATATTTATATAGTTAGTATTCTAGCTATTCTTTGATGAGAAGGAGTTATACAGAGAATAGGGTGAATTTGAGCATGCGCACCGTACGTACCTGTATCATGGCTTGAACGCCCATAGTCAACCACTTAATTAACCGCCAAAGAAACCTCATGATCGAACCAAGACTAAGATGACGGAATAATATTACCCTACGAATCACATAGAGTCTGATTCGAAGGGGTTATTCACAGAGTCTGATTCAGGGCTACTCATAGACTCTGACTCGGACTAGGGTTAGGGGAGATATTATCATCAGAAACACCTGTTGAATTCATGGTATATGATACACACTACGTTCTTGCATTATTTTTGTATCTCTTCTGAAACTTAGTACAGATATCAATCATTGATTGTACCAGTGAGGCCGCCGTTGTCTGTCGGCCCTTTTTAACACGAGTATTATCGGGTGATTGTGGGACTCGGTCGAGGCCAATGAGTCTGAGGAATCAAACGATGGAGCTATTGAGTATAGTACAGAGAATAGCAGCAATTCTTTATAGGTCCCGGATCCCTATATGTACTCATTTGTATCTGTCATGCACTTATTATGAAGAAGGAAATGTCGACAACATAAATAGAAATATACACGTCATTGTAAAGCTCCGGCAATACTAGTAAATGTACTATAATAAACTACAACGTATCTACCATAAACACCGTTACTACCACTGTCACATACACCATTCCAATGCGTACCCGCCTCTACCCCGCACCGCCTGTCGGAGTACAGGTTACCGTTGGAAGCATTGTCAAAGATGCTTCACTACTTCTTGCTCTTGACGCATCATTGTCCTGCCAATCCGGATTATTTTCCGATGTTGTATCTAGCGTATGCGAATAATAGTCATCAATAACTCCAGTAAAGGTTATCGTGTACCTCCCGTAAAAGGTAGGCCTAGTAGGGTAAATATCTACACTATCAAAGCTGCCAATAAATGCACCACTGGCAGTGAGGGTGGCTTCCATTGCATCAAAGCTCCCATTGACCTGGTTGCGCAGTGCTTCGTATTGTGCGCGATCGCTGAACGATGCCTCCGAGTCAACAAAGGGATAGGAATAAAACGACGTCGGGGGTGCGGATGAGTCGTTCGCCTTGCTACACAGTGGGAGGTATTGGATGAATAGAGAACTATCTTGGTACTAAGCATTGGCAGAAATCAATATCCACAACTCAAACATTTTTTTTTTTTTGCGTGCGGGGAGGTTTCTAACAGTGTTTTCATATATACTGCCCTTAAAATTATACCCATTTCCATTCTTCCGGGCAGCGAGTTCCCACGTACGCGTCGCTAAATGCATCTCAATAGTTAAGTAGCTCCTAGAAAAAGCAAATGAATTCAAAGTCTTGACGAAAAAAAAAACCCCCCATTAGCAATGTGATCACTGACTTATAAGCATAAACAGCAGTTATATTACCACTTCGACTTCGGCGGGAAACCAGTTCAGTGATGTATTATCAACATTCACAACCTCACCTGGCACAAAGCCAGGTTTCCAGCCACTCAAAAGAAACGCAAAGGCACTCCCGCCGCCAGGCTCATATGGCGTTAGATATTCCATGATTCCCAGGACTGCGTCGTATTTTGAAGAAAACACCCCATCTTGATCACTGCAGTTCTTGTACTCCTCGTCAATTGTGAATTGAAACTCCTATATGAGAAATAATTAGCAAACATCTCAAGTGAGAATCCTATGAAGAAAGTACAATGCTCCCGTTGTAATAGCTACCTGGCCAGCGATGTAACCAGTCCCGCGGAGGGGGGCGGTCACTTTCAGGGATGATATGGCAGCCTGGTTCTAGACTTAAAGACGATACGAGTGCGGTTTTTTTGTAACGCCATCAGAGTGAGGATGAGTAGAAGGTAAGTGAACCCCATCTCGAGGAATAAACCGAAGTAAGTTTCAACGAGTAAAAGTATTGAGCACAAAGGCGTGAAGCGTTGTCCAGAAAGATGTTTTGAATCAAAGCGACCAAAGTCTCTAGATATATAATGAGACCGAAAGCCGAAAATCAAAGCTAGCGTTATTTCACCGGCACAATCCTCTCTATTATCAGCCACTTCGATCCCACCAGCATCACGTATCCCCAACCACGAGTCGACCCTCGAATCTCGATCTTTAACAACGCCCTCGATAGTATAAGCCCCGCCCCCCAAGATTCCAAGCTTATTTCTCGCTTGAGTAACCAAACGTTTGAACCAGTTCTAGGGTTCTCCCTCCAAAGAATTCAGCCCTAAGGTCCTATTTGCCGAATCGAGCAATTGAGTTGGCTACACTATTCCCAATTTCATCACTGTGCATAAGTCATTAGTAATTTGATGGGGAGCTATGCCTTCAGCTCTAGATCTGAATCGCATAACGGCTTCCTGGTTGGTGGTGATGATTGGCATTGCGTCTGCGTGCCAGGAATAGATGTCTTGGTGGTTGCTTTCATTGGTCAGTCGAACCACCTGTGATCAAAGTGCTCTGCTTGGCAGAGGATTTGGCAGCCAATTTTTTGCGTTTTTGCGTTTTTATGTTTTTGCGTTTTTTTTTTTTTTTTTTTTTTTTTTTGTTTAATTCAGCCAGTTTTTGCGTGATAGAGAGCCCTAAGACTCGGTGTGTAAGTTAGAAGCTCGCTCGACGGCTAGGGAAAGGGAGTAAATATTCGGAGTGTATCTACAAGTAACTTACCCAGTGACTGTTGTTTTGCAGTCTTTGCTATCTGTTATTAGTACTGTGTCAAGACAACGAGTACATTTGGTTGTCTTGCAGTTGATAATGCGTATTTATTTACAACGCCTTTAATTGTTTACTATAAAAGGAACTTGTTCTTTCTACTCTTGTGAATTATCAATCACACAATACGATTCTCTTCAGACTTCAGTCTCTTATAAAATGGGCCCCGAATTATAACAGCAACTGCGGTTTACTAGGGCCCAGCTGCAGCCTTAGTTCGAACAAGCTCTAGCAGGCAACTTAGATTGTGATAGTTTGAGCTCGAACTAAGGCCTGGAGCTCCTAAACCCAAACATGAAGTACTGTCGTTCTGATGGATATAGATAAAAGAGGGGGGGATGGGAGGCCTAGGTTCGAATCATAGCATATGATTCGAGGACTGGAAATATTATAGTCACGTCGAGTACGTCGATCCTTGCAATACTAGCGTGTTTTTTTTTTTTTATTATTATCAAAACACGAGATATCTAACTACACGTACACACGCCCTAGTAACGTAGTATCTAGATCTCGAGGTATAAATACAGTGTTATAATAGCCATCACCACCGTTATCTGAGATATTACTGGATCTGAGCTCAATTGGGTAACAGAAACCTTGATTAATTATACTGGTATTATATTAATATTTACGCTATCTACTAAATCTAACTGCCATTGGCTATTCTATCTCATGATCACTCTATATATTACCAGCACGAAGATCATCAAATCCTCAATCTAGAATAAGATCAATGCACGTCGATATCAGATCAATCGCATCAATTAAGAAAAAAAAAACCCTCCATTCATATCGTATTTCGCCTGTATGCCTACGGTACAAAAAAAAAAGAGCCCCAACGAGCCAAGAAAAAAAAATTCCCAATCCAATCCTGCAATGGCAAAGAACATATGTACCCATTATCCCACCTCCGAAAGCGTCACCTCCAGATCCAGTGTTATTTGCCAGCCATCGCAGAAAAGAATCCTATCCCAGACCAATTAGCACACACACCAATAAACCCATTCATCACATGCACCGACAAAAAATACATACCCCCCACATCAGCCATCTACCTCCCAACCCACCTCCTCCCATACACATCCCCCGCCCCATAGTCAACAGTCTGCAAATGCCTCCTCATGCGCAGCGCCTCCGCCTGCTCATGGAGCAGCGCATCCATCCTGACCTCCTCCTCCGTGATCATGATGCCCTCCTGCTTCTGCTCCTTCTTCGCCTCCACCTCCTTCTTCGCCTCCTGCTGGGCAGCAGGATAGTTGTAGGTGTTGTAGACATTATACGTGAGCTGCGGGCCGCCAGCCCCGCCGCCAGCGCCAGCGCCAGCGGGGAACTGCCCGGGCGGGTGGACGATGATCTTGTCGGTGGAGGTGACGGGCGGCGGCGCCTCGATGGTGGTGGCGGCGGCGGCGACGGCGGCGTTGGGGCGCAGGGTCATGGCGTGGGAGGGGTAGAAGTGCCAGACTTGCTTGCCGTCGATGAGTTCTTGGTGCCAGATGCCTTGCGAGGAGGTGGACATCGCCATGGTGGTGATGGGTACTTGTTTTTCTTTTTTTTTTTTTTTGGTGCTGATGATGATGATGATGATGGAGTTGATGGATGGATGGATGGATGTGATGAGTGGTACGTTGTGTGTGGGAGGGGAAGGAGGGAGGGAGGGAAGTGGGAGGAACTGCGGCTTTATAGGTGGGCGGTGAGAGGGTTGCGCATTGAATGCGAGTGACTTGGGGTGATGGAATGGGGTTAGCTTGGGGATAGCCTGCTTTTCGGGAGATTAGAGCAGGGGCAGCAGAGTTGGATTCTCACGCTGGGAAATTGCGGATCGAACTATTTTAGGGTTCTGCGGTACAGACAGGTAGGCTGGGTACACAGAGTACAATTCTAGCTGCGTACGTAGTATGAGTGCTGGTCACAATGTGCTCCAGTGCTCTATGACCATATATATATCACCTCAAAATTGAAGATAGATAGAAACAGATATTCTAGATTCATGTCTATGCATTGCAATTGGGAATGGATATGATACATATATGCATTATACCCGTCGATATCCTCACCCCTGCAGTACAACAACCACTAATAGAAGTAGCCCCCAGTGATAACCCGCCCCCAGTCCTTACGTATAGCCTCACAAGCCCTTCCTCGTGCCTACGATACTCTCAAATACCCGGTGTAAGCCCCCTCTATCATCCGTAAGTCCTCATCTTTAACGATTTTTCCGGCCGAGTGATAGCCTATGATCAGCGACGTTCACGGGAATTTGAGAGGCTGCTCGTGTAGATGGCTTGTTTGATGGTTGATATTTGGTGATTGGTGATGATTTGACACTCTTACTACAGGCAGGTCCTGTGGGTACCAAGTGGGAGGATCGTAAGACGGCTCGGTGGGAGACTTGTGATAACTGATGCAATTGGCCTATATAGCAACACTGAAAGCCACCCCAATGCCGGTATAGCGGTGATAACTCCTGGCTGGTTGGACATCGATTGCGAGTGACGTGCGGTGCTCTGTGAGGACGTCTGGGGCAGGCCACACTCGATAGACACGAGGTTGGGTCTTGGGCGAGGGAACACTTTCATCGACTTGATCCTCGATGGGTAACATGTCGGTGTCTACGAGTTTATGGCAATTAACACTTAAGTTGCAGTTGGCTGGTCTGGGACTCGAGGGATACTCGCGGCTTCTGAGCTTGGGCTTGGATGGTCACGATGGCGCCGGTGCACTGCGAGTTGGTGGGTTTGTCTACGAAGTTCGGGGGTCACGTTTGGAAGGACGAATGTCATAGATGCGAGAATGATTACTTGGATTACATGGTTGAAAATAGATTTTGTTATATACAATAAACAAAATAAAGGAGACTACATAAAAAGCTACAAAAAACTACAATAAAAGAAACATATAAAAAAATTATTAAAAAATTATATTGATAAATTTAAAAAACTATATACAAAAAAAAATATTAAAAAAAAATTAAAAAATTATATTGCAAAAACTATATACAAAAAAAATATTAAAAAAAAATAAAAAATTATATTGATAAATAAATTTAAAAAAACTATATACAAAAAAAATATTAAAAAAAAAAGGGAGGAGGGGAACCTGTCAGATATCCATCCCCACCCACCCCCCCACCCACCCACATGAGGCAGACAAGAGGGGGCAGAGATCATGGCCACCCCTGCCAAAGCAGAGGCAAAGAGGCAATCACTCTAGGATGGGGAGGATGATTCTCATCCCCCAGGCTGGAGTGTCTGGCTCTTTAAAAGAGTTCTGACAAGGCGATTTACTATAGAAAAGATCCTATGAAGTAAAATCGCATGGCGGGAGAAGAAGGGTGTGGGTGAACGCTGCCTTTTATAGATTCGAGAGAAGAGCGCCAAGATGGGCGGCCATGGTGGAGGAGCGGCGAAAGCGCGGCAGGGCATAGGGCTCGAGGGCTCGAGGGCTCGAGGACTCGGCTTGTTGTAGGCTGTGTGTGTTTTACGGGCTTTGGCGGCAGTGTGCAGCTCTCGGTGCGCATTCCCCGGCCACTCTGCGGGTCTGCACGCTTGGAATTTCTCTGAGCAGACAACAGCACCGAGTGACGGCTCATGATGCACCACACATCCGCACTTCACAGCGCTCGTCCACGGGCACACTCACTGGAGTTGATCAAGGTTTATAATTATTGCAAACAAAGCGAGCTCCTAGACGATTGCAACAAAAACACAACGCTCGCTAACAAACAAAAACATCCAGACACGCTCAACGGCTACAGACATCCAGACACGCTCAACGGCTGCAGACTCAGACATCCCACTTGGCCACCAAGTCGCTCGGCACCGGCCCGGGTGTCCCCTCCGTCCTCTTGTACACCTTCACGCCCTCGTCCTCCTTCCCGCTCGTAAACACAAGCGTTGCGCGCCTCCCCTCCATGCCCTCGACCACCGTGCGGATCCGTGCCAGCAGCACCAGGTACCGCTTCAGCACCGCCTCGTTCTCGTCCTCCCACTCGCGCAGCAGCGGGCCCGTCTCGATCTTCTCGACCTTCTCGAAGCTCCCCGCCCGCTGGTAGCCGATGAAGAGGTGCGGCGTCTGCGAGAAGAAGACCTGCGGGATTGCGCGCAGCATCATTGCCGGCGCGGAGTTCTCGCTGCAGGTCTTGATGCCGACGATGGACTCGTGCGGGTAGAGCGGCGTCAGGCTCTTGTGGGCTTCGATGGCGACTGCAAAGATCAGTATCTCTCCATGCATACACTCCCAAAAGTTCGGATGGCTATATAACTAAAAAAATGAAATGACTTACTCGTAGTCTTGACTCTGTTCAGCGTCAGCTTCGACAGGCCCTCGATAAACTCCTTCTCGAGCCAATCATCCGCCTTCTTCGCCTGCGGGCTCAAAGGCTTCCTCCTCACCGCCTGCCCCACCCCCTTCACCTCCTTCGCCCTCTCCGCCTTCTCCGCCTTCTCCGCCTTCTCCGCCTTCTCCCTCTCCGCCTTCTCCCGCTCCGCCTTCTCCCTCTCCTTCCTCTCCCTCCTCTCCCTCTCCCCCGCACTCGCCCCCGCACTCGCCCTCACCTCCGCCGCCCTCCTCCTCTCCTGCCTCCTCATCTCCACCCGCTCCCTCTCCGCCCAAAACCGAAACTCCGCCAACGACTGCGTAATCGCGTCCCCGTGGTACCGCACCAGGAACCGCATCCCGCCCATCACATACTCCACCACCCGGTGGTGGCTCTGCAGCTCCCCCTCATCCATCACCGCCTCCTCCCCCGCATCGCCGAACCGCGTGAAGCGGTTCAGGAACTGGTACCCCCACCCCATAAACTTGCCCTCGGGTATAAACTCGGCACTGTGCGTCTCCCACCGCGACAGCAGCATGCTCGGCCGCGTCCCGTCCCCACCGCCCATGATGTCAACATCAATCCTTGCCTCCTTCGGCGGGTCCATACCGAACGGCGGGCGCCCATCCCGCCGGACACCACCCCGATACCCCAGCCCCGCGCCGCGCCCGCGCATGCCGCCGCCGCCGGCGCCGGCGCCTACAGACTCGGGGTGCCGGTCGCGCCACGGGGGGCTCGACCTATAGCCACCTCTAGCCTCCCCGCCCCCGCCTCGGCCCCTGCCGTCGCCCTCACGGCGGACCGGCGTCGTCGTCGTCGTCGTCGGCGGCGGCGGCGGCTTCACCTCGCCGCGCACAAACTTGAACAGCTTCAGCAGGCTGCTGCGGTCCGTGACGACGTCCACGCCGCGGATCTCGTAGTCGGGGCGGTGCGTGTAGACGGCGCGCAGCAGCGGGCGCAGCGGCGTGCCCGGCGAGAAGTACTCGTTCTGGTGGATCATGCGGAAGCCCGTGTCGGGCGGGAGCTTCACGGGCAGCTGCGGGGGGTTCCAGCAGGAGGGGTAGCCTGGTCCGCGTCTCTTGTATCAGCCGTTGCTTTCTACCAGGCGGAGCGGGGGGGGAAGGGGATAAGGGGGAAGGAAGGGGACAAACCGGGAACAATGATCTTGAGGCGCTTGCCCGGCCCGTAGACCCAGTTGTACGAGGCGACGGTCTCGAAGGCGCTCGGGTGCAGGTCCGTCTTCTTGATTGCGGCGAGCGCGGGGTCGGCCGCGGTGGGCACGCGGATGATGGAGGAGAGGGTTGTGGCGCCGTCGAGCAGCGTGCGCGGCGTGTCGGGCTCGAACGGCGTGGGGCCGATGCCGGAGATGAAGCGGCTGTTTGCCATTGCGAGGCTACAGTAAGGGCAAGAGAAGAAGAAGCAGCAGCAGGATGAGGAGGAGCAGGAGGAGGGGGAGGGGGGGAGCGAGATGGACTTGTGGGGTTTCTCGCCGCGGGGGATGGGAGGTGGGGAGCGGGGGGTTATATATGGTAGTCTCTGTCTACCATGGCTAGAGTATAGGCTACATATGAGAGTCACTCGCCGGCCATGCAGACAGTATAGGCAGACTGATGATGCGCTCCCCCTTCTTCTCCTCCCTTCCATTGCTGCGCTGTCCAAGGCTGAATTGTGTTTCTATTCACCATCACTCGATGTTCAACACTGCTAACTATCAGGCAAGCAACATTAACCTCGAGGTCGAGATTCAGGCAAGCAACGTTACACCGCAACGGCGCATCCCGCTGCAGCTATCGCCAGCTATCGCCAGCTATCGGTTGGTCGACAGCGGGGGTCCCGCCGTCCGCCTTGTCTTGCCCTGCCGATGAAACAGCTCACCCCGCAGTCTCTGCCTGCCCCCCCCCCCCGATGATCATTGGCCGGTGCGGTGCGTGGGGTTTGTGATGGCCGAGTGATAGCCTGTGGATGGGCTGTAACCCTAACCCTACTCTCACTCACGCGCTCAGCTCACTTGTTTGTTCGTTCAGGAAACGCGGATTGATACAACGACGACAATTGCAATAAAATACAACCCCTATCATACCTACGACACAAACAGCAATACGAAAAGACAGAAAAAAAAGGACGAAAAAAGGAAAAAAATAAGCAGAGAAATAAATGCTCGTCAATCCAACCCCGAACAAGGACATGTGTTCCATCGCTACGTAAAAGTAAAAAAAAAAAAAAATATCATGCCCTCAATCCAATCCAATTCCCATTGATAAGTCCCACACACAAATTAATGCTTTCCTCGTCACAGTCCCCCCCCTAATCCCCAACAGCGTATCAACGTCCTACAGCTCATACACAATTACGTCTCGTTCATTACACCGTCCACCGCCTAGAGCTCGAGCCCAGACAGATACTTCGCCGTCTCCGCGCCCAGCTCCATAAGCTCGGTACCATTACGGTGATGGCGGTGATGCTTCTCCATCGCCGCACGATACTACACATCAAGACCCCATTAGCTCCTCACACTCACTGACCAAAAGAAAAAGGATATAGAAAGCAGTATCAAAACCCACCTGGAACGCAAAATTGACCGCCAACGCCACCGCCAGCGCCACACATACCACCACCGGTCCCAGCGCATTATTAAAATCCTTGCCCGAGCGCTCCCGAATCAGCTTCGAGCGCCACATATACATGCCGTACCCCCACCCCGCCGCAAAGACCGCAATGCACGTATACACCAGCGCCAGCCACCTCGCGATAACGTTATGCGGGCCCGCGGCGTTATACAGCCCGATACTCAAACTCGCGAGCAAGATCGAAACATGCTGCCACTTCAGGAACGTTCGTTGATTGGCAAGCCACACCTTTGCCTCGACCTGCACGGGCCCCGAGTGCATGATGAGGGTCCCCGGCTTCTGCACGCCCGGCGGGAGCTTGACTGCTGCGCGGTGGGCGTGGCCGTAGCGCGAGGTCGAGAAGGTCGGGAAGAGGTTACGCAGGCCGGCGATGGTCGCGACGGTCGTAGGCTTATCTTCGTCGTCCGTGCCCGTGTCGTCCTCGTCCTCGTCCGTGTCCTCGCTGTTCACCTCTACGACGTCCTCCTGCGGCTGCTTCTTGCCTGCGCCGCCGGCCTGCATGATCATCGGGAAGCGGCGGTCCGCGTTTGGCGGCGTCTGGCTGTATCCGCCGGCAGCGCTGCGTGGCGCGCCGGCGCGGCCGCCAAAGTCGCGGGCGCCGGGGATGAAGCTGCCGACGATTGTCTCGTCCTCGATCTGCTTTTTGGCCTTCTCCTGCTCGGCCTCCCAGGCCTGCTTGGGGTCCTGGCGGATGTCCTTGTCCAGCTCGCTGAGCCAGAAGGGGAAGCTGTTGACGTGGTCGTCAAAGAGGACGGCGACGCCGTGCGCAAACTTGCTGAAGCGCGGCGCGCTCTTGATGAGATGCGAGTTCATGAGGTCCTGGACCCACTCCTTGCTGCGCCCGCGGAGCGCCGACTCGAGCACCTTGATCTCGAGCAGCGCGTACGGGAAGCGCGAGATCTCGCCCTTGCGCAGCCCGTTGAACGGGTACTCCATCTGCGCGTCGTCAATGTCCTGTCTGTGCCAGTCCTCGGGGTCCCTGCAGGGGCGCTCCAGGTCCAGCGAGTCCTCCCTGATGAGCGCGAGGTCGGTGTCGAGCGACACTCGGATGCGGTCGTCGCCGGGGATCTGGAAGGCGGTGCGCGTGTAGACGGCGCGCATGACGGGCTCGAGGTTCTTCTCCTTGATGAAGGCCTGGAGCGACTCGACGAGGGCCTCGTAGCGGTTGACGTCCTCGCTCTTGTTGCCGCGGTCCTTCATCTTTTGGATGTTCTTCTCCATGGAGTAGGAGCCGTTGATGAAGTCCTTGACGTACTTTTCCTTGATGACGATGCGCTCCTCGATTGCGCCCTCAGAGTCGTTCTCTGCAGCACCGCCCTTGAGCGTCTTGCGCTCAATGCTGATGTCGGGCTTCTGTGAAAGCTGGCCATACCAGCGGAGACGGAGCGAGGCGGCTTCGGGTGTCTTTGAGATCTTGTCAGTGTAGAGTGAGAACTTGGGGTTGTCAAAGTACAGAGAGTTGATCGTTGGGTCACGGCGATTGGCCTCAATCTCCTTCGAGGGCTGCGGGTTATAGATCAGAATGGGGAGACGGCGCTGGATGAACGTCTTGACCTCGGCAACATTGCTCGGGTGCACCCAGAACTTGTGCGAGGTGTATTTTCGGTGGCCAGCCTGTGGGCCGGACGCAACTGAGGACGCACGGGTCTGGCCGGGTCCGTCTTTCAGGTTCTCACGGATAAAAGTGTCCATGGCCGAGAGTCTGCAAACATGTAAACAATTGGGAACTGTGTGTGCTGGGAACCGCAAATCATCACGTGAAGAGATATAGAGATATATTGCTCACCTGTACAACAGCGGGCTGTAGTCCTCCTTGTTGAACTCTAATGCACTCAGCCTGACCTGCAGCAGCGGGCGAATCTTGTACTCCCCCACGCCCGAGCTCGCCTTGCCCTTCCCCTTGCCCTTCTGCTGCTGCTGGGGCGCCCCTCTCGGGCGACGATCGTGCTTCTTCGCCGCCTTCAAGAAACCCGTGAAATTGACCCTGGAAAACACCTTGAGCTCGTCAATGTCGCTCGTGATTGCGTCCAGCTCGTCCAGCGTCTGCTTGAGCAGCTTCTGCTTCTCATCCTCGCTAATCTCCTCCTTCTTGTCGTCACCCGAGGCCGCCGAGAGTTTTTCCATGCGGGCCTCGAGCTTTGCCGTGCGCTCCTTGAGCTGGTCGCCCATCATGCGCTGGAAGTTGTTGACCTTCTCGAGCTGCACGTTGATGAGCTCCTCGACGAACACGGACTCGTCGTTCTCGGTCCAGGGACGGCCCTCGTAGCTCTCGTCGGTGCGGGAGGTGGGGCCGCGTTCCGAGTCGCTGTCGTCGCCCTCGTGCAGCAGACGCTTGAGCTTTGCATAGTCAATGTAGTAGTCGCGCCATGGCGCGTAGATTGACGACTGGAGGGTTTTGCCGAAACGCATCTTTGGTGTGTGGTTGTGGTGGTGGTTGGGTTAGTATGTAGTTAGTAGTGGTGGTATTAATAGGACTGATGATCCCTTCGATCCTTCCTGTCAGTAGTGAGAGAGGAATTGACCGTGCAGAGGGAGAGGAGAGGAAGAGGGAGAGGGAGTAGGAGAGAAAAGAGAAGAGAGAGAAGAAGAGAAGAGGTAGGTGGTCAATCGAGGGTTTTTACCGCTCGATGGGTGTGGTGGTGGTTGTAATGGCCGATATGATATGTTAAGTCGGCCACTCCAGATCGAGGGTGCTCCAACCTACTCTACGTTCTTGCTGCTGCTGGCTGTGAGACAATTAGCCAATCGCACGTACAACCCGCGTCACTTTCGTCGGGAGAAAGTGCTAAACTCAGTTGTAGAAAAAGCCCGGCTGTCCCGTTCCTTGGCTAAAAGAAAATCAATCAATCGCGATGACCGCTGCTAGCCTCTTCTTGTTCTTCTTTTTGCTCTTTCCTCGCTCCTCTCGTCTCGTTTCTTACTTAGGTCGTGTGCTCGCTTGCTAGACTCGCGGGCAGAGTGAGGAGAGCAGACAGACCTCCACCGCCAATCAAGCAAGGGTTCAGGGTTACATCAGTCGGGGAAACCAGGGCTTGGCTGCTGCTTAAAAAGAAACGCTCACGACAATTTTTTTTTCCACCCTTTGCTTCACCTCCAACCCCCACCGACACCGCAAACTCTCACCATGCAGGGACGACCACGACCATCATCACCATGTCACCATCACCGCCAAACATCGGCCAAACTAACCCACTAATAAAGGTATTTACAATTCCGCCTTCTTCTCCCCCTCACACAGCACAATTGCCCACTCCTCCCCCTCGAAATGATGACTTCTGGCATTTGGCTTTAGTTCGTTGTCACCTTTCTGGTGGTCCTCGACAATGATGAAAAACAACCGCTACCTTAATAACTTTGTCTGATCATTAACACTTCCTCATCCCATTCCCCCCCCCCCCCCCCCCAAATACTCGCTGCAAAATAACATTTTGATGAATCAAAATTGCTAACTCAGCGATTCAGAACAGGAAAAAAAAACCTTTCTAGATACACTACCTGGGTACCTCCACCATACAATACCATCGGCAATGGCGGCCTCTGCACATCGACTGCACGCCATATATAGATCAATTAATAATAAAAAAATGTTTTACAAAAAAAAAAACCTCTCTTCTCTTCGCTCGCCGTGATCGTGAAAACCCATGCCCATGCCCGTATCCATCCGTGACACCCAAAAATAGATTTTGTAGGCCCTCAATTGAATTGAGCTTTCCAATTTGCAATGCGCCGTGCTTTCCTTCTCCTCCTCTGTGATATAAAAAAAAATGATGGGCCATAAACGAAACAGGCCTATGTACTTTCTCGCTGCACCGCAAAAAAGAAAAAATCAAAAGTGAAAAATTTTGCCTGCGGAAAAAATCACAATCTGTAATTAAAGATAACGCCCTCCCCTCCCCTCCCCCCAGCCAGTCCAGCGATAATGGGGGAAATGCAATCAACCTGATACTCTCTACCATGCATCACCATCACCGGTCAAGGCTATTTAGTGCCCGAATTGAGCAATTGCAAGACCGCCCATCACATTAAAAAGAGGCGATCATTCTCAAGGCCCTCACATGCGCGTAAAGATGGAAAAAGGTCGTGTGCGTGTGCGACCTGAAAACCTCCTCACCGACACATGATACCGATAGTAGACTGTAGCGGTAACGTACCCCGCACAGCAACGAGAAAGGGCAAAAAGCAAAAGATATGATTTCGCCCGGGCTCGAACCGGGGACCACAAGTGTGTTAGACTTGTGTGATAACCAACTACACCACGAAACCATACATCAGAACAGTATCCGTTACGGTTCTTATACAGAATAATTAACTTAACTCTAGCTCCATATTACGGTCGCAGAACATCCCGCGCACAGGGAATTCTGGTGGTTTTGCCTCAATTGCGTTATACTCAACCATCTAGGCAATTGATCGCTAGAATTCAAAGCGGGTATGTACCCTGTTGTTAGAGATTCCAAGAGCGGGCATCAGGCATCAGGCATCAGGCATCCGCCCGGGGAACACGGCTAGCAAGTGCGGTGACATGACCGCCCTTCAAAAAACATTCACCAACCAAACCCATCCTATTCAAACCAAACTTACCAAACCACAAAAAAGAACTATAAAAGTAAACCCAAAAAAAAAACAGAATGGAAAAAACGACCCCCCCCCCCCCCCCCCCAAAATGAAACATAATGGATCACAGAATATCACTCGATTCCTGGTTCCCGCCACCGGAAACCTATGGATACATATTGCTTTTTCTCGCCGTAACCACCCACTTCTGGATTTGGATTGCTTTTAGAAAAGACTTCATAATTGGAAAGCGTTTGTGCTCCGCTATACAAAGACTCAATAGGGCTCTGTCTATGATTCTCCAGCGGCCCTGTTTTGTCCGTTCGGTCATATCTTCCAGAGTGCTCTTCGACCCTACTGCCGCCATAAATAAGTACTATTAAAGATATCCATGATCAGTAGCTCTTCAACCTGCTCTAGCGCTCCGTATCTTACCTTTGGGCGCATCACGCGCGCAATTCCTCTCAAAGTCAATAATCGATAGACGCTCCAAAAGTCAATGATCATTTTACCACTTCTTCATCCTAGCTGCAGTAACAGTGGTCACCACCCACCGTGATGCAACGCAGTTCTCAACATGTTCTGTACCCAGAAGAGAAGAGCGCTATCACGCGCAGTCCGAAATAGACACGAGTGACGAGCGGTCATATATACATGTATGTACTAAAAACGGACATCCGAGCAACTGAATAAATCCCCCCGGCCCCGGTGCCCATCCCCGCGTGGCTGATCTTACCTACCTGGCCGCGGAGCTAGATAGGCCTATAATTCTACTCTGGAGGGACCTGTTCTAGTGGTTATCGGCGGTGGCTGGCTATGGCTGACACCGACACGTTTAATTTCCCTGAGGGTTGTGCTAAATTGGGCATTCTAGATGGAGGGTTTAAGCTATTGGTAAGGGCTATTGGGGCGTTCGGCCCTCTCCCGAGGGAAATGGGCTCTCGGCCTTTCCCTGGACTGCGAGCGTGCTCATCCTGCAGGTAACGATAATAGTTGGGCGCCTTCTCCACCGCCAGAAAATATTGTATGATAAAATAGAAGGTCCCTCTGCGCGATTCGCTATAGTAAGTCTCGGTGATTGCCAATCTGGGACGAGCTTAAGACAGCTTATTCTACTTCAATGGCTTGCCATCCCTTCACTATGAAGCACGCTCGGCAGCAGGACGAAGAAACCACCAATGTAGGTGTATGTGGGCTGGGACTGACTAAACATTTTGATATTTGTGTACCACCGCCCCATTTCCCCTAACCAAAACACAAGAAGCACCGCAGAAAACCAAACCAAACCATTCGGAAGACAGAGATACGATGCAGAGCCACAGACAGAAAGAAAAGGCCCGCTTCTCCGAGAGGCAAGCAACTCGCAAGAATCCAAGAGAGAGAAGAGGAAATACGGCAACAAAAAGGGTACCAGATTCGTATCTCATAAAGAAGCAGAAGAAAGACGACTAAAAGTAACCAAACCCTGCAACGCGCAGAGAAAAAAGAAAGGACGCAAACCCCATGGACCCCACCCAGCTAGGAAAAGTTGAAAAAGAAATCGACTCCCTGAAACACGTAAACCCGTTATCAACCCCCGTATCATACAGAATAAGAGAAGGCACCCTGTGCATATGACGAGAACCCGACATGGCAGATAATTTACTCGACCTGCCCAGATCCCATCTGATACATTGCCGTCTTAACCCTCTCCCTAACATCCAACTCAGAATCCTTTAACATTCCTTCCAAGCTCTTGTCGAATCCAAGCCTCACCAATTGCTGGATACGGCCCCTAACCTCCTCCTCCTCGGGGCTATCTGCCTTGTCGACCCAGGTCAGATTGATAACAATCCAAGCAAGGCCAGTCCTGACATTCGGAAGACGATGGTTCCACAGGCTAGAGAGAAGCTTTAATAGCTCCGTTCTTTCGGCCAAGATTTGTCGGTGGCTCGATGCCCCAGCAGCGATGTGAACAAGGATGTATACAATAGAGCTTACAACTTCCCCTGGTGGCAGGGCAAGGGTAGATCCGCTCCCGTTCCGAAACTTTACGTTCCGTGGCCTAAGCTTATCCTCCAACATCTCAAAAAGACGATTCTCGCCCATACGCTCAAACAAAAGATCAATCATCTGAGTGCGGTCCTTGTTGCAAATGAAGTTTCTGATAAAGTCCAAGCCTTGTTCCTGCATTGCGATGCTCTGCTTTCTTCTCATGGTGATTTCCTCCGGCTCCCTCCGTTCGAGCTGTGCCATAACCAAGGCAGCTTTTGGCGGGAGCTTCCGAGCTTTAGACCTCGCTCTTTCTTCCGGAGCGTCGTAAAATTCTTCGTCTGATCTCCTATGGGCTAGTTTCCTCAGATCACCGATACTATCTTCCATCGCGCCCACATCGGCTTCACCCTCCTCGACCTCAGCCATATCTTCGTCCTCGACTGATTGATCACCAACACCATCAGTGCTGATAACCTTGATGAACCATTCAATCCCCAGTCCTTCAAAACATTTCCTTTTTACTCCACTCTCGGCATCAAGAATCAGATGCTTCAAAGCCCAAAGCGCGTTTAGCCTCAGCGATGCGTTATCACTCTTAGCGTGTGTGCATAGTATATCCATGACACCAGCATCAACTATTGGCTGCCTCATCGGCGAAAAGTCTAGCAACAGATTACAAACAGCGGCAGTAGATGCGACGCGGACCTCGATATCCTCGTGACGCAAAAGCGTAAATAGGGGCATCGCGACTCCGGCATCAATTAAAGAAGTTCGGAGAATTGAGACTGATCGAGAGAGAGATTGTACGACACCACAAGCGGCAATAAGAACAGCAGGTGGATTACCCTCCCCTGTATTGTTTTCTTGAGAAGCAGGAGCACCGGGAATAGGCTCCAAAGGCTTCATGGAAGAGACTACCATAGGGATTACCCCTGCCTCAATGATTGTTTTGCGGTAATCGTCCTTGAAAAGTGCCAGACTTGCCAAACACCTCATTGTACCCTCCTTAACTTTCATGCGATGAGAGATCTCTGGCCTATTCCGCCTGTGTTTCTCTGTCTCTTCGGATTCAATCGAGTCTCCATTTGCGACGCCATTAACTGAGGAAGATGGGGACTCAGTCGCTTTCCGTAGCATAAGAGCTAATTTCTTGATAGCCAAGGCATCAACGGCAGCCTTCTGCATCTCCGGACTATCCATGACTAGCCTTGAAAGAATAGCTGGCGCCCTTTCCTGAATGATCCACTTTTGTCGAGTTTCGGCGTCCACCCCGCCAACACCGACACCCACCTTTACAAGCATATCCTCTTCGTTAAGAAGCCTCACCAAAACTGGCAATACCAATAACACCAATATATGCGTCATCTTCTTGCTAATAAGGGACACTTTGAAAAGGTTTGTCAAAACAGCAGTGGCCATCAATCTCGTGAAAGAATCCCCTGAACGAACTTGAGAAATCAGCCAGAGAATTACCGGCGATTCCTCAATCTCTATATCCACTTCTGAGCCACCAGAAATAGATTCAAGATTTGATGCTCGAAGAATTGGGTCTTCTGCATCGGTGGTTTCCGCACGCTGACGAAGAGGAGTATCGCCTCCTGTTGAGGATTCTGAATCGTCAGTCCCAGCTCCGGATCCAAGAAGCATAGACTGAGCCTCTGCAACTCCGATAGAATGATTGGGATGATGATGATAGTGCTGCGTGTTGTAGTGATGGAGCGATGAATAATCCGCAGATCCTTGGCTGGCAGCAGAAAGAGGTGGAAAATGAGCAGAAGATGGAGTAAGTGGAGGGAATGCGGAAGGTGTGATGAGCAGTTGTGGAGGCTGAATTATGGAGCTTGAAGAAGACTTCTGTTGAGGAAGCTTTATAGATGTTGTTGATCCAGGCAAAGAATCACTATGCTTACTTGACATGGAGGATTTAGCTTCCGCTGCGTTGGAGGTTAGCGTAGATGGCGGGAAAATTGCTGTTAAAGCCGGTGAAAATAGAAACTCCAAAGAACGAAGTTTCGAATTTTTTATTATGACCGAGATAGCATCAAGTATTGGGGCTAGTTTTGCGCCTTGGGGAGCTGGAGGCGGTATGTCAGGCTCCCCACGACCTTTCGACGGTTTTTGAGTAGCCTTCCATGAAACAACAAAGGATCCCAGCCTTGCACTCAAAGCATCCAGCACTCCTGTTTCAACGAGTAATTTTTCATGGGTCCCTTCCTGAGATAAGCTGTTCCCGCCACTATCAATGATCCTCGCAGGATCGTACCGGCCACACGACTTTGCAATTAACGATGAAGCAAGACAAATTTGCTGCTGCACAGCAGAAGATGGGGAAGTCTGGGAGATAATTTTGCAAATATTCCTCAACACTTCGGGAGTGTACAGCGCTGCGGCAATTGCATAGGATGGGCTTTCTGATGAGGACGCTGTGTCGAGAATAGTGTTCAAGGTTCGAAGGGAGCAGTGAACGAGTTTGGAGGGATTGTAGGACGGATTGAGCGAAGCTATCAGAGGAGCAAGGGCTTGCGAGAAAAGCAAATGGGAAATGTGTGCTTCGCCGCCTGTAGGTTGTTCATGAAGCTCAGCGATGGACCACATAAAAGGAAAGGACACGGAGCAATTCACGTGGCAACGAAAGGTACAGTCCAGTGAGATTGAAGGCTTGATATTGAAAAGGAATTCCTACCATACGCCAAACTTCCTATAGCAATCCCAGCTTCAACCCTCGCATCACCCCAAGCTTCATCCGTTGTTCTAGTACCACCTTCCAGAATCTTCACAAGCGGGGGAACAATTCCCAAACGCACAAATAGTTCCTTCTTCTGATCGTGGCCGATGAGTTCATGCTTGAGTCGTTTCAGAGCAGTAACTACAGATTGAGGCTGTGAGAGCGACAGATTCGAGAGCTGCGAGAGGAGGGCGAGAGCCGTAGATTCCTCTTCCGAGTGAGTCATGATGATGATGTGGATGGTTGATGGGGTGTTCTGCGGGGTGTTGGAGGGGGGGTACGGCGGTGAGTTATGGAGCGAAGCAGCAGAGGTAGTCGTTGTCGTATGTAGCTGTCGTGCGAGGTGCCGGGTGGTGCGATCAACAAGACTTTAAAATAAGTGAGAAAAGAAAGTTATTGGAGAAGGATCCGTGGCGAGAGATTGTTGGAAGAGTTGAATAATTGATGAATCGATTTATGTAGCGATTAAGATAGGTGTATGTGGGGGGTGGGGTTGGCTGATGAAGTTATTACTTACCTCTCTCTCTTTTTTTGGAGGGGGAATATGATCGGAAATTAAGAATTTTCGGCGATGTGGAGAGAGGTGAAAGCAAGCTTTCGGTCGGAAGTGTTATGTAACCTTGTGTTGCGTGAGCAGTTGCCTAACGTGCTGAGCACGCACGCACGCAGTGTGTTCAGAGCAACACCCACACACATCGACGGTAACGCAAAGGCCGCCGGCTGTGCCCTGCCCGCCGCCGCTCCCCAGGTACCGGATCTTCGCAGCCCGTGCGCAATCTGTGTACCCCTCTTTCTCTCAGCTTAGCACCCCTCACTTTTTTGCTAGTAGTAGCACTCGGAGGTTTCGTCCGATCAACAAGAGCATGCGAGGCAGACAGGAAGACAGGGTGGGCTAGTCGATAAAGGGATCTTTGACTCGCCAACACTCCCAAGAAACTACAGAGGGTCCAATCGTGATAGGAGGATATACTCGTGGTGTCCTATCACTCGGAAGGTGTGCTTTGTCAATCGATTGAAATCAGCAGTGCAGAGTGTCCTGGCAATATTTGCCCCCAACACGAGTGCATGTGCTGAGCCGCTTGTCCCACTGACCGCTAGGATGGGATTCAAGTGTTACATTGGCTTGGATTCGTTGAGATAGTTCGTCTTTGAGAGTTGTCGTGGTGCTGTACTCTTCCGCCGGGTTCGTGAAAGGGCTTTTTTTTTTCTCTTGTTATTTTCTTTTTCTCTCCGCGGTTCCTTTTTTTTCTCTCTCCCCTTCCCCTGGTGTTGGTTGGACCCCCGGACTGACGTCCGCAGCAATAAGTACGTACATAAGGTGCCTGTTTCCCTCTGTACATACACCTGCTCTACTTGTGTCTACCAACAGCTGGTTTCTCCCTACACTCGTGTCGACGTGCCAACAATTCCCTCAATCATTCATTCCCATACGTGCATACTACATCTACTACTACTTGCTGCTACTACTGCTACTACTGCTACTACTGCTACTACTATTACTACTATTACTGCTGCTTCTACTACTGCTGCTGCTACTGCTGCGTGGGAATTTGTTTTGCTATAGAGCCTTTTGTTATTTGCTTTTACGCTGTGCGCTTATAAACGCACCCGTTCCACCAGAGCCTCCTTCTGCTGTTCCCGATCGTCCTCTCGTTCTCGTGGTTCGAGTACCTACAGGCACGTAGCCTAGAATCTAGTATCGGTAACCCACATACATTATTCCTCACCCGACTTGATCTCTCTATCATTGGCCGAGGTTGATCGTCTACTCAAGAAAGAGCCCCATCGATTACCTCCATTCGCTATTACAGCGATTCGGGGGAGTTTTAACAGGCTTTTCAAGCTGAAAGCTTGTTATATTTGCTTTTTAAAAAAGGAAAAGGAACCTACCCATTCTACCCGCTGCCTACTACTGCAACCTTTCCGTAGTGATCACCGACCTCTAATCCAAATCCTCCATTCCCCCGCCGCAAACTTTTCCTCTAACCCCCTCCATCCAACCATCGCCGCCACTGCGACTGAAACCTTTCCATAACAATAACCAGCTATCGCCCGCTATGAACCCGCCTCTGCCCTGCATTAGTACGTCCTCGTCATCTTCATCAACCACTACGTCATCCGAAATTATACCCCGGTCTGCTTCCTCTTCGGTCAAGGCTCTATCCCCGGATGATTTTAAGTCATCATCCTACCCGCAGTACACCCAATCGCCTTCTCTCCTCGCCCGCTCTTCTACCTCGAGCGGCGGCGCATCACACATGTCAGCCCCATCCACCCCCAATGGTGGCCGACCTCTATCTGAAACCCCGAGAGCCTCTCCTCTGATGAAACACTCCAGACGCTCATCACGCCCACACTCTCCAAAAATAACATCGTCAAAGCCTTCTTCACCCACAGTAGCTCCTAGAGCCTCTAATCTATCTACCTCCACACCCCCGAGTAAATGTTCAACTCCCCCAATCGCTCCTACTACCCCTATTGCTCCTCCTTCTCGCGATGATACTGGAACCCTGTCTCCTCCCAAGCGAGCCAGACACATGGATCCTTCAATCAAAGCCCTTCCTCAGCTGTATCAACACTGTCCTACAAATGATCTTGTGTACCTGATCAGTGACATGTTACTTGAGCTGGTGGGCTTGAATGACAAGATACCACTATCGGGGGCAGGCTTGACCCGTTTCCACTCGCGGTACTAACCCATTTTTACAAATCACTCACTTGCTTGATCGATTTTTCAGCGCTGACTTGACTATGCGCGCAATTATAGAGCGCCGCCTACAATATCAATCCCAGATTACCTATCGAGATTAGCACTGCATGCATCTCTGCAACCATCGATCCTCTTATCGATGGTTTACTACATAGACATACTGTCTACTCATTACTCGCCATTCGTTGTCTCCTCGCTGACTGTACACCGCTTCCTAATCACGGCTGCAACTGTCGCGTCTAAGGGTCTTTGTGACTCCTTTCTCACAAATGGGTTCTATGCCAAAGTTGGTGGTGTTAGTTTGATGGAGCTAAATCTACTGGAGCTGGAGTTTCTTGTTAGGGTTGGGTGGAGGATTGTACCAAAGGGTGAAGTTTTGGAGGAGTATTATAGGAGCCTGATTGGAAGAGTACAATCAAAATATATAATTGAGGGCGCGGAAGAGGCCCTGGGTGATGCTCCGGGGTCCTCAGGATCTGCCGCAGTTGCAGTTGTAGCTGGACCGGCGGGAAGTTGACTGTGGTCCAGATGGAGTAGTAGGATCCATGCTTCTTACAGCCGCTCTATTTTGTTCAATAGGAGTCTTTTAGTCTGCATTGTTTCTTGTTTTACGCGAATTGTTTTGATGTTATTGCCCAGAAAGTTAATACTGGGCAGGCTGGAATCTGTTTGCGGGGGACAGCTGTGACTTAAAAATGGGGAATACATCGGAAAGGTACAGGCACAGACTGGAGGGATAGATAAGCGGGAATAACGATTGATGACCAAAAATATATGTACATGCTCGAGAGACGGTATACCTAGCTCAGTTGGAGTAAGAGTACAAGTAGTTGTTACAAAGAGCTCCAGAATTTTTCCGAGGCAGAAGCTTTTCCGGTGCCTTGTAGACTCTTTTTTTTATTTTTCACAGTGAAACACGTAGCTTTTTCTTTTTTGCTCCTCTTCTTTTCTTTTTTTTAGGCGTCCAATCCCATAGGGCTTATGACGTTCATATCATGAGGGACCTCTGTTATCTTGCAAAATGGACCAGTACGTAAAATGTGCTTTATGCGCGTCTTTGCGACGCGCAAAAGAATAATCATTTGAGAAGAATCATGATCCATCACTCATCCATCCTCACACCCCGCAGTTGCAATAGGCCAGATGACCTGGGGAAAGACTTGTTAGTTTGCGCCTTGATTTTCCTCGGACGTCTACCCGACGGGCGAGTGAACGATCAAAATTGTGGGGGTGGACGGTTAAATAAGGCGGGGAAGGGGGGTAGTAACAAGAGCCAAGAGAGTCGCAGGAACGGGAAGAACCGAAGGCAGGAACCGGGGCGACAGTGTTGATCCTCTGTTGACGTTTATGCTTGGGGTGTTTTAGGATATAGTTTGTTTGGATGCTGGGAAATCGGCAGGGGTGCAGTACGCTAGTTGTCAGATCAGGGCATGCTAGATATCATAAACTGGAGCTTCACTACTCTAGAAGGAGAAAAAGCAGCATAAGCGGGTGTAGGTACAGTTTTTCCTTCTACACAAACAGATCCAGTTTCATTTCTGTCACATTAAGCATATCTTCAGCCGCATTTGCAATCTTATCTTATCAATTTGTACCCTGAATATATGTATTTATTTATCTCATATAGATTGTAACTTAGTCATCACTATTATTACTGCTCAGAAGGCGGGGAAATGATACGTACTTAACGCGGCTGAACTGTTCCACAAGGTTTTGAGGAGTGCCTAAATACTACATGATTTAAATGGCTTGCGTATGAATCGGATGTTTAAAATATAGATTGTCAAGAATAGCTAGAGTAAGATGGTAGAAGTACTTCAGGACTTTGCTATTTCAAATGGAATCATAGCTGCACCTACGTAGGTACCAATTTTGAGGGCAGACCCATACCTATCATCTCCAACAATTGAAGGCCTATCGAGATATGGGCACAAGGTTGTAAGTATATGTTAGTAATGTCTATATAAAAGCCTGCTCACTAACAGCTTGATAGTTGGTTTATTCATAGAAACGTATATGCTGTCCTTTATTAATACCCTGCAAGGTGTGACATCATGCATAATGGTCGATATCGCGATACGAACCCCACCATAGCTCCCACGACAGCTCAGCTACAGCCATAGGACATATCATTGATACTGTTCGAGATGACGAAATTAGATTCTAAAGTTCTAAGCACCCTTGCTCTCCAATCTGATGCCACTACTGTTGCGCCTTTCGGTGGTAGCGGATTCGCATCCACACTCAAGATCTCCACGGTTCTTGCGGAAGGGAAGAAGAAATGCTTCTTTATGAAGACCGGGGATGGCAAGGACGCAGAAACAATGTTTCGAGGTAAATAATATTCACTACTTCTCGAGATGAAAGGCTAAATGAAACATGAAACATGAAACAGGTGAATTCGAGTCTTTAAACGCAATCCACAATGCAGTACCATCACTATGCCCCAAGGCCTTCTCACACGGAGCCTTCGAGTCTAAGCCTAGCTACTATCTCGTGACTGATTTTATCAACCTTTCCAGGCACTCATCGTCATCTGGTGAGACTTTAGCACATAAAATGGCGAAACTCCACCTCGCGCCGCAGACGGAAAAATATAATAATAAGTTCGGTTTTCCTGTGCCGACGTGCTGTGGTTCCACAGTTCAGGATAATACATGGGAAGATAGCTGGGCCGAGTTCTTTGGTAAACGGAGATTGATACATATTCTCGCTGAAAGCGAGGCAAAAAACGGACCCGACAAGGCGTTGAGGAAGTGGGTAGAAAAGACGGTGGATACTGTAGTGCCAAGACTGTTAGGAGTACTTGAGAATGTTAAGCCGGCTCTTGTTCATGGGGATCTATGGAGCGGAAATGCGTCCAAGGGGTGCTTTGGAGAGAATGGGGAAAATGGAGACCCAGAGGATGTGGTCTTTGACCCTTCGGTCAGTTTGGTCCTGATTCATGAGCGAGAACTGTGACTGAAGGTCTAGGCTTGCTATGCACATAACGAGTATGAGTTTGGGATTATGAGGATGTTTGGTGGCTTCGGGCCAAAATTCTTCAACGAATACCATGAACGTATCCCAAAAGCCGAGCCTGTCAAAGAGTATGACGATCGTGTCGAGCTTTACCAGCTGTATGATACCTTTCTACCTACCCTACCAGGCATTATTTGCTCTAACCATATGGCAGTTATCACCAATTGAATCACCACGCGCTATTCGGGAGCGGATACAAACCAGGCGCTATCAGTACTATGGAACGTCTATATAAAAAATATGGGGGGTAAAGGAGATAGGTTCAAACGTTCAAAACTATGTTGTGATTTTAGAATTTAACGTTCTATAGACATACCTTTCATCGGAACATTACAAGCTATGTCGAGATTTATCGAGATTACAACAAAGCGGACCTTCTTTACGGAAATGATAAAATCATTCGGCCAGATAAATTCTCCAATTCAATTGTAAAATAAAATCCCAGTCTGATCAAAAACAATAGATACACAGTATCATAGAAGGATATGGAAGTAACTTAGAAGCAACTCATATAGGCCACCTAAGCGGGTCCGGCCAAGAAAAGAAAACATGATATGATTGAGATTTCGACAAGTTTCGCAAGAACAAAGCAATTTTAGAATAAAAACAAAAAATTTCGCACTAGAAAGGGACATCCAGAAACCCATCTACAGTAGATACACTACTATCAGACCTGGGGGAATCGTTTGCTGCTGCCCCAACTGGCAATATCAAACGGCCTCTCGATTGAGCTGCTTTGACTCCTTTATCACAAGTGTATGTAGCACCATCCTTCTGTGTCTCTAATATTTGTGATGCAAGCCGGTCTATAATGGTAGGGGAAATAAAACGGGGCAAGTCGTTCTCCTGGTCGGAAACAGCAGTGTGGTAATCTGTTGAACTCGTTGACAAGTCTGAGTGGGAGTCCTCAGCGGTATGATATATCGTAGAATCTTCCGAGCAAATACTTTCAGGACTTTCATATCCCGCCGCGCCCGTTGGTACAAGAGATCTCACATGTTTATCCTCATCTAGGTTCTTAGCACTGGGTTCCTTTTGCTGAAGTTGTTCCCACGCCAGACGTTTTTGCTGCTCTTCGAAATATGACAATGGTTGATGCAAGTGGGATAGATCCGGGAACCCAGCAGCGACCGAGTACTCGTTGTACTCCCTCAGTTGCTCCTCCGTGGTTTTTCCAGTAGGATCCGCTGAGATCCCTAAGTACACTGGATCCATTTCAGGTGCATCTCTACTAATACTGTTCAATGCGACATTAGAGCTAGAAATGATGGAGATTTCGTCAAGAAAATTCTCCGCATCGGCCTCTAGTTGCTCTATAACTCCGGTCATTTCCCTAAGACGGATAGGTTGCTCCAGTTCGGCGATGTCGATATACTGCGCATTGTGTCTCAAGATGCCCGGGACTTCTTTACCTGCAAGTTTACTATCAATAAAAGTAACCTAAATGCACCAATATCACGGTTTCCAGCTTTAATAGGCTCACCCCCGACTCCATCTTGACTAAGAATCTGTTCGCTCCCTACACTAGTGGAGTATTCCATCTAATTTTATGAAGAGCAAGAAAAGTCTTACTTCAATAGAATACACTAAACATATATCAGTCATCAATACTTTGTCAAACATCGGAAGATCAGCTTACAAGGCTCAGATGAAACTCCACACAATAACTATTATAGGATGCGAAAATCAGAATTGAGCCTTTGATTAGCAACCGCCAGCGTCTTTAACTATCTGAGGCGAATTTCGAAATCAATGCTATCTCAAAACTGATAATCTCTACACAAGAGAGGAGGGTCTTTGTAACTCCTGGGAATATCTTGTCTATATACAAATCCCCATACGAGGGCTTCCGAATAAACCGATAGTCTATTTTTACACATCAAACGGGAATTGGCAATCCCCGATTATCATAAGGCGACGTCTTAAGAACCATCTATTGAAAACAACACTGTACAAAAACACCATATAGACCCCGAAGATATCGTGACTGAGCCCAATCGGTTCTTTTCCCTGCATCGTACAACAGTTCATTTCGGCTTTTTGTATGCACTCTACATTCACACTCGATGCACATTCCCGTTGAGTGTTTATCCTCTTAGGAAATGTCGAGATCAGGTGCAAGTGGTTACAATTACCGTTGTAGTGGTAATGAGTTGTATGTGCCCGGTTGCCGGTCATGTACCGAGTGATACTTCATGATTATTACTAATCTCACTTACGGATTGAATTTGTCTAAGTATATGCTACATTCTGAGAAGACCTTTACTACCACAGTAATTCGAATATACGGCCGGTCGTACGAGACGTTGAAATTCGCCTATTTGGCCATTTGTCTTGAATACGCCCCTTAATCTTATACTGGCTTGAAAAAGGTAACTTCGATGTCTTGTGTGACCGGCCGTCTATCCGAATTACTGAGGTAGTATAGGGTATTTTCTTTGATCACGATGATCTCTTCGGCTAGAAACCATTAGATAGTGACAGCTAAGACCCTTC